ACCCCCCCCCCCCCCCCCCCCCCCCCCCCCCCCCCCCCCCCCCCCCCCCCCCCCCCCCCCCCCCCCCCCCCCTACGCAAAAGCCTAATTCAGCGGTGTCTGGTTAGTAATTGAGAACCAGCCTCGGCGATGGTGACCAAAAGCCAACAGCCAATGTGTCTGGATTCTACCGAGGTGATGGCGACGGCTAAGGAAAGTATTTCCCGTTACGATCAACCTGGGAATAAGTAATTGCAATAATTCCACATGCAGGTGTGACGCTTTTGATCAGAAACAAGGCGTGGATGGATTCTTCCGTCTCGGCAGTCAAGGTACCTATGCTTTTCCCCACCTCTGGTTTTCTTTTGTTAGATTGCTTGTCGTACGACCAAGTTCTTTCTTTCTTTTTCTTTTGCCGCTTGAATCCGAGATGGGCATGATCTGAGCGTGAGAAAACGTGCTTTTCTGTTTCTTCTTCTTCTTTCTTCCTCGCGTTTCCGAGCAAAGATGGATGCGAGGAAGAAAATGCAAGATGCCGATTTTTGTCCTTTAGGGTAGATTGGGTAGGTAAGCTAGGCGAGATATCCGAGCCAGATAATCTCCGTGGATTTGCGCCCCGGATAGTAGACTACCTAGATTCATAGCCCTTTGGTGCAACAACGGATTTCTCCGCGTCTGCTGCTTATCTTACGATGCCTGTATTACAGGTACGTGCTGCAGCTCTCCAGGGCGGGAGGGAGATCCCCCCGTGCCGTCTGATCAGCTTGCGTCATAGGTAATTGATAGGGTGAAGCAGCTGTGATAAGCATTGATTTCTTTCCCCCTTTACTGCTTCTTCTTTCTTTTCTTCTACTACCTAGTACCTCTGCCGGGTATAATTAGGCAAGGTACCTACTGCTAGGTCTTATCCGGCGCTTGCTACTACTGAGGTACTTTTTCTTACTCGTACGAGTGTTCTAGGAGGTAGCAGCTATATCAACTCCTTCACAAATAGTCATCCAAACTGCTATATTCCCTCGTCCACTATAAAGTACAAGCAGCATCAAATTACCTAAACACGGATAAGCAAGAAAAAAAGGAGAAGCTCTCATTCAAGAAAATCACCGTGCTCCCATTGGCCGGCCGCACGGGATGATGTGCAGTCACCTTGCGTCTCATGATTGGATCAAAAAAGCGCCAAGGGAGGCTCGCCCGCCCGTCCAGAGGGAAATGAGAAATGAGAAATGAGAAACAGCCAGCTAGCAAAAAAGCCTCCTGTTTTCCCTCTTCCCTACCGAGATGCGAGACAAAAAGACGGGCTGCAAAGCTGACTTGATTTCTTTCCGACGGCTTAGCGCCAGCTTTTAGTGGCGTGCAACGTGCGCGGGGGGAGATGCTCGCACATTGCTGGAAGCGAAATCAACTCGTCAACCAGCACCGAGGAGTTGGGAACTTTTTAGCAAATGTGGCGGCGTCAGAGTTGAGTTGCTGAATTAACCTTGGTGTTTAGACTACTATACTTTGTGGGATATGAAGTTGCAGACTACTATCCAAGTACTTGATCTATGGCATGTGTTTGACATAGTGCTAGTATTATGGATGTAATAATGTATGCAGACGCTGGATCGGACATTAGCTCTGCTGCTAAACCTATACCTACCTGCAGGCGCACACCAAATCAAATCAAATCAAACCAAACCAAATCAAACCAGACAAAACCAAACCAAGTCAAAACAGGACGGCCAGCAAGGAACAACACGGCACTCAACCACAAGCTACTGCAACTCCGTACGGGGGATCGCCTCCCTAGGCTTGCAGCTTCAACCGCCCTCAATTCTGCTAGCATGTGCTATATTTAGCCCTGCGCACTGTCGCCGGCGGGTGCCGCTGCGCCAATGATTTCAGCCACGGCGAGGCGACTAGCGAGCCACGCTCCTCGCCGCGAAACGTCATGTTTGCACTTGGGCTTCTGCTCCAACTCTGCCCTTGAAGCAAATCGATCTCGTCGACAGTCCGCGACAAATTGGCTCTTCGGTTTGATCGCCAGGCGCCCGCATCATCGCCTCCGTTGTCGTGCCTTACAAGTACTTTGACTGAAGCTGATGCGTCGCTGTCGGGAAGCTGCGCCATGTCCTAGTGCCCTGCCGGTCGTCGAGTAGCCGAACTGACTGCGGGCGCGTCTGAGCGAAAGCGAATCCGCGGTTCAGGGAGAGAAGAGACGACAGAAAAGCATCGACAAAGGGCGACGAGACGACAAGCTGAGGGAGACGGGAGACGGAGAGGCCGTCGTCGAGTTGAGGGAGAGGCATTGCATTGCGGGCAGCGACACAGAGAGACACGGGCAGAGAAAGACATGAGAGCCCAGCAAGGCGACTTGCAACAATGTCCTCTCCGCAAGCCGTGGCGACGCAGACCAACATGGCTGTCTCAAACCCGCGCCCCATGGTCCAGCGGTCCTCCCTGCCCGATCGCAACGTGACGCCCGACACCCTCGAGGACGCCTTTGTGCGCTTCATCTTCTACTGCAACCCGGCGCTGCCGCTCGACGCCGACACTGAGAGCCTCCGAGAGGCGTTTGCCAACCCCCCCAAGAGCGGAGGCAAGAGCTTCAGCCCCTTTCTCATCTTCGACCTGGTCCAGAGATTCTACCGCAAGGAGATCAAGACATGGACCGAACTCACCACCAGGCTCGGCGTCGAGCCGCCGGACCTGTCCAAGGACGAAAGCGCCCAAAAGGTCGCCCAGTACGGCGTCCGTTTAAAGGTATGTTGTTCGTTGGCGGCTTGTGCGCTCTTCCTTGTCTTTTCCCGCCACCATCCCCCTTACTTGGCCAATGATGACGAGCCGCTGACATGGCTGTAGAAATGGATGAACTCTATGCATGTCAAGGCCTTTTTCGAATACCTCATGGGCATAAGCAATGATTACTGGACTGAGATTCCAGACGACCCAAATCCCATAGGGCAGCCTGTTCGTGATGGCGTTGCCGTCGAGGATGACATGGCCCTGAGGGCTCTGTTACCTCATATTCGCCCCAAGAGGGGCCGCAAGAGGCCAGAGCCGGAGGACAGGACCGACTCTCCGGTGGCTCAGCGACAGCGCCTATCGCCTCCATCTGCAGTCGATGGTCCTCGGGCGACGTGGTCGGCTCATCCAGATGCACGAGCCCAGGGCGTGCCGATGGATCCCTCGAGGCCCGGCGCCGCAGCTGCTTGGGGCTTCAACGACTCCGTGCAGACTCCGCTTTCTCGATACCCCAATTCCGCCTTAACACCTTCAACCAGGAGCTCCTTTTGGGACGATGCGTTGGAGCCCCGGTCTGCCATCTCCCCATCCAAGCCCAAGCTTTCCACCCATAGGCGGGGACCCAAGAACGTATCCTCGGCGTGGAAACCTGGAGGGGCTGATGCCAGTGTCAAACCAAGGGGAAGGCCCCCGATTAATCGCACGCCCGTGGAGCCCTCTCCTCCTAACCCTCCGCCCATGACATCGTGGGCTCCGACCCCCGACAGCAATCCATCGGATGCTCCCGTGGCCGTTGTGCCCAAGGACGCCATGCCAATGACTCCCGACGTGACCCAGATGCACCCGCAGATTCGCAACCAAGTCGTTGCTCCGCGTGCAGATGCCGTGGCGTCTCTGCAGGCACGGACGCCGTCACAGGTGCACATGATTGCGGCCCCTGCGTCTTCTAACCTCCCCGTGGCCGGCATGAGCATCAGCCCGTTCGACAGCACCAGACCAGCTCGACCTGCTATTTCTCTGCAGGTTCCAGAGAGGCAAGGTGGCACAGTCCGGCTGGCAACACCGCCGCTGCCGCCACCACTCCCCCCACCGCTGCCCATGGTCCCCGTCAACGACCTTCCGGCAAACGATCCTCCGGCGCTCCAAGGAATCCCTCTTCAGGCACCGCCTGCAACGCAGGCTAATGGGTGGGATCCGTTCTCGCAGCCGCCTGTAGCGGGAGTGTATGAGGCCAACGCCGTTCCACCCTCTACTGGGACCACCAGCCAAGCTGGCTCAACGTCCAACAAGGACGTGCCCCAATATTTCTTTGAGGATTTGGACGATCGTACCAATGTCGACGGGCTCATATCCTACTTTACTCACGTCTTGCACAACTCAGACTGGGTGGATCCCCAGGGCAACCAGCAAGAGATTGCTGGCATGGACGAGTGCACCGCCATGGTAAATGCCACGGTGGAGCACATGTACAAGAATGCCGAGTCGTCCCAAGCGTTTCTCATCAACCTGGCGGCGTTGTGCGGCGCAAAGATGCTCATGACCAACCGCCCGAGGTGCTACCGGGTCGAGACCTCGGAGGGTGTTTACACCTATTATTTTGACTGGCAGTATCGGTTTGGCCACCTCAAGGGGCAGTTCACCATGACTCATAGCGTGCCGGTTACGATGTGGAAGAAGCCGGGGCCGGGAGAGTCTGTCGAGACGTCGGAAGAAGGCGGTCCGTCGGCGGCAGGGAACCTGACATCGGAGCAGTGGCAGGCCAAGTACGGTGCTCTCATGGACGAGATAGAGAAGCGAGACCGGGAGCTCTTTGAGATGCAGAACAAGGTGATGGAGTCGATGAGGAGAGACACCTGAACGGACCCGCACGATACCTATTTGCTTTTGGTCTTTTCTCTTCTTTTTTCTCTTTGTTTCCTCTTTTTCTTTCATTTCGTTTCATCTTCATTTTCATTTTCATTTTCATTTCACATAATTCTTATTTGTTTCTCGTTTGGTGGGGAATTTCGGCGCCCTTTTTGTTGCATGATATGGAGGCAGAAAACGGAAACTAAGGTAATGAGATTTTTCGGGTAATACATACTTGGGTACACAATCGGCGATGGCATGGAAGGACGGAACCTCCTTTCCAAAGGTATATCAAGCTGGGAGCTGTTGGCCAGCCTCTGCACAATGGCGTTGTGACCGCAATTATTTGGTCATGTTTTTGTTTTGGATATCAACTGCATTAGGCTGCTACTGGCGTAGGTAGCTGAGAAATGGCGAGAGGGCTTTTTGCAGGCCTCTTTAACTTTGATGTTTTGCGTTTGGGTGCTCATATTTGCCTTTGTGGAGTGACTGGAACGTGATGGGAGCAAATGTTTGTCACCTTTGGATGGAGATTGCTTGCCCGCCAGGTTCGAGGTTTCAGGAGGGAAAAAGTGAGTGAGGCGGGCGACGTTGTTGGTCTTATGTTCCGGATACCTGCTTTTGAACTATGTGAGTGGGCGGCGGCTAAGTATGAGTACGAGTACTCCAGAACGGCATGTGAGGTGATGTGACGTGGAGTGATGCTGATTATAATTGGAACCTTGATTTTTTTTTTAAAACCCCCGGTATGGATGGAAGTGCTCTTGCAGTAGAAATGGTTGATATTGTTATACTTGTAATGAGATGAGAATTTGTTTTGATTTGATGGAGTGTGCGTTGCTTTATGAGGTGTCGAGATGTAAAAATATCGGGCCACCTTTAAGGCTAAGGTTCGACGGTGTCATGGAGCTGTCAGATATTAATGACGACGCCCGGGTTTTTAGATGAAGCTCTAGGAACGAGGAGTGTTGGAAGCTCTGCTTTAGCCTTTAGTGATGGATGTTTCTTGGTATTTTTCCCAAATTGCTATTTAGGCATTTTTATTGTTATTAGTACTTTATTGGCCATAACCTGCATGTACTAAACGCAACACTTAACCTCACAAGCTCCGCATTACTGCCAGGCGATTGGTATAAAAAGGACATGGTTATCGAAATCGAACTGTACGAGCATGCATCAAGAAGTTATTACTCGCCTTGCTCGCATAGCTCACATAAGTAACTGCTATTTCGAGATGGGCAGTGTGAAAGTGTTGGTTGGTCTGCCCACAGGGTTACAGCAGCATTGATCACTGAGTGCAATGTACAGTAGCAATGGGATCGCTCACTGCAACGCTCCCGTCTGCTCCGATGGTCTGGGCAGTCCACTTTACAGGCACTTTACAGGCCGCTCAACTGCCACCAACCGCTATTGACCGCTGGAGCCTCTAGCACCGCACTGTACCGCACTGTACACGATTGTTACACACCAACCGGCCCCCTGGGTGGCGCAAACCGGACGCTGTGAGTGGCCGCGACTTGCGGGCGAGGGAACAGCTGTGGAGAAGCGACACCCAGTTTGTGAGACGGGGCCCCGCAGAAAGAGAAAACCGGGCCCCGCTTGACTCTTACTCGTACGGTGCTGTTGGTCTCATCCCCGTCTAGAACTTTCAATGGCCTTCTGACTGAGACTTTGGGGTTCTTGTTCGCCATTCTTTCTTTCTACTGTAGGAGCGGCTTGTCGCGTGCTGGTTCCCACGTGCTGTGGCCGAAGCCTATTGTTCTTTTTCTTCTTCTTTCTTTCGGAGACGCCGAGAAGCCCTCTTTTTCCATGGAAACATTCTATTTTCTTACTCTGGCGGCAATTCAATCAACCATGGATAACTCGACGAGTCAACGCAATGGAAAAAGCGCCTCACTCGCTCAATCCTGGTCTTCCGACGGACGGCGTCAGAGTGAGCCATGGCCAGAGCCTGCACAGATGGAATCAAATCCTTTCCGTTGGAGTGGGAAAAACCCAGAGCCCTCGCCATCCCTGCTAGCGGCCCATCCAATGGCTCCCCCATGCGGTTCCCCATGCCATGGATGCCACTCGCTCACTAACCCGACCTGAAGCCTCACTGTGTGACATTTGCTGCTTCTTCTCTCGCCTCGCTCGCCTCCCGGCGGCCACTGCTCTGATCGCTCTGGCGCCACTGCTCAGCGGTTTAGCTCGATTTCTCTTCTTCCTTGGCCCGTTGAACAATCCCGCCCTTTTCCCTCTTGCTCCAGAACTCGCTCTTCCATGACTCTACTACCCGTCTTATTATTGCCTGTATACCTGCTTTTACACCCATCCATACAGTACCTACAGTTCTCTACTATTGGCGCTCCACCCGGTGCTTCTGGTGCTTCTCCACGTCCAAGGAACAAAAAGCGAAGCGGCCAGGTGGACCAGACCAGACCGGACCGGATCAGACCAGACACACCCCAAGCCGGCTTTTTCTGTTCCGCGCAAAGAGTTGATTCTCGTCCGGCTAGCCGTTTGTACTGTCCCGTACTTGCGTCTGCTCCTTGTTTCTCTCCAGCTCTTTCGCTTGTCCTTCTCCATCCCCTTCTTCCAAGTCTCGCCTGGACGAAGCAAAGCCAGAATCCCCGGGCCGATTTCCCAAAGGCTGCACGCACTACCCAACTCACCACTCGCTGCGACGTATCGTATCCGCTCTCCCCCGTCCGTCTCCCGTCTCCCGTCTCCGTCTCCGCCTTCTGCAATCGCAGCAAAGAGCGAGAGATTGCCAGAGGGGGATCGGGAAGATCCCCACATCTTTTGTGTGTGTGTTGACGCTTCCCCGGATTTGCTCGCCGCGGCCCATCACCGCCATGTCATCATCGTCGCAAAGCCGGGTCGACGAGATTACCATGTACGAATACTTTCTTTCCCCAGACATGATTTGTCTTGTTCTTGTTCTTGTTTCTTGTTTCCTGTCGAATGGTGATGGGATGATGGCACTTCAACGCCGTCGTCCACTGTGTCTTTTTCGTCTTGGAATCCCATGCTGACCGCACATTCTCTCGCCCGCAGAGCCTCGAATGAATATCATGTCTCGTCCTCCTTCTCGGCTGAGGCTGGAGAAGACCGCCGCAAGTCGCAGCGTGTCAACCTCAATTCAAACACAGAGGCAAAGTAAGTACAAGCTGTTTCTCCCGCCCGTGTCTCTCCCACGTGGTGAGGGCCCTCCATTCGTTCATCCCGGAGCCCATCTAATCGCCGATCCCCTTTTTTTTCTCCGTGTCTTAGAATCAAGAACCCACTCGTCGGCATCCCGCGACGAACTCTGCTGGCCGACGTCGACGAATTCTGCCGCTCCAAGAACCTGGAGGACCATCGCGACATCATCCGCAAGGGCGCGCTGGTGGCCCAGGATCCCACCGGCTATGAGGACATCACCGGCGCCGAGGCCCTCAGCCAGGACGAGATTGACGCCCTCCGCAACGAGGTTCTGCACAAGTGGCGCATTCCCTGGACCCTGCTCCTGACCGTCGTGACATGTTCCGTCGGCGCCGCCGTTCAGGGCTGGGACCAGACTGGATCCAACGGGGCAAACCTCGACTTCCCTACGGCGTACGGCATCGGCGCCAACACCATCCACGACAAGCTCATCGTCGGCCTGGTCAATGCCGCGCCCTACATCGGCACGTCGTTTGTCGGGTGCTGGTTGTCAGATCCCTTGAATTTCCACTTTGGCCGCCGGGGCGCCATCTTTGTGGCTGCCAACTTTTGTCTCTGGCCGGTGATTGCGAGCGCGTTCTGCAATTCATGGCCCAGGCTGTTGATATGCCGCCTGCTGATGGGCGTTGGTATGGGCGCAAAGGCGTCTACTGGTGAGTTGCCCTTCTTGATCTCTTCTAGCCTTGAAGCCAGGCTGGTGCAAAACCAAATATGCGGACGTATTCGGAAGAACTGACTTGACCCAATCAACAGTGCCCATCTTTGCCGCAGAAAACTCGCCGGCCCCTATCCGAGGCGCTCTCGTCATGAGTTGGCAGCTGTGGAACGCATTTGGCATATTTCTTGGGACGTGCGCCAACCTCGCCGTCAGGGGAATTGGCGCCGAAGCGTGGAGATACCAGCTGGGGTCGGCCTTTATCCCGGCTGTGCCGCTCGTCGTTCTCGTTTACTTTTGTCCCGAGTCGCCGCGATGGTACATCAAGAAGAATAGATACAGGGATGCCATGCGGTCTTTGCTCCGCCTGCGGAACAGCGCCGTCCAGGCTGGCCGTGACATTTACTACATCCACGTCCAGCTCGAAGTCGAGGCCGAGTTTATGGGCAACGGCAACTACGTCCGCCGATTCATTGAGCTCTTTACCATCCCCCGAGTCCGGCGCGCAACCTTGGCAGCCGGCACGGTCATGATTGCGCAGCAAATGTGCGGCATCAACATCATGGCCTTTTACTCGTCCACCGTTTTCCTGGACGCCGGAGCGAGCACCACTGGGGCGCTCTTGGCCTCGTGGGGGTTTGGCCTGGTCAACTTCTTGTTTGCCTTCCCCGCCGTGTGGACGATTGACACCTTTGGCAGGCGATCTCTGCTCCTCTTTACCTTTCCGCAGATGGCGTGGACGCTGCTGGCGGCAGGGCTTTGCAATTTGATACCCGGGCAGGGCGGCCTTCATCTGGGCTTCGTTGCCTTCTTCATTTACCTGTTTGCGGCCTTCTACTCGCCCGGCGAAGGACCCGTCCCGTTTACATACGCGGCCGAAGTCTTTCCCTTGTCTCACCGTGAGGTAGGCATGGCATTTGCCGTGGCGACCTGTTTTCTCTGGGCAGCCGTGCTGTCCATCACCTTCCCCCTGATGCTTGCTAGGTTGGGCGTCATGGGTTCGTTTGGGCTATATGCACTCTTTAACGTTATTGCCTTGGTCATGATTTTCCTTTGGCTCCCAGAGACGAAGCAACGAACGCTGGAAGAGCTGGACTACATCTTCGCGGTGCCCACTCGCGTGTTTATGAGATACCAAGTCACCAAGACGCTGCCGTGGTGGTGGAAGCGATGGATCCTCCTTCAAAAAAATGCGACCCTCGAACCCTTGTACACGCTGGACGTGGCCGAACACGTCGACTCGGACGAAGGCGAAGACAAGTTTGAGAATGACAAGGCCAAGGTCGAGCTGAAGGACCTTGTTGGCTTTACACCAGCGGCTGTAAACGCTAGATCGCTCTCCCCCGAAGCTACAGCGTGATGTCTTTTTTTTTTGGACCCCTCTTTTCTTTGCTGTCAGGTCATTATGATCATATTTTCCCCCTTTGCGATTTTCAGATGGGCTTTTTTTTTTTGCTGGTAACTACTATTGGGCGTTGATTTTTTTTTTCTTTGGGTTGTTGATTAGCGGGCGTGTGTGTGTTCAATTTTATTTCTCAACTCATGATACCACGGAAAGAAACGGACGGGATTGGGACGACTACGGCGCATGTGGGAACGCGATACCCCCAAGTCAAATGTGTTTTGAAAGCCTTTGGCATTTATCTTTTCTCTCTATTATTTGTGTTTTGCGCCGAAAGCACTGTTTTGGATTGGCGTCGAATATTTAGTTCATCTCCATCATGAGCGGATTAAGAGTGGGAGGGATATGGGGTGGGATGGGTCTGTTTTTGGATGAGCATGGCCATCATTGACTTGATCTGCTTTTTATGTAAAGATTGTATGTAGACATTACGACATTTTCCCCTGAAGACTAGATGACGCATATACACCAGCAGAATATGAAGAATGAGCAGCACAGATAATGCCTGTGCCATTTTGTACAACTCTTGTCATCTTTTTACTTGTTTACTCGTTTAGTTCTCCTGCAGCTGTACTCGTACGTCATCTTCACCGAGCTGTGATGGATCCCACCCATAACGGCTCCCTCATCTTCTCCCAGGAAGGGAAAGCTCTGCGAAAGAAAGATAAACAAGGGCTCCAATCTCGTGCATCTGCCTTTTCTCCGCAGGGGGGAACTGGACGGTGATTCGACGGTTCCGGCGGCGCGATCGGGATCTTGAATGGTTGTTGGTACCGGGTTCTGCGGAATATAGCATACCTACCTATTTGTTTATGTCGCATTCCGTCCCGGACTCGCGGGGTGGAGCTGAGGAGCTGAGATAGATTGTGCGGGTATTAATAGAACGGGGATGATGTGGAAGAGCGTCACATTTCGACCCACTGAGTCATGGTATTTCGGTATGAGATTTGGGACGCGTATACTCTTTTATTTGGGCTTTTGTGAAGAAAAACTGTTCAATCCTTGACGATGGAGGTGGCGGGCGGGAACCGCGGGTTCAGCCTCACGATCCGAGGTTACATGCACTCTGGTTCCGATGATATCATAAGGGATACATCACATTCATCTCCAGTCAGGAAAGCAGCCTCGGCAATCTCCCTCTTTCGTGAGGGGGAGCACGACCATCATCTGCACTCATTTTTCCTAATTCGAGCCCTTGATGTGCAGCGTTATGACGAGTGCGGATTGGATCGACAGCAGGGGTACCGTCACCGAAAGAGAGAGCTGACGGGGCGATCCTTTTTTGATCTGAGTCGTTTAAGAGAAACGTCTCTTTGTGTGGTCGGAATACGGGGCCACAAAGGGTGAGGATCGCAGGGCTTTGATTGGGCCGGCGTGAGTGAGCGATACGAGAAAGATAGGACGACGAGAATGCACTGCATCTGCAAGATGGCAATCTGCAGAGCGTTGGGCCTGGGATTTGCCTTTTCTCCCCGCTTTGGAGGAGGTCGGAGGTGGGCAGATGCGTGGTGATGGAGGAGGTGTTTTGTTTCGCCTTGTTTTTCATCTTCTCGTAATTATTGAACTTGAGATCGTGGTGCGGAGAGGGGGAACGTGGTTCTCCAGATCGTGGACAAAAGTCATCGTACGCGTACTGCAAGCCGTGAGTCATACCTTTGGATCCATGCGAGAAAAAGGCACCCCGGAGCGTATTTGATTGCTGTTATGCGCTTCGTTTTATATAGAGCGATAAATGAGACGAGCGTGATACCCTCGAGATGGTGTTTATGCACGTTGCCTTGTGGTCCATCAGTCGCGTCCAAGGTGGTGTGCTCTAGCGGGATGGCTCATCAAGGGCTTGATTTAGGCGGTTGTGGGAATGGCAGAGACGATCAGCCCTTGGTTTTGGAATGGACCAGAACCACATTCGGCGGACTAGATGACGAGTGAGGACGAGTACTCGCACAGGCAGATAGCGGTGGCGTTGTGGGCGTCTGGAAAACGACCGTCCCGTTGTTGGCTGAACTGGAGGCGTCGTCTTGTCTCGGGCCGTGTCCTGCATGATTCAGTCCGGTGCAAGGAAAGAGAAAAAAAGGCGTTCAACATCTCTGGTGCGAACACATGTCAAACTTGGTTGAACAAGGTTTTGGCCGCCGTTTTGTGTTGCGAGTGTAGCGCCAGGAGAGGAGTTTAAGGGGTCAAAGACGGTTTGCGAGGTGTTGTTAGCTCGAGTTCTGGACAATGCCGCCTTGGCTTTAGCAGCCCTGGTGATGGATCCCACCCCGTTGTGTTGGTGGAGGCATCGCCATGGCAGGGAGTAAATACTTGCGAAAAAGTATTTTTTTTCCCTTCTCTTTTCTTCTTTTTGCGTCTGTGTGTCCCTCGCTCGTCTGTTGAGTGTCAGTAAACAGACAAACAAAGACTTATCGCCGCGATGGCGGGTGAGGCAAACAGAATAGGGGAATTGGGAGAGCTGAAAAGCAAAGACCAGAGTTGGGCGTTCTTGAAAAATAGCACCGCATGCAGTCGCAACTCGTATCGGGTGTCCATCTCATTAAAGCTGGGTCTCGTTAGATGGTAGCATTCGGCTTTCTTTTTTGCTTTGCGAAGTTTGCCAAATGCCAGAATCCCCGAGTCCATGACAAGCCGCTCCACCTGGCTGACGTGACCCCATCCGTGTCCAATTTTCAATTACTAGTCAAGAGATCCATTTTGCAAGAGTAGCTGAAGTGAGCAGCCAAAAAAAACAACAACCTGGAACCTTGGACGAAAAAAACGTCGCGTGGCCTGTGGTTCGTTCCCATTGTACAGCCTCTCTTTGTGGCAGGGGTCGAGACAGGCTTTGTATGGCTTGCGAGAGGCGATAGAAGAGAAGAGACGAGGGGAGCCCTGCTGGTGGATGGATGAACTGCCGGGCTGGGAAACATGAGGAATTAAAAAAAAAAGATAGAGGAAATAATGCGGAAAAGCGGAAAAGGAAGATGGATTATGAAATCTTTTTCGCAGCATTTTGGTTTCATGGCTATTTGATCATCTGTGAGATGATATGAGCAAGTTGAGGTTTGCGTGTCCCTGTGGTATCAAAGTATCAAAGTTCCTTGCAGACGAGAGCTTTTTCTTAGCACTCCTGACGACAGATGTCACTGTACAGCCAAAATGTCACCGGCCGCGACAAGTGTGCGTATCGGTACGCGATTTAGTACTAAGCACGGAATCATGCGCAGGTATTTGCTACCTCCATGTGCGCCATGCGTGCCGTCCTGCAGCCACCGGGCCTAGTACATGTACCTGTTCCTGGCCCTTTGCAGCTGGCCAGGGCCTGAATGGCCCCCGTAGCTTAGCGGCTGCTCCACTGTGGCCGCCTCGTATGCGGTACCTGGCACGCCTGTGCTCCGCTGCCCAGCGCCCTAGGTGCCGCCACCAGCCACTAACAGCACTTGCAAGTTCCGTACGACCTGCAGATGGTAGTACCGGCTACCTGCAGTGCTGCGCTTTCTTGCACCTTCCTGCGCTTTCCTGCGCCCGCCCGCATGTACCTGCAACCTGTGCCGATCGCCCCTTTCATCGGGCCTGCCACGGTCCAGTGAGATCGAGCAACACCTCCAGCTTGTTTCACCAGGCACCACTCACAGGCTCTTCCTTTCCTTCTTCTTCGTCTCTTCTTAAGATCGCCTGTTTTTGCAGCTCGATTCCGTTTTTCTCCTCTCCACATTTCTCCTCCTCCCTTCCACTCGTTTGGACTGATATTTCTTAACCCAACTGACCGGGTCTTCGCTCGTTCTCCTGGTTCACTCGTTTTTTATATATCCTGAAACGCCCCTAGTGTTCTCGGTACTACTTTGCCTACCTAGTAGCCTCCAATCAGTTTTTTTTTACTACGCCCTCTGCCAGCTCCTCGAAGGTCTTCGTCTTGTCAAGACTTCCTCTTGCTTTTGCCTTTACCTCTACCTCTACCTCTTTGTCTTCCCTTTCCTCTTCCCTTTCACGCTCGTCTTTTGTTCTGGTTTACCTTTGCGGACTATCACTCGCTTCGCCTATCCCAGCCGTTGGCACGGGCCTTTGTTCTGACGTCTGCGCTGAATTGCATTGCGTACTCGACATCCTCGACGACGACTCGTGCTTCCTCGTCACCATCAGCTCAGATTGTGCATTTCCTGCAAACCTGATTCGCCTGGAGCCGGTCTTCAGCGGCTTCTACATTTGTGGCATCTGAAACGTCGCGTTCGCCGGTTCTTTCTATGCCCCTGCGGTGGCATTGATTGTCAGTTCATATTGGGTGGTAGCGCAGCATTTTTACACGCCATTGACTGGACTCGACCTACTGTGTGGATATCCTCAGCTTTAAACACGGCACCTAAGCTGTCCTCGCAATCTTCAAGGACGAATAACCCCAGCTTTTCAAGGCATCAAAGTTGTCAATTCGAAACATCTCACGACCTACCTACTTTTAGCAAGCATCGCTTGTACTCGGTATAAAACGACGTGCACTGCCATTCCAACTCAGGCGTGCACCTGTTGCGGAGTAGGGGAACTTTCACATGGCGCAACGTCAAGCCTCTCGCGCCTCACGAAGCTCTGCTGGATTCATCCCTCTTGACGGAGGCGATCTTCGCGACATGGACAACGGCGGCGGCATCCCCCTCCACCCCTTGACGACGGTCAAGAGTAACGCGTCGACTACGGGAGCTAGGAAGCCCATGGCAAGCACCCGCAGCCATGACGAGCACAACGAGAAGCATGGCATGCACCACCGCCATGCTGGCCGTCGACGCAAGATGGACGATGAGAGCCTCAAGCGTAGGCAGACGGGCGACGAGGTCAGCCTCAACGCCATGGGTCGGCTCTATGCCAAGATCATCGGCTTCTCAGTCATCACGCGGTACATGGTCTACGTCGTGCCGGTTGGCATCTTGCTGGCTGTCCCCCTCATTGTACTTCCTCTGACCGGCCACAAGAACGACATCTACCTTGGCAGCCACAACGATAACAAAGGCCCTTCCCTGTTCAAGCTCTTCTTGTGGATTCAAATCTCCTGGCTGTCTCTATGGGGTGTCAAAGCCGCCGCCTGGTTTCTCCCTCACGCCTTCATGTTCTTCTGCGGTATCGTCAGTGCTGGCACTCGCAAGTACGCCACCGTCTTGAGCAACTTGACCATTGTCATCTCCATCTTCTTCTGGGGCCTGGCTTCTTGGCTCACCTTCAAGAGCATCTTTTCCCAGGCCTTCTCAGATGGCATTGCTTGGGTTGTCAATCTCGAGCGGGTTCTCGGCGCCTGCTTCGTCTCCTCCGCTGTCCTTCTCGGTGAAAAGGCCATTGTCCAGCTCATCGGTGTGTCTTACCACCAGCGGTCCTTTGACAATCGCATCAAGGATTCCAAAAGGGAGATCCACCTTCTGGGTCTCTTGTATGATGCTTCCCGTACCCTGTTCCCCATGTACTGCCACGAGTTTGCCGAAGAAGACTACATCATCGAAGATAGTATCGAGATGATGCTTAGACGGAAGGCTGGCAAATCTGCCGTCCCTGGCGCCGTGGCTCCTATGAGGATCATCGGAGACGTTGGCCGGTTTGGCGACAAGGTGACGTCCGTTTTTGGCAATCTTGCGAGCGAAATCACTGGCAAGCACGTCTTCAACCCCAACTCGGCCCACTCCATTGTCATTGAAGCTCTCGAGAAGAAGCGATCGTCCGAGGCCCTCGCCAGGCGTCTCTGGATGTCCTTTGTCATAGAAGGCAGAGATGCTCTGTTCCCAGACGACGTGGAAGAGGTTCTTGGTCCAGCATACAAGGCGGAGGCGGAAGAGGCCTTTGAGGCCATTGACACTGACGCCAATGGGGATATCAGCCTCGAGGAGATGGTTCGCAAGGTTGTCGAGATGGGCAAGGAAAGAAAGGCAATTGCCGAAGGAATGAAGGATATTGGACAGGCCCTCACAGCATTTGATAAGGTCTTGCTGTTCGTCGTCCTGCTCATCTCCGTCTTCATCTTCTTGTCCTTCTTCAACAGCAGCCTTCTCACCACCATTGCTACCGCCGGTACCGCTCTTTTATCTCTTTCTTTTGTCTTTGCTGTCACCACCCAAGAATTCCTTGGCTCTTGCATCTTTCTATTCGTCAAGCATCCCTATGATGTCGGTGACCGCATCGAGGTCTCAGGTACACAGATGCTGGTTGACCGCATTTCCCTCTTGTATACTGTCTTTACACGCACCGATAAGATGCAAGTCTCTCAGGTTCCAAACATTGTACTCAACAATCTCTGGATTGAAAACATTTCTCGAAGCAAGGCCATGTCGGAGTCCTTCACTGTTGACGTCTCTTTTGATACCTCATTCGAGGATATCGAACTGCTTCGCGCTGAAATGGAGAAATTTGTCCGCTCGCCCGAGAACTCTCGAGACTTCCAGCCCGACTTTGGCATTGGTATCGGCGGTGTCAATAACCTTGACAAATTGACCCTTAAAATCAGCATTAAACACAAATCCAACTGGCACAATGACCGCGTTCGGGCCACTCGCCGCTCCAAGTTCATGTGTGCTCTTGCTGTCGCTCTCAAGAAGGTCCCCATTCTCGCTCCTGGCGGTGGTGGTGAGGCCTTGGGCGGACCTACGAATCCTACGTACTCTGTGGCCGTAACGGACCAGTGGGCTGCTGACAGCCGAGACAAGGCTGCCAAGGCAACCGATGCTCTGCGAATGGTACCCTCAAATGCGGACCAGACCCCCGAAGAGATTCTCCAGTCGGAGAAGAACGCCGTCGCAGCCCTTAATACTAACAGATCTCTTGTCCTCGAGACCTCTGGCATGTGGGACGCTGATTCCCGCTCCATCGCGTCCAGAGATCCATCAGACGAAATTGGCGCGGGTGATTTGAAAAAGGAAAGCAGCCAGCGTGGCGGCAAACGACGAGCAGGAGAGGGCTTGACCGGCCTCACTCCGATAGACAGCCAGAACGCGACCTTTCCGCAGTCGGGCACAAGTCCAAGGATAAGGACCTTTGACGAAGAAGCTCAGACCGGGATGCCGGGATCTCAGTTTGGCGTCCACCAACAGGACGGATCGAATATCGGCCGCCATTCCAGCTACCGAGGCCCCAGCTTCGACGTGAGCCGCACTGAGGACACCCTTCACCTTTCTCCATCGTTACATGTCCCTAACCGTGGTGCGAGCGTGGGTCGACGCCAGCGAGGATCGTCCACGTCCGTTGACGGTCAGTGAAACCGCATGAAGCAACACATTTTCCCCTTTTAGATAAAGGGAGACGGATACTCAGTCTTGGGGCAAGCACGCTCTGAATAACTTGAAGTATTCTGTTTAGATTGAGGACCTCCCTAGTGATATTTTCCACTATGAGTGAGCTTGCAAGTTTTCCTTTTCTTTTTCGGTATCAAAGGGTCATGTTTTTTGTTTGAAGAAACGAGAAAGCAAAAAAACAATGTTTGGGACAAGTGGTTTATGATTTGAATTGCGTCAAAAGAGGCCCTGTTGTACGCTACGAGCACAACGAAGGGCGGTTTCTTTTTCCATCATGGCGGGAGAGGAGGAAATACATCAAAAAAGGGAAACTTGGATTGAATTAGACGCGGAACCAAGACGCCGTGGCCAGTGCTGGCACCGCTATATATCACGGCATGAATTCTTATACTACATATTAGCTTTTTTAGTTTTAGCACACTCTCTTCTTCTTTGTTTTGTCAGATTATTCGCATACATCAATAGATTTGCCGTTATGCCTTGGCAACCTCGTTGCGTTTGCACTTTTGATTTGATGGCTGTTCACGTTACCATATTCGGCTTACTTGTAGTCTCAGTGGCAAGGCTCACTGGTAGCTTGCCAGTAATAAACCCCGCTCTTGAATCCATTGATATTAATCGGTGTATAAAATGAAAAGACCTTGTCTACTATGTACTTCTCTCCATTCTGCTAAACCGTCTTTGATACGAGCTGACCTTGTATCTTGAGTTATGACGAGAAGCCTAGACCTGGATACATGCCATTACCACAGCCGATGACTAAGCCCTTGAGCTCAGGAGTTCTGCCTTACTTCACCTCATTTGGTCTTCAACTACCTTAGTACCTAATTATACAACGTAACCTCGTCAACTTATCCGAAAACTAAGATGAAGCTGTCAAATGATTGTCACAAAACACGGAAAACCGCTGTTGTTCTCGTGGCGATCCGTTTGTGACTGATTGCTTTTCCGAATCCTGGGGAACCAAGTGCCGCTGTCCTGGTACCTCATTTCTGACTCTTCACATTCACTAACCCATACCACCTCATGGTCCTACGCGGCTTGACATGGGCATGCTCAGGCCACTTGATGGCATTGGACCACGGCTCAGACTCGCCGACCCCTGGCTCTGAATCCCGGAATCCCATGCATCTGTCTGCATGCATAGCGCTGGCACCAATGAGCCAAACCATCCCCGCAAACTTCTCCGCACGGCCAATGGCTCCATCTCCACACAATGGTCTGTCGTGGAAGCCCGACTATTTCCCCAAAAAGCTAGCTGGGAGCTCTGTTTCCTGAATCCGTCCCCACCATCAGCACTGCTCGAGGCGTTCGGAAAAGGTGCCTCTGGCTCGCCAAAACGGTTCCATGGCGAACGTGTGTTGCGAGACGAAGCAGAAGCCCACCCGAGCTAGGAAAAACGTGGCGGCCACGATCGAAACAAGAAGTGACGGTGGGAAAGGGGAGGGTGGGAAGCACTGGGATCCGAGAACCTGCGGGGGTGGTCGTTGGAGATGCATGTAACGCTGGCCCTGTGAGACGAGCCGTCGGGAAAAGGAAACCTTGAACCTTTTTTTTTCTGGAGAAGACCCTTTTCTTTAGATATTACCTTTTGTCTCGAAGCTAACACAGACGTGAGTTTGCTTCTTTGTGGATATCATCTCTTCAACTACTCGTTGCTGCTACCAAGGAACTATCTTGCAAAGCTGTTGATTGTCAATTGCGAGTCTGGGCTCTGACTGCGTTTGGTTGATGACCTAAACTTGCATCGAAAAGATTGTCCGATATAGGAGGAGCGGCCTCGTTGCATCTCCAAGCAGCTGATTGTCTTTTCGTCTTGGTCTTGACTTGTCACAAAAACACATTCACAATGTCGACTACACCAAACGTCACGCAGAAGCCGCCGCAGCAGGTATGCGACAACTGTCGCTTCCGGAAAATGAAGTGCGATCGCGGTCTGCCGTGTAGCAACTGCGTCGTCTCTTCCATTCCTTGCCGATACTTGCACACGCTCCGGCGCAAAGGGCCAAGGGGAGGCAAAGGCCGTCGACTGTCTCAAATCAGGCAGGGCCTCACAGAACCTGACAAGAACCACTTCGAGGTCAGCACGCCGAGCACACAGATCCAGTTCAACGCCTTGGAAGATTCAACTCGAAACCGCCCTGTCAGCCAGCAAAACCCCCTTCTGGCCCTTGCAACAGCGTCTGGCACGGCGACGGAACATGACAAGCAGAGGCTGTCGGTGGCCTTGGCGGCTCATGTGCAGGTGTTTATGAAGCACCTGTTTCCCATTATGCCCGTCGTCAACGACAGGGAGCTGCTGACCGACTCGCTGCGCTTGGATGAGCTCTCTCCATCACGGTATGCCTTTCTCCTGTCTCTCTGTGCTGCGACGCGGATCCAGTTGAAGCTGGACAATGCCGAAGAGTACGATGAGACATCAGTCGGCATCAACACGTCGCTAGACTCGCCCCTTACGGGTGAGGCTCTGCTCACCGCTGCTGAGCAGGCCCGGCTGCAGTTCAACGTGGTCGATGACCTCAGCCTGGACACGCTGCTGACATCCTTTTTCCTCTTTGCGGGCTATGGAAACCTGGAGAAGCATACCCATGCTTGGTTTTACCTGAACCAGGCCATTTCATTGGCTCTGTCAATAGGCTTACACAGTGAGTCGGCCTACAGCAACCTGGAAGAAAGCGAACGGGAAATCAGACGGCGGATATTCTGGTTATTGTTTGTGACCGAAAGGTAAGCGTGAAATGATTTGAATCGTTTCATCACAAATTTGAAGCAGGGAAAACTAACTCGCATGCCCCTGGTAGAACATATGCTCTGCAGCACAGGCGGCCGGTGATGCTGCGCAACACCATCTCAAAGCCGCAGATTGTCGACTCAGACTGCCCTATTGTCATGCACGATTTCGTAAACCACGTCCGCCTATTCGAACTACTGCCCTGTTCTCTGTATGAGTGGCAGCCTCACACCGATGGATGCCAGCCTCAAGGTGTCGCTCTCAGCCATGCCATCAGCAATAAACTCTCCGCCGTGCAGCCCGCAGAATCGGTAATGGAGAGCCAGAGATTCGACACGCTTGTCACGCAACAGTGGCTTCGTGTGTCGATGTGGCGGCTCGCGTTTGGTACCAAGCCGAACCTCGTGTATGGACAGGGTCTCATGCCCGCTCTTGGCTTGCCGTTTGAGGCTGGAAAATCCATCATGAAGGCCCTGGGATCTGTGAGCCAGAGCTCAAAGGACTGCCACGGAATCGCAATTGTAAGTTTAGACGAGAAATATTTTCTGCGACACAACAAGTGAGCGGATGCTAACAGAAGATATTCGGCAGGAACAAAAACTGTTCGACATTGGAATGAGTCTGGCGGACGCATCCATGTCTGCTTCTCCCATGCCCTCTTTCGAATTCGGGCCACAGGACGTTCTCTGTTCTGTTGTCAAGTTCCTGGCCCGTATTCGCGGGTGTCAATCTAATCTGCTACCCAAGCTTCTAAAGCACTCGGAGATGATTCTCGGCTTCTCAAATCCCATTGCCAGCATCGACATCCACTGGCCGGCATTGCTTGAGGAGCCCTCAGGAGGAGTGGCGGAGAACGTGGGCGACCTAGCTGCTCAGGGAGAAGAATCATCCAGCAGCACGGGCAGCTGGCAGGATACCTGCGATCTGACGATGCTGGAACCTGGTGCGGCATCGTTTATGGCGTTGTCATGCGAAGAGCCGCCGTTTGACGCGGATCAAGTGCACTTGCCGGGGCAAGTAGAAATTGCATAACGAGTTTAATTGGAAGCCTGAAATAATTTCTTGGAATCACCCTTTTTCTTCTTCTTCTTTTTTTCTTTTGTTTTCAACAATTCGGGTTGGGTTTATTGGGTGGCTATGAAAATGTTTATGAAATATGCCCTGTTTAACAGCTCTATGTATATGCCTATGATGCTGCCATGGTTTTCTGCCAAACCATGCCAATCAATCAACAGAGAATTCCTGTTTCTTTTTTTTGGAACCCTCCTTCATTAGCCTCCTTCACCTCTCTCTCGTGAAGACTCAATTGACCATTTAGCTCATCTCATCTTCACAGCTCATCTTTGAGAAGGCTCTTCCTGGCTCAATCGACCATCCAGCTGCTCCTCAAAGCTCGTCCTTGAGAAGGCTCTTCCTGGTGGTATCCTCTCCGCTGGTGCTCTGCAGCCTAAACACCTTGGCCGCATGTCTCGGCACCCGCACGCTGATCGAGCCGCCGGCCTCGACGGCGCCAATCCGCTCGCCAAACAGCCGTGGGTCCCGACGGCTCAGGCCCTGGGCATAGGGGAGCTCCGTCGCGTTGTACCAGTCGAGCTTGGTCTGCAGCAGCGAGCGACGAGCATCCGCATCCTTGGCGTCGAGCAGGGCCTGGGCGTCATGCGAGCTCATGCGGGAGCCGCTGCTACCCCACAGGTCGTGGATGGCCCAGTCTTGCTTGACCTGCGGGGCGGTGCCCACGCCGTCCATGATGAAGACGTCGTCGAGCGAGACGGTCATGTCGAGGTCCGCGTCGGCGGCGTTGAGCAAGATGACGACCTGGTCGCCGTTGGCCAGGGGGCCGCTCCAGACGTGCGTCTCGCCCACGCCGTGGCGGTCCTTGGGCACGTCGAGGTCGCGCGAGATGCGCTGGACGGCGCGGCCACGGGGGTCCTGGTTAAGGGCAATGATGGCGGGGTTGTTGATGATGGCGAGAGACGAGGCCGTCAGTTTGCGGAGGTCGTTGCCGAGGAGCAGGGGGGACTTGAGCGCCGCCCACATGGAGAAATGGGCTTTGTACTGTGTTTCCATCCCATGTTAACACGATACTACATGTAAGTCCGAGAGTCACAACAAGACCATCACGCGACTTACCTCTTCTTCCGTCATGCCGCCGTGGCCAACTTCCAGCATGTCCAGGTCGTTCCACCCGCCCGGCAGGCCGCGGTCGATGTAGGGAGCCACCTTGTTGATGATGGCCAGGACGGAGCAGTGCGTGCCGGGGGCGATACAGGCTGGGTCGGCGGCGTTTGTGCACGAACACAGGTCATCCGGACGGGCAAACGAGTCGTAAATGTCGCCCGATATGCGCCAGGAATTGGCAATGGATCCTCCCCACTGCGATGCGACAAAGAAGTTAGCCGTCTCTCCCTCTTTTTCTTCTTCTTTCTTCGTCTTGCATTCCCGGACTGTTCTGCGAGTGACGAAAGCCAAGACAGGGGGGGGGGAAAGACTTACAGTGTGGACATAGTCCTCGCCCCAGCTGCATAGGCTGTATAGGATGGACCGGCCCGTCTTCTTGAGCGCCTTGGCCATCTCATTGAAGCGGTTAAAGGAGATGAGGGGCGTGCCGAACCGGCCCATATGATAGCAGTTGTCGTACTTGAGGTAGTCGACACCCCAGTCGGCGAAGCTCTGCGCGTCGTTTTCTTCGTAATCGAGGGATCCGGCTACATTATGTGGAAATCAAAACGATTAGCCAATTCCTCGTCAAACCAACTCATGATACAACAAAGATCCACATCGGAAGCGCTCAAATGGAAACGACAGAGGGAAATTTTGTAATAACTCACCATATCGCGCGCAAGTCATCTCGCCCGCGCTCGAGTACATGCCAAACAGAAACCCCTGCTCGTGCAGCTCATCCGCCACCGCGCCCATGCCGTCCGGGAACTTGGTGGTGTCCGCGACGAGCTTCCCCTCGGCGTCGCGGCCCGACGACCAGCAGTCGTCCAGCACCACGTACTTGTAGCCCAGGTCCTGCAGCCCGTATTCCGTGAGCAGCTTGGCCGTGTTGGTGAGGAGGGTCGACGAGACGGAGCAGGCAAACGTGTTCCAGTTGTTCTATTGGAGGAAGAAAAACAATACATCGTCAGCTCTTTGGTTGGTTTGGTGTGTGATTCGATTTGCTTCGAACTGATGTGCCGGGACAGGACGAAAAAAAAGGGCATCAGTCACAAAGTACATACCCATCCCATCTGGGGAGTTCTCGCCAGTCCGTTGTTTACGGCCCGGACGCCGCTCGCAGAGAGGGCCACGAGAAGGCCTTCCTTGGCTGGAAACCTCATCTTGTATCACCAACACACACAGGAAACGGTGAAACTTGCTCTTGAAAGGGGAGAAGAGGTATGAAGAGCGAACGGACAAAAACAGAGGAGCGATTCGTTTTATGTCTGCGTCTAATATACCTTTTCGGCTCTAACATCAAAAAGAGCAATCCGCTTCTCCCGCCCCCAGGACCAGCGATCAGGTCGGAGGAACCGAAACAAGCCACCGATTGCTATTAAAAGAGAAACAAAGTACAAGATGAAGGAAAAAAAAACAAACCACATCGAGGCCCCCAAACAATTCTCCCCTCCGTCACCCCTACCTGTTATTCCATCTCTCGTCCTCCTGCCCCCCCTTCCATATTCCCACGGAGGATTAGTCTTGGCTGGGTCTCCAGCGGCTATCGTGCCGTTCGTTACGGTCAATTAATCGGGGACGCCTGTGATTCGTGGCAAATGCGATGCTTTATCGATTTCAGACAAATTGGGGTGGGATCCCGTGGGAGTTTACTCGGGAGAAACTTGGGGGTCCACAGATTTAAGTGAGATCTGTGGGATGGGCGATCTTGGCGGCGCTGGTGATTGATTTCGCTGAAAAGGGCAATCCGGGGTAAGTTGGCCGACGCTGCAAACTATTTTGATACACAATTCGAGTATTCATTATTCTTGTTGTGCATAATATATGCCAAAAGGACTGACTGTTTGTTGTTTAGAGAAGCAAAAAGCCGGTCCCGTGTACTCCGTAGTCTGGGTTGCCGTATCTGGAAATTGCGCCTAAGTGGCAAGCCCTCAGCTTGATGGATAACCAGCCTTGCCAGCATCAACCAGTGGGTTCCATCCAATCCATCATCGCTCATATCATCCATGATCTGAGCGCCTTGTCGGTGTGGCATCTGCCATTCAGCTGCCGCTGTCGTTATCTGCTCCGCCGCTGCCAGTATCTGTGGTACCGCTGCCAATATCTGCACCGCCGCCCTCATTGTCTCCTATGTTGCTGTCATCGTCTGCTGTGGTGTTGCAATGATCTGCGCTGCTCTCGATTTCATCGCCATCCTTCTCCTCCGGAGACGAGAGACGCCCTCTGTTTATCCATAGAAAACCTTGGCGTGACAGCTTTCTTCTATTGTGTATGACGACGGTGCGCGCATGTTCAATCACTTTCAATCTAAGCATTGCTCTGAGGATAACTGATACCTTCCCAGGCACACCATGAATGCAGAGACATGCCAATCCCGACATGAGTATTGCGGCTTTTGGACAGACGTAAACGCCGTCGCCGATTTTGCGACGTGTCTCTGCTTGGCTTTTTGCAAGGGATTTATACAACGCTCTGTATCCCTGCCATTGTGACAATGATCCTGCGGATAAGACGTCGGTAAAATAGCATTCCTCGACGCACTCGTTGAAACAGTCCATGTTGATATTGGGGTTTCCGACAAATACCGAAAAGAGGGCACGCATGAGTTTGGTGCACAGCTGCTTCTCTTCATGCGCCTCCATCTGCTTTCTCTCTTGTAGAGAAGGTAGTGGGCATATCTTCCAGACTTCGCTGAGGCGTCCTTTGAACTATAGTAGAGATCCAAGCAGCGAATCGGGGTGCGAAATATGCTTCTCCCAATCAAGCGCCGTCTCGTCTCTATCGGGGCCTTTGGACGTTGACGCCATTTTCGGGGAGAGGATGTAGAAATGGAATGACCTATGATAATAAACCTGGATAACTGCTATGAAGAGGAGGAGAAAAATGTATTAGCGGATGGTTGATTTGTAAGAAGAGAGCTTGGAGGATGAAGTCTGGACTTAGGAACCCATTTGGTTCTACGACGGCGCCTTCTCCAGTTGAGCATTATGTTCTGTCTATTGGACTCTTTTGCATTTGGTGCAAGGGCAAGCCAGGAGCCATCATCTACGCAGTAAGTACGAGGTGACTCCTAGCAGCTTCCCGATCGCAGTTACGAAAAGTTACCACTGTGTAAGGTGAAGTACGGCTTCATTCTTCACGATCTCTGGCTAAAATTCTACTGCGATGAACAGGTGTGTGATTATCATAATACGTAATTAGCTTATCTCAACTACAGAGTCATCCTCCGGACAGATTTAGCCTGTAAAATGGCCAAAAACAATGGCCCCTTAATAGCAAGCAATGCTCTTCCCCCCTCCTATGGCAGAGCGTCGTTCTGAAAGGCATCAATCTTGTAGCTGGCAAACTTCCTTGCTGGGACTTTGCGGGCAAACAAAATGTCCAGCTCTTCATATGTCCGGTCCTTGGACTCTGGCAACCGGAAATATGCCCAAACAAAGGTGATGAATGCAGTCCCGCCCCAGACGAAGCCAGTATAACCCTTGAGGTTCCACTGCGTCGGGTTCATGAAATATGGCTGCAAGACACCGGCGACGATGCCCGTGACAGCGTACGCATTACGAGCCAGGCAGACCGTCTTTTGACGAAGGCGCGTCGAGCCAAGCTCTGCCGGAAGAGCCCAACCGAGCTGACCGGCCGATAGCTGGAAGACAAAGGTCCACACCAATGTCAGGACGGCCTGGGCCATGCCAACGTGGTGGTTGCTTGTTTTGGCGTTGAGACCGCCAATGATGATGAGGATAACCGACATGACGCCCATGCCAACAACATATGTCGTACGTCGTCCAAAGTAAGGCATGATGAGGACCCAAGACACGATGGTGCCAAACAGGGCCATGCCGTTTCCACCGACACCGAGGTGATAGGTCTGTGTTGTGGTGAGACCAACCTGCTGGAAGAAGTAGGTCGAGTTGTAGGCAAAATTGATACCGGAAAGGACTTGACCGGCAAACACCACGCAGGCAATCTCAGTTCGGCGAAGCTCAAAGCCCTTGAAGCAATCCCAGTACGATGTGCCGACGGAAAGCTGTTCTTCCAAGTTGTTGGTGTAGATGATCAGGTTGAGACTCTCCTGAAGTTCTTCCTCGGAGGGGTTAGAGCGGAGCTTTCTCAATGACTCCTTGGCCTCCTCGTGGCGGCCCTGACGAACAAGATGCCAAGGGGTATCAGGTGCGAACCAGATGATCGGGAACAAAATCACGGGCCAAACCCACTGAACGGCAAAAGGAATTCGATAAGACCACTCCGTCGTATTATTAACGAGGCCGGCGAAGATACCGGCTGAGATGAGCTGACCAATGATGAAGCACATGTTGGTCCAGCTGGTCAGGTACACTCGCAAGGTCATTGGCAGGACTTCGGAAGCATATGCTGGCGCGGTTGTGGCAAAGATGCCCCACGGCAGGCCACACAGCAACTCGCCGACAAGCAAGACTTTTGTGTTTGGCGCAAAGAAGACAATAAAGACAAAAGCGCTCATGGTGACCAAGGAGCCCAGAATAACGCGGACGTGACCAAATCTGAGAACGAGATAGCCATTGAGAAGAGTACCGAAGAAGGAGCCGACGTTGGAAGCATTGCCTAAACCAGCCTGCCAGGGGGCTGAGAGCTGATAATTGTTGGTTGCCTCGTTAAAGTGGCCGTACTTCTTAGCGAATTCGGGATAGGCGTAGAAGTTGCTCAAGAGGTTTGTATCATAGCCCTCCATAATGACGCAGGCAGACACAACCAGGCACCAGAAGATGGCCTTGGGATAGAGGCGCAGAGCCTTGAGCGGATGCAGGTTGTGCTCGGCCTCGGCACCCTGCTTGGCCTTGTCAGCAACCTCATTGATGGCGAGCTTCTCATTGGGCTCAATGGGAAGATCTTCCGCGTGGTCCACGGCCAGTGACTTCTCCATGGCTCCTCTTGATGGTGGAGATTTGAAGATCAAGCGAACAGCCTCCAACAGAGAGAAGAGGGGGGGTTATCGAGTGAAAAAAGAAATTGTCCGTAAGAGAGACTCGAGGCAGACCCGTGCTTATCTTGACTCCTGTCTCACTCTTCCAGGTTCTCGGTCAACTTCCTTTTGAAAAACGACACCCCAACGAGCCTATTTTATAGTTATTCCAGCTTCTTCTCTTCCCCCTCCATCCAGCCCAATAATGACTAGACGCCCTCAAAGAGTCCCTATCATGCTGTTGAAAAAACTCTTGGCCTCGTCGAGATAGCTTACAAGGGTGGACTCGGCTCATCTTCTTCACCCCGCAATTGGCTATTCCATACAAGGGTAGACTTAGCCTTACAAGCCTCCCCGGACTTTGTGTTTTTGGCGGCGGTATTGAGGTGCTGTGGTTTCTCAGGCAAAAGTATCAATGCCCGATAATTTCCCCTTTTGGGTATTGTGAAAACAGGCGCGGGGCCAGAAGCAAGGAAGAGGCAAATATTTTGGCGACAGTTGCAGGTGACAGGGGTATTCGCAGAGGGGGACTGAGATGAGAATGATGAAGAAAGCATCTCGCCCTGGCCTGAGGTCGCCTGACGCTCTCGGATGTCTCCTGTCATCATGCGACGTCTGTTTCCTGTGGGCTCCACGAGCCAAATTTTGACTATTGATGGTCTGCTTCGGATGTGTCGCCGAACCTCGACTGGATTGGGTACGATGGCAGCGAGCCTGGAGACGTGACTGCGAGACAACCCCCCCTCTCTAGGAGCTATAGAATGGCGACATGGCTTGATATGATAGCTCCGGACTCAGTAATTTCTCGGAGTATCTCGCGGACATGTAGGCGATGGTGTTTGTTCCCCGGGAGTGACCCCTTTTGGAATCGTACTTAACGATTCGACTGCAGTAGCTGCTCTCGTTAAACTGATCATCTTTTTGCATAGGCATCGAAAGAAGTCCAGTCTGTTGGTGCGATGGACTCCAAAGTCACGGCTGCAACCGTTCAGGCGACGGTGCTAAATGCCCTGTCCGGGGTATTTGCCCAAGGCATTCTGGCATATCGCAGGGGGGTTAGTAAACAGCCCCGTGGCATCGCAATAATTCGCCGTTGGTTGATGGTTGATGTGCTGACACAAAGCCCGCTTGCATGCAGACCGTCGATGGTGTTGATCTCTCTTCCATCCTGCGCTTCATAGTGTACACGGTGCTCACAACACCTCCCAACTATAGGTGGCAGGAGTTCCTAGAGCAGACGTTTCCAACCACGACAGAGGAAGAAGAAGACAAGTCTGTCGGGGATAAACCAGTCCAAGATGCTGTGACAGGGACTGGAGGTAGGCTGAACATTGCCAACACGGCGGCCAAGTTTATCCTGGATCAGGCCCTTGGAGCACCGGTCAACACGCTCATGTTCATCTGCCTCATGGGCCAGATGAACCTTCAAAGCTTTAACAACATCTTGAGCAGTGTTATCAGTGTGAGTAACTGAAACTACCTCTTCGCTAGCTGTTGATAGAACCCTGAAGAGGCTGACCCAGAGTTGTAGGACTTCTGGCCCATGTTGTTCGCAGGCTATCGATTGTGGCCGATCGTCTGTTTATTGAACTTGGTTGTCGTGCCGTTTGACTACCGGCAGCTTGTTGGCAGCATTGCTGGTCTTGGATGGGGAGTATTCCTCAGTCTCAACCAGATAAAGTAGGGGATGACTGAATGGAAGAGACCAGATGGGACGGGACAGAAGAACGAATTAGAAGGTATGAGAAGGAGACTCAGAGAAAAAGAGACAGAGCTTGCCGCTATGGACTCCAGCCACGGCAGCGAAGGGACCTCGTCAACAGATTGGTGCTCCTTGAAAGGAGGTAACTTTGTGATTTCGCAATTGACAGCTGATTCCTCCTCCCGCCAAGAGGGTGGACTAACAACAAAGAATAGTTTGTCTTGTCTCGTTATTACTTGATATTCCAAACGGAGTTGACATTTGCAAAGCAATGCCTTCACGGAAGGATAACCGTCATCGGGTGACCCAGCACTTTAGCCGGCAAACCGTCTTCTTCGACCTTTTCCGTCCACCATCTCTTTTTCCGTCCCGGATCTCTCCACCTTTTCCGCCTCTTCGCTCTAAATAGCTTCAATCGTTCCCGTAGTACAAAATACCAGGACTGGTATTTCCGTCGGCTGGAAGTTGCGCTTCGTCCTCGATATGGAGCTCAGCCAAGCTTTTGTCCAAATGTAGTTTCTTTGCCAAGTTCCGTCTTATACCCCAGACGGGGTTGTAAATCCCCCGCGATCGCAACACAGGGGTAAAGCATCTCCGCATTAAGCCCCAGAAGATCCCCATACTTTGCATTAGATCGGTGCAACCCAAGTACGTAACTGTCGTAGTGTGTCTGGCCATTCCTGCTGACAAGAACCGAGGAACAAAATAGGCAACGCAATACCGAGTATTGCATCTCTCGTGTTTGGTAAGCCTTGGCAGAGAGCGTCAGAGGCCGAGCAATCCTCCGCTGCAAGTGGCGGAGAGTATACCGCCGGGTTGCTTAATTCTCCCGGTCAAGAGGTATCCGGAAGAATTCGTCTATGACGAGAGAATAACAATGGATAATATGTAGGCGAAGATAGTATAAATTGGCCGTATAGAAGCTTGATTGAGTATCATTGACCCAACTGCAACCCTCCACTTCCAGAGCTGCAAGCTAGTCGATCCGAAGTGTCTCTGCTTGACATCCTAGGAGTTCCTTGTGCCTTCTTTTTCTTATATTCAGTTTCGGGATAAGATCAGCCATGACAGGTCGTTTGCTTTCGGCGCTCGTGCTCGGCTTGGGTGTGACAGGTGCTGTTGCAGCTCCCAATGCCAAACGGACGTCTAGCCATGGTCATCAGTTGAAGATCATCTCCTACAAGGAGACACCCAACGGCTTTCGCAGCTCCGCCCGTGGATGGAACTCGTTCGGCATCCAGGCAAACCCGCTGACCCTCCCCAGCTTCAAGTTTGACCAGGAGCATGTCATTGAGCAATGCGACCACCTTGTTGGCCTCCCTGGATACGACACTTGCAGCTTGGACTCGGGTTGGTCTGTTGGAGATCACGGCGATGAATACGGCCGTATCCTCTACGACAACACCACCTTCAACATCCCCGCCTTGGCAGACCATCTCCATAGCAAAGGCTTGAAGTTGGGCGTCTACATTGTGCCCGGTGCCTTCTTGGAAGATGTGAACAAGACCATCATTCACACAAACACCAAGATTGGTGATGTTTGCCATGGTAACGAGGGCCTTATCCGATGCATCTTCGACTACACACGGCATGAGACACAGCTGTGGCACAACTCCTGTGCTGATCAGTTTGCTAAGTGGTAAGTTTCATGGTGGTTACTCTCGCGTCAATAAGATATTTGCTCACAACGGCCTTAGGAAAGTCGATTTCGTCAAGCTGGACTTTGTCACTCCTGGATCGCCCGACAATGGTCAGATGCTCCCTCCTGATGGAAGCGGCTCCGTCATTGCATGGCACAAGGCCATTAAGCAAACTGGCCGCAAGATGCGCCTGGACATCTCCTGGAAGCTTGACCGGACTCAGAAGTACTTCAACATCTGGAACTCGAATGCCGACTCCATGAGAACCGACCAGGATCTCAACAACAGCCAGCAGCCCACCTTTGTGGCATGGGCCACGGTTCAGCGAGCCTTTGACAACTATCGTCAATGGATCATTGCTGGCCTGGAGTTCTTTGACCACCTGAACATCTATCCCGACTTGGACAACCTCCTCGTCGGCAACAACGCCACTGTCTCCGGAATCACGGACGCACAGCGACAGACGGTCATGACACACTACATCGGAGCGGGTGCCAATCTCATTCTCGGCTCTGACCTCACCCATCTCGACAGGTTTGGCCGGAACTTGCTCACCAACAAGGCGGCTCACGACGTTGCCGACTTCACTGCACAGTACCCCATGCAACCCCGCAACCCCGGCACGGGAGGACAGGGTGCCAAGCAGCTGCAGGCCTGGATCGCAGGCCCTGCGCCAAACGGAAAGGCCGTTGTTGTCCTCGCCAACTACGGACCCGATCTCGGCCAGGGTGGATTTAACGGCACCAGCACCGGTGACGAGTGGGTTTCGGCTTCATGGGAGGATCTGGGTATCAAGGGAACCTATAGCGTCCACGATGTCTGGAACAACAAGAGCCTGGGCAAGCAGAAGAGCGGCGTCAAGGCGAAGCTGGGGCCTGGTGAAAGCGTTCTGTTGACTCTGACTCGGGCATAGAGGTCGATGTTTTCGGTTCATTGGGCGAATAGAAAGCCTGATTGAGCAAGTCCTCGCAAATTAGATGGCTAGAGAAATAGGAAAAAAGACATGTTAATGCAGTACCTCTGAAACGTCATCTGCAACCGTAAGCTGTGCTGTCAACATCAGCATCTCAGAATCCCGCCCCCACGCCATGTCTAACAATGTGCTGCAGGGTGGCCCAACATGCGTGGCACTGTCAAGGATTTGATCTGCAGCATGTCTCACACCCGTATTTGCAGATGAAGACATGCATGTCGACAGTCCAGCCAGTGGTGATAATACGAGAGCTCCAGGCGATATCCTCTTTCAGGCCTCAACACTTGCATTAGGGAAGCTTGTTAGTCTCGGAGAGCCACTTGAACTAGCCCACGAGGGCCATGGCATGCATTGATGAATCCCCGTGCTGGTAAGGACGAAACACATGGCTCGACATGACATGATGAGGGAAAAGCGCCGGACATTCATGCATATCTTGGGCATGATTCAACGTTGTAAGATTGTAGATACGGAGTACAGATGAAGCAAACAAGGGGGAATGGACGAATCAGCTCGCAGAACATCAGGCGGAACTCGGAGAAAATAATGATACGCCGTCTATCTGTGACGTCCTCACGCACCAGCCACAGCATCCAGCACAGCATCCAGCACAGCATCCAGCTTGCCAGCCCAACAAAACGCCACACCAGCGGAACCACGTGTGGCTGTCACGGTACCCCACCATGCCACTTTCGGCTTGATCAGAAGAGCGTAAGGTGGTCATAACTCGCCATATAGTAGCTCCATGCTAATGACATTTGACTTTCGTCCTTCATACCGCTCCTATTAAGCTTCTTTACACTCCCTCAGCTATTTCTCCATCCAATTCCGCTCTCTTGAGACCCCAATTGCCTCTCGTGTCTCCCCAGCGAGAGCTCATGCCGCTTCGGATTGCTCAGCTTCCAGTGTAGCAGCAACCATGAACGGCCACTTTTCCGCCGTCGGTGACCAGCCGGCGAACGGCAATTATGACCATGGTTGTCAGGTCATAGATGAAGAGAAGGAGTTCAAGTATGTGCCGGGAAGCTCCCGTTGTGGTGATTCGAGTTGGAGCCAGAGTGGAAGCTAATGCGAAATCCCTCGCCGTCATAGCCGCAACCTCAACGACTACCTCCAGACCACGCACGTTGCCGAGGCAGGCTTCAACTACCACCTCATCTCCGTGTTTGGATCTCAGTCGACGGGAAAGTCGACGCTCCTGAACCACCTCTTCGGCACCACATTCTCTGTCATGTCCGAGACGGAACGTCGTCAAACGACCAAAGGCATCTGGTTGTCTAAGAACAAGCGTGAGACAAGTGCCGGAACCCGGATGGCAGACAACATTCTCGTTATGGACGTCGAGGGTACCGACGGCCGAGAGCGTGGAGAGGACCAGGATTTCGAGCGCAAGAGCGCTCTGTTTGCCCTGGCTACTAGTGAAGTTCTCCTGGTCAACATCTGGGAACACCAGGTTGGCTTGTACCAGGGAGCCAACATGGGCCTGCTCAAGACGGTGTTTGAAGTCAACTTGCAGTTGTTTTTGAAAGATAAAAAGTAAAGAACCTCGCCCCATTGGTTTGCAGGCCTCGAGCATTCCAAGACATGCGCCAATTGAAGCTCACGTGCTAACGGTCTACCGCAGCTCGACCCCCCGATCTCTCCTATTCTTCGTCATCCGAGACCACATTGGAGTGACACCGTTGTCAGCTCTTCAAAACACATTGATTCAAGATCTAACGAAGATCTGGTCGTCCATTTCCAAGCCAGAGGGTCTGGAGCAGTCCCGTATTGAAGACTACTTTGACTTTGGCTTTGCAGCTCTACCCCACAAGATTCTACAAGGAGAAAAGTTTGAGAGTGAAGTCGCGCTTTTGGGAGCGAGGTTCACCACGGGGCACCGAGTAGGAAAGGGTGACGACGGTGTTGCAGAGACCGAGGGAGGTATTCTCTTGCCCGAGTATCACAGGAGAATTCCCGCGGATGGACTGTCGGTGTACACAGAGGGCATCTGGGATCAAATTGTGAACAACAAGGACCTGGACCTGCCGACGCAGCAAGAGCTTCTAGCCCAGTTCCGATGCGACGAGATATCTCGAGAAGTCCTGGTTGCCTTTGACCTGCTTCTGACCCCGCTTGAGGAGCAGCAGACCCAAGCCTCTAAGCTCGGCAAGGCCATTGTGCTTCTTGATCTGGGCGCCACAGCTAGCCAGGCCCGTGAGAAATGCTTCAGAGCTTTTGAAGTGCAGGCTAGCCGATACCACAAGGGCGTCTACACCCGAAAGAAGCAGGAGCTAGAGAGCAAGGTTGACGGTCGACTCAAGGCCCTGTACCAAGGACAGATCGCGGCAGCTCACAAAGCCGGAGTCGCGGCCTTTAGCGAAGCCGTTGCGAACAAGGTAAAGGCCGGGCAAAAGGCCGGCGGAGCTTATGAGTTTGCCGAAATCGTCTCCAACGAGAAGAAGAAGACTACGGAAATCTTCAAGGCAGAGGTAGACAGCCTTGTGATTGAGGGCGTCGAGTGGACCAACTTTGTGTCCCAGAACCAGCTCTTTGAGGCCGAACTCGACGAGGTTAGCAGCAAGCTGCGCAAGGACGAAATCCGACGGCTGGCCACCCGGGTGGAGCGTTGGGTCAAGTCACGGTTGGGCGACGCCGTCGGCCTAGAGTTCAACAAGCTGGGATCCGGCAGAGGAGGCTCGGGAGCGCCCGAGGAAGGCCAAAAGCCGCCGACGGAAAAGGATCTCTGGGACCGAATCTGGAAAGTCTTTACTGGAATAGTCAGCGAAGCCGAGACCCGGTTTGCTGACCGAGCCAAGAGCTTTGATGCCAGCGATTCTGAAGTCGAAGTTGGCCTATGGCGCCTCCGACGTAAGAGCTGGACGGCTCTCCGAGAGAAGATTGAGGAGGAGGTCATGGAGGGCAACATCCTCTTGAAGCTTAGGGAAAACTTTGAGGACAAGTTCCGATACGACGATGCTGGTGTGCCGCGCATCTGGAGGCCGACGGACGACATCGAGGGTATTTATACCAAGGCGCGAGAGTCTACGCTCACATTGATACCCCTCCTTTCCAAGTTCAAGCTGCTGTCTAGCAACGCGTCTCCGGATCTGATTGCATTCATTGGCGTGCAGCCTAGCGGAGTTGAAGCTGGCGACGAGGAGGATCTTGTTCCCATCGGCGGCGTCGATGAAGAAGAGGGCAAGAGCCTCGAGGAGGAGATGACGGTGCTAAATGAGAACAAGCGACAAGACCTGGTCGTGCGCTTCAAGAAGACAGCAGATGGCGTCTATGTCGAGGCCAAGCGAAGCGCCATTGGCGGCATGACCCAGGTGCCATTGTACTTTTACGTCCTGCTCCTCGTTCTCGGCTGGAACGAAATCTGGATGGGTAAGGAATATCCTTGGAAGAGACTTTTGGATTCGTCGGCCTTGGCTAACTTTTCATCCCAGTTCTGCGCAATCCGCTCATGTTCATCCTTCTTATCTTGCTTGGTGGAGGAACTTATACCGCGTGGTACCTCAACCTCCTGGGCCCCATGATGCAAATGGGCAATGCCGCCGTTAACCAGGGCATGGATATTGCCAAGCAGCAGCTGCGCGACTTCGTCGCCAACAATGACACTGCACGACAGGCGTTGGCCATGCCGGCGAGGCAAGACAGCGACATCAGCATGGACACGCTGGATAGCCGTGGAAAGAAGAAGACTGAGTCTGAGAGCCTGGAGGACATTTAGATGTGAAACGGGAAAAAATAAAAGGAACCCGGAGGCGACATATGAGAAGAATAAAAGCGCCCTTTGTATAAATTCTCAAGACATTGTGGGACATTGACGGATGCGAGAGCGTTTAGCATTGATGAGCGGACAGGATACGAATAATGTCTACACAAGATAAAATAAAGCTGATTTATCCAATTCAATACTAAACTTTGACTACTAAAACGCCGATGCCCTGCCATTGATTCCCTTTCATGATATATATCTGCAACGCCAATCCATATGCACACCCCAATGGAAGAGTCAAGAAAAATCTGTCCATACCTTGCTTTTGTCTCTCTCGATCTTCTCTAGAACGCTTCTTGACCTGCTGGGGTTCCAAACCATGACGCCAGCTCATTCCCCTGCTTCTCTTCGCCCCCAGACGTGAAAAAGTCTGTCAACCTGCTCGTCTCGCCGTCATCGTCGGCGGGCCATTCGATTTTGACGCCGTTGCCCTTGCTCTCGAGCATGTCTTTGGCGGTGCCCCAGCTAAAACGACATTCAGACCCCCATCCAAAGAGAGGATGCATGTTGTTCCTCAGCCACCCCACCGTCTTGGAATCGGATGGATATCCAGAGCCCCATTCCACAGGAGTGTCTTCAGATGGAGCCTCCTCACCGTTGGTGGCGGCCGTGGCGACCTGCCGGGCGTGAAAGAGGGTTTCGAGAGCAGCATCACGGGTGACTTTTGCGCAGACAGAGGCGGCACTGACGCAGGCGTAGAGACTATCGGCCTTTTTGGCAACGGTGACCTTGGCGGTTGGGAAGACTCGTTGGAGCTTGGCCTGGTAGGTGGCCGGGGGGCCGATGGTATCGACGTATATCTCCTTGATGTTGACGCCCTTTGCGTAGACGGCGCGGATGAGATCCATGGTTGCGTCCATGGCCTGGGCGTTGAGGTTGTACGAGACGGGCTTCATCATGTTGGCACCAATATCTCGAGCGGAAAGCGCCGTCGTAGCCCAGCCACAAGACTCGTGCAGATCCGACCCGGGGGTGCACAGCGTCTCCATCAGCTGCGAGCGCACCGCCGCGGAGAGCACCTTGGAGTCGTCGAAGTGGTGCGTCTCTCTGAGCAGCGGATCCGAGATGTCGGCCGGGAGGAAGAAGATGCCGTAGACCATGGGGCCGAGGACAGGTCCGCGACCGGCCTCATCGACGCCGAGGACGCAGGGCGGGGCCGTGGAGGGATCGGAGGGATCGGTCGGGAGGAGAGCGGGCGGGATGGGCGAGAAGTGGGAGAAGGTGGCGCCGGAGATGAGGGTATCGCGGTGGGAGGAGACTGAGGGAGGGACGAAGGTGCCGGAGGAGGGCATCGTGGAAGAGACGGGGGCGGTGGTTTCTTCTTCCATGACTGCGGTCTGGTGGTTGATGAGGCGGGTATATATGGTGTTGAAGATGATCTTGGTGATGGGGAGCAATTGGGTGTAGATATTGAATTGTGTGAAGAAAAACAATCACCAGCGTATCTCAGAGGATGATGGCGGTGTTATTGCAACCGCCAATGCCTTGTACGAGGTGCTGTTGTGGTTTAAATACTAGCATCAAGATTGTTGTAGATGGACGATTGATAAAAAAGATCAATCAATTCAATCTTATCCAGCCCCTCGACGCGTCTTTCACTTTGACGCGTTGCTGGTGCTAGCGCTAGTATGCCCCATCATTACAGCGCATAGCTCAGTAAAGCTCGTCGCTGGAGCTCAGCAACACGTGCTGGGAGCTGTCCGACAAACGGGCCCGGCTAGCGCTCTTAGCAGCACTCATGAGCTGTTCCAGCACTGCCAACCCCCGCCTAAAATGTAAAAATGCCATTACTGGTCCGTCTCTCTTGCGCGCAGCTCTTCAATTCAACACGTCAACATCCACTAAAATCGCGTCGCCGAAATCTCGACTCGGACCAGCGCAAACTCGAAGCTCGGCGTCGCCTGCGGATTGAGGCAGCGGAAACCGGTTGTTTTTTTTTTGGACCAAGCGGACGTCGGAAGATTTTTGTTTTCTTCGTCCGCTGATTTTCGCACCCTTGACCGAGTCCCGACCAGCCTCTTTTTATTTTATTTTATTCCCCCATCATGCCTCGAGGCGGAGGGCGGAGAGGCGACTCTTCAGCTGAGCCGGAAGCTCTCCATGAGCTCGGCGTTCGAGGCCGGTACGTTTTGGCGCTTGGACGACGAGAGACGAATCTCGCAGGGCTGATGTGCAAATAGGAAAACCGGCGCTTTCTTAAAGGACACGGGCGAGCGCGATGAGCATGGCATGCAGCCTCTGGATGCCATTTTCTCGTCGCCCGCGGTCACTCGCGGGGAGGAATCCGGGAGCGAGGACATGGAGATATCATCAAGTGAGCTTTGTTGCATGGGCGAATGACAATCTTCAATTCCGAGCAAAGCACGGCTGACACCCTCTTTTCGCAAACTCTAGGTGCTGGACCAGGGCCAAGAACGGTCCTCAAGAACCGGCGCAGCATCGAGTACTTTATCCCCCTACCCTTGAGCTCGAAACGAACCCGAACTTACCCGTAACAGAATTGCAAACGAACGATCGTCCTCTCCCACGCGCAATCCTAGCGCCGAAAAGGCAGCCCGAAGGCTTAACTTTGCCAGCAAGGCCGGAAACAAGGCAGCGAAGACGAACGGGAAACAAAAGGCGACGGGATTAAACGGCTTTTCACGGCACAGAGACGATTCGGAATCGGAGGAGCTGGACGATGTCATGGGCGCGACCGGAAATAGGGCAACGATTGATGCCATGGCGGAGGAATCTCTACTAATGGTCGATGCGATGCCAAACGATTCGCCGAGGCTCAACACGAAAGCTGCGCAGAGAAAGGATGACGATTCATCGTCGCAGAAGAAGCGCGGAAAGCAGGTCAAGCCGGCAGCGCAGGCAAAACCCAAAGCAGCTCCTCGAGCTCCCGTAAGGGAACCTTCAGAAGAGCTGGACGCCGAGGAACCAGAAGAGGAGCCCGAAGAAGAGGAGTTGGAACAAGAGGAAGAGGAAGAAGAGGAGGAGTTGACGAGTGTCAAACAAAAGGGGCGGCCAAACAAAGAATCGAAACGCCGTGTGGAAGCGCCATCATCATCTCAGCCGCCGAAGAAGCGAGGACCGCCGCGAAAGTCTCTCCGTGAAGATACACCAGAAGAAGCACAAGAGCAGTCAGAGGAAGAGCAGCGGGAAGAGGATGAAGAAGAAGAGGAGCTTGTGCCACGGAAGAAACAGAAAACTACCGGGCCTTCAAAAGCCCAGTCAAAGTCGAAGCCTTTGAATAAAGGGAAAGCCCCTGCTCGCAGTGGGATTGTTGTGCCGGTGGCAGCGGGCAAGGCAAAGGCCAAACCCAAGACCAAAGCCGAATCCCAGCCCAAGACTAAGGGCCGGCCTGGGAGGAAGCCCAAGGACGCGGATGCCGAGGATGGAGATGTGGGAGAGACGTCGTTTGCGGCGCTGCAGCGTGGTCCACCTATGCCCAAATCTCGTGGTTTGGTATCCATGCGCAAGGACTTGGACAGCATAACGCAGACGAGATCCGGACGGCATTCTTACCGGCCTATCCAGTATTGGAGAGGCGAGCAGGTGGTTCGGGAGGATGAGGAGCAGGCGGATATGTTTGCCAAGGATCGATTCGTCATGCCGAGCATCAAGGAAGTTGTGCGTGTGCCTGAGGAGGAGGTGTCCAGCAGAGCCGCTCCATCACGGGGCAAGGCGCGGCCCAAACCGAAGAAGCCTGTGGTGGAAGAAGACTATGAAGCATGGGAGATTAACCCAGGTACTGTCGAGGGCGAAATCGTGATATGGGAGACGGAGCATGAAGAACACCCCCCGGCAGACGACGAGCCCGTCCAGGTAACGGACGAGCGCATCGCCCTATCGGCCAAGGCGGTGCAGACGTCGGAGATTCGCGATGCGACGTTCCGGTTCGCAAAGACGTTGACGATGCCGTTTATGGGTGCCGGCGTGGTTGATCTACCTCCCGGCGGCGAGAAGCGGCCCAAGAATTCGCGCAAGATGCACATGGTCTTTTTCGTGCACACGGGAAAAGTCATGGTGACGATCAACGAGGCACAGTTTCGCATATCCGCGGGCGGCATGTGGTTTGTCCCGAGAGGTGAGCATTTTCCAATCTTTTCCATACTCAAAGGCATGTTCTAACATTGATGTAAACAGGCAACTATTACAGCATCACAAACGACTACGATATTCCCAGTCGAGTCTTCTTCTGTCAAGCCTGCGAGATATCACCCGCGCAATATGAAGCTTCGCAGATGAGCATTGCAGCATAAGGAGATGAAAAAGAAGAAAAAACAACAGCAGAGAGACATAAGCGATTCACATGGCCATGACGATTCACAAACCCTCCCTCTTCAATACGATTTGACCGTCCCCCCCTTTTCCCCCCATCGACAGCGTATTTCTCCCATTCATTTTTTTCTCGTTGGCGCAGCAAGCTTTTTCCTGTCCTTCTTTTCTCTCTTCTCTCATTCGATTATAACGAAGCAACACAAAAAGGGGGAGGGGTGGAAGAAAGAGAAATGTCAAATGTTCATTTTGTTCATCTTCAGAAGGCGCAAGGGCGGGCTGAATTGTTCGGATGGGTTTGGCAGGGAGGGGGAGTATTTGTTGACTTTCTTGTTTCTTTTCTCTTTTCTCTAATCTGTCTTACAAAGCTTTCTGGCGTGAAATGAGACCTCTCTCCCCGTCTCTTTATATGGAATTCGTCAATGTTTGTATTACGTGATTGTTTTTTTTTTTTTTATGAGATACGATTTGTTTCACCTATAGCTATCTGTATGCCTAGGATTGATGCGTATGAGGCGGAGGAAAAGGGCAATCAAAATGCCAATTATGGGCTTTAAGATGATGAGTAGCCAGTGTAACAAGGTCATTACCTGCGGTAAAAGCAGAATTAATGGCTCATTTCCTATCGTACAACCCATCCATACATACATATATGACACGCTGATAACATGTCTCTCATCATACACATATGATACAACCATACAGACTACTACTACTACTACATGCCGCCTCAAAACTCCTCATTCATAATCTTCTTCAAGCCACCCATCTCCCTCTCCAGCTGCGCAATCTTCCTCTGCCCAGCATCCAGCTTCCCCAACAAATACATGACTCTGCCCGCCGACTCCCCGGTATGCCGCGGCAGCCCGCCCAGCAGCTGTAGCTCCTTTTCCACCGTGTCAATGTTCTTGGCCTCGACCTTGGCCATTTCGTTGAGAACCGCCAGGTCCATCTTTGCGCGGAGCACGCGGTCCTTGACGAGGAGGCCAAACGCCGCCTGGTGGAGGGGCTTGCCGGCTATGATCGTCTGAGGCCGTCCCTGGTACGTCTGGACGGTGATGAGCTCTGTGCCGGCGAGACTCTCAATGGCAGCCTCTCCGTTCGTTGCGTTGGATGAGAGGGATGATGCGAAAGTAGGCGAGAGAAGAACTTGGTGGTAGCGCAGGGTTGGGTTTTCAGAGAGGGCCTTGATCAGGTGCCACGCCTGTTCGATAGACCATCGCCTGTCCGCGTCGGCTGTCCTTCCGAGAAGATACATCTTGACAATGTCAGTGGCATCTTCAGTGACAATCTCTTCCACAGCCTCCTGAGGTGTTTGCCCAGCCCTGAGTCGCCGGGCTAGGAACTCGAGATCTGTCAAGCGGCCGCCCAGAACCTTGATGCCATCGTCCAATCCCGCCAAGCTGGGCCGCTGAGATGGTTTCTTGTTCTCCTCGCCTAGCTCTGCCTCCTCTTGTGCCTCACGTCTCAAATCCTCTTCCACACGTGTGATGACGAAGTTCTTTGCCACATCGGCATCCAAATCACCCAAGGATAGAGTGCGGAAGACTCTGTCTGGCATGGCTTTGGTAAGGGACTTTGAGTAGGCAGAGTCGCTGGTGAGGAACACTACGTGGGCAATGTTGTTCTGGACAACTGTTGCTGCCCAATCTGCAATCATGTCGTACACAATGCTAGAGTCTTCGTTCTTGTGAAGAAAATTGTCAACGACAATGATTGGGCGTTGCTCCGGGTGAGCCTCCAAGTACGCATCCTCGGAAATATTGGCATCCTTGTCTGTTTTGTGTCGTTCCGAAAGGGCGACATGCTTGAGAGCGGTGGCAGTGGTGTGCAGGATCTTGTTCAGCTGCGATTCCAGCGTCTCCGAAAATCCAGATTTGACGCCTGTCGTGCCCTGAACTGCGAGATCAATCATGCTGCTGATACTGTTTGCCCATGAGAACACCGGCCGATATCCAACTGCCGCCGCCAGTCTACTGATGGTACCAGCTTCGCCGTTAGCTTCCGTAATCGGTTTGCAATCAATGAGAACGACATTTTTGCGTCCACTCAAGGTTTGACTCATGACCATCTCGGCTTTTCCAGAACCTCTTGGACCAGTGACGACAATAAAAGTATCCGAGCTGCCATCAAGCCAGCTTTGTAGCTGTTCGATGAGATCCTTGCGGTGTTTCCATATCGTCCCAAGACCTTCGATATGCTCTTCCTTCTTGTGAAAAGAGAAGCTTCCTGCCTGTGACCTGAACCACTTGTAAATTCTCCAGTCCGTATAGCGAAGAGAGTGCTGCACGTGCACTTTGATGAAGAACATTCGAATAGGATCAAAGATGATGACGGAGACACCGGCGATGAGCGCGGCCACGATAGGGATAACAATTCGAGGATGCGTCGTGATCCAATTCCATATGCTGTGGGCCTTTTCTCGCTTCACGTAGGACAACCGCAGCTTGGTTCCATTCTTGCCCCCTCCTTTAGCCTCGCTGAGAACGAAGCCATGCAGGCAGTTCCGCGCCATGATGGTATCGCGCAGCGTAGGAAAGCCAATCTGAGCATATCGCGGTGTAATTTTCGAATCAGCCGGCTGAGGAATAATGTCTGCAATCTTTCCGTACCGGCGGAAGAGACTGTAAAGAACTTCCTCGGGGAGCTCCTCGGGAGCAGCGCCAGGTTCGGGAGGGACGAATTCCACCATGAGCAGAGGCGATGGATATCGATGCAGATCCTCAAGCCAGGGAACTCCACGGACGAGACGGGCCCGAATTCTGCGGAAGGGATTGAACCACGGCTTGATTGGCTCTTCTCTTAGCTTTTTCAACAGCTTGGCTAGCCAACGGTCAGTAAGTCAAAAAAGAGATGATTATCGCGTTTCGCTTACCCTCAATGTCTGTAGCATTCAGACTAGCATCGTACTCAAACTTGACAAACGCTCCGCCGTCCTTGAGCCGTGGCAAAATCTCCGTCACTTTGATGGGCAAGTTCTCCGGTATCGCTCTCTTGACCAATTGGATTGGATCCATGATGCCCAAAGAGGAGCTGTTGAAGCGCTTCATGAGGTCTGTCAGCTGCTGATCTGTTTCTGTCTGGCGACTCAACAGCGGAGTAAGCTTAAGGGGAAACAAATCTGTGAGAAAAAGGCCAAGTTAACAGGGTATCAGTCACAGGATTCCATAAACATTTCCTCACTGTCGAAAAAGAGAATCGACTCGTTAGACTTGACATCGAATCGCCCGCTCTCTTGCTCCTCAGACGGAGACGAATCCTGCTTCTGCTCAGTAGCACCACCCTCAGCCAAAGGCATCGTCGTCGTCGTCGTCTCCCAGATTCTCTGCCCAGCTCGCCATCTCATCAGCCCATAATCAGTCCGTCTTGTCGCCGAAGGCCATGATCGTAGCGCCCGCGCGCTGCTGGATCGCGCCGCCAACAACGCAAGGCTTCGCGAGGGAATCATGACAGCTCTTTGCCACAGAAACTGCACATTTCTCTCATTCGCAAGAGTTGATGTAAAGAGAAAGAAAGAAACCAAAACGTCTTGTCTATTGAGCTCTCATACATATTAGTACCTAGTATAGCATGACGAGCTAGTTGCACGGCCAATGAGGTCATAGGAATCCATCTCAGCCCAGCTGCTTGCCAGACTAGGAAAAGCCAAGGCACTTCGGGAAAGCTGTTTTTCCCGGCCGAAAATGGCGATTGTCGATTTGACCTTGATGACCCGGAAAAAAGATGATTCAACTTGACAGCGAAGAAAGAGAAGAAAGGCGGGCAGACGTATTCCATTGCTCTGCCAACACCAGCCGAATCCAATTCCGAATCGACGGCTTTTACTCTTTTCTAAAAGAGTGTGTGAGCGGCCAACCCATTGCTCAATCTCGATTCCGCAGCCTGAACGCAATCAATATCGATCCATTTACATATACATACGTTCGTCACATTCTACGAACATCTTCAAAATGGGCTGGCTCTGGACATCTTCGCCTCCCAAACCACCAGCCGACCAATCTCCCTCCTCTTCCTCTTCTCATCCACCTTCACAATCAACTCCTCCACCTCCTTCATCAACACCCACCTCCTCTCAAACTCCCAACGAGCCCGTCGACCCCGAAATCCAAAAACTCCTCGACCTCTTCAGCAAATCCGAAGACGCACCCAAACCCTCCTCCTCCTCCTCCTCCTCAACCTCTTCATCACAATCCCCCTCCATCATCTCATCATGGCTCTCCTCAAAACTCTCCTCCGCCCCCGAATCCCCTCCCGTCCCCCTTCTCGACCCCGTCAGCGAATCCCTCCTCCCAACCGACATGTCCTGCCGCCAAGCCTTCGACCTCGCCTGGTCCTGCAACTCCCTCGGCGGCCAATGGAACGCCGTCTACCGCCACGGCGAGATGCGCTCCTGCGGCCACCTCTGGGACGACTTCTGGTTCTGCATGCGCACAAAGTCCTACTCCGGACCCCTCAAGGAAAACGCCGTCCGCGAGCACTACCGCCGCAAGGAGTACGAAAAGTACTACGCCCCCGGCAGCCGCAGCAGCGAGGACGTCTGGCAGGCGAGGGAGCAAAAGGTTGCGCCGGGGACCGCCTTTGCCGAGGCTGTTGAGATTGCCAAAGTTGACGACAACGAGTGGAGGAAGCTGGAGGAGGAGAGGAGGAGGGAGATACGGCAGGGATTGGGGTTTGACAAGAAAGAATGACAAGGGAAAGAATTGGATAATGGCCTTTAAAGGCAGAGGCATTGCCTTGTATTATTATGACTGTTACTACCACTACACTGATATAACCTAGATATCCAGATTTTCTTCTCTTGTATATAACACATCGTGAGAGTATTATACTCTGGACAGCTGCTTTTAGCATCGGCGAAAACCTCATTACAACCGTCCCACGTTGACACAAAAAATGCACCTGATGACGAAAAAGTCCTCTGCTAAGGTAACCACAAAAACCTCGTTGCATCCAGCATCTTCAACATTCACTTCTTCAATATTCTTTTCAATCTTGGGCAAAGCACATTCACAGATTCCTAGGCAATGGAAACAAGTAGTTGGTTCTAAACCATTTGAATTTTTTTTAATTCCCTTAAAACTCATTAAAATACAACCAGGGCCAGCGTTCCCGCCCAGCTTTTTACCCTTCATGTCCGTGATATGCTAGTTACGATAAAAGCAAAAGAAAACTCAAAGAAAGAATCTAATCATGGCATCATCCCTTGATCCCCTAGAGTAGGCCTCCACACATCGTAGACGGCATTGCCAATCTGGAAGCTCAAGTCTGATGTTGGGGTATCAAAACAGCTTTTTTTTTGTGAATTTAGTCGACCTCCTCGACGGTAGGGCCGTCATCGCCACCGGCGTGGGGAGCGCCGCCAGCGCCAGGGAAGCCGCCAGGGCCGCCGGGCATGCCGCCGGGCATGCCACCCTCACCACCAGCTCCGTAGAACTTCATCATGATGGGGTTGGCGACACCCTCGAGCTCCTTCTGGTGCTCCTCGTACTCCTCACGAGTGGCCTGCTGGTTCTCATCGAGCCACTGGACGATCTTGTCGATCTCGGTCTTGAGGGTCTCCTTGTCGCCGGCCTCAATCTTCTCATCGACCTTGGGGTCGGTGAGGGTGTTGCGGAGAGAGTAGGCGTACGACTCGAGGCCGTTCTTGGCAGAGACACGGCGGCCCTCGGCCTCGTCCTCCTCCTTGTACTTCTCGGCGTCAGACAGCATGCGCTCAATCTCCTCCTTGGACAGGCGGCCCTTGTCGTTGGTAATGACAATCTTGTTGGACTTGCCGGTGCCCTTCTCGACGGCGGAGACGTTCATGATACCGTTGGCATCGACGTCGAAGGTGACCTCGATCTGGGGAACACCACGAGGGGCGGGGGGGATGCCAGTGAGCTCGAACTTGCCGAGCAGGTTGTTGTCCTTGGTGCGCTGACGCTCACCCTCGTAGACCTGGATGAGCACACCAGGCTGGTTGTCAGAGAAGGTGGAGAAGACCTCGGACTTCTTGGTGGGAATGGTGGTGTTGCGGGGGATGAGCTTGGTCATCATGCCACCAGCAGTCTCGATACCCAGGGACAGGGGAGCGACATCGAGAAGCAGGATCTCGTTGGTGGACTTGGAGGAGGTGTCACCAGACAGAATGGCGGCCTGGACGGCAGCACCGTAGGCGACGGCCTCGTCAGGGTTGATGGACTTGTTGGGCTCCTTTCCGTTGAAGTAGTCGGTGATGAGCTTCTGGATACGGGGGATACGGGTGGAGCCACCGACGAGGACGATCTCGTGGACCTGGGACTTGTCGATCTTGGCATCGGCAAGGACGCGGTCGACGGGCTGGATGGTGGATCGGAAGAGATCCTGGCACAGCTCCTCGAAACGGGCACGAGTGATGGAGGTGTAGTAGTCGATACCCTCGAAGAGAGAGTCGATCTCAATGGAAGTCTGGGCAGACGAAGACAGAGTTCGCTTAGCACGCTCGCAGGCAGTGCGGAGACGGCGGAGAGCACGAGCGTTGGTGGACAGATCCTGGTCGGAAGTTAGCACATGCGGGTTCTGGAGGGGTTTGGACTCGTCGGTGGGGGAACTACTAACCTTCTTGTTCTTGCGCTTGAATTCGTTAACAAAGTGGTTGACAAGACGGTTGTCGAAATCTTCACCACCCAAGTGAGTGTCACCGGCAGTGGACTTGACCTCGAAGATGCCCTCCTCAATGGTCAGAAGAGAGACATCGAAGGTACCACCACCGAGATCAAAGATGAGGACGTTGCGCTCACCCTCGACCTTCTTGTCAAGGCCGTAGGCGATGGCAGCAGCGGTGGGCTCGTTGATGATACGAAGGACGTTGAGACCGGCGATGAGACCGGCGTCCTTGGTAGCCTGACGCTGGCTGTCGTTGAAGTAGGCGGGGACAGTGATGACGGCGTTGTTGACGGTGGTTCCGAGGTAGGACTCGGCGGTCTCACGCATCTTGGTCAGGATCATGGAGGAGATCTCCTCGGGGGTGAAGTTCTTCTTCTCGCCCTTGAACTCGACCTCGACAACGGGCTTGGAGCCCTTGTCGATGATCTTGAAGGGGAAGTGCTTCATGTCAGCCTGGACCTCGGAGTCGGCAAACTTGCGTCCGATCAATCGCTTGGCGTCGAAGACGGTGTTCTGGGGGTTCATGGCGACCTGGTTCTTGGCCGCATCACCGATCAGACGCTCGGTGTCGGTGAAGGCAACGAACGAAGGGGTCGTTCGGTTACCCTGGTCGTTGGCGATGATATCACATCGGTCCTCACGGAAGATACCGACGCAAGAGTACGTAGTACCCAGGTCGATACCGACGGCTGGTCCCATAGACATTGTGAATGATTGTGTGTGTGTTGCGTGTGCTCTCGAATGAAAAAAAAGGGTGAATTGAATTTACTGCAGAGTGAAGGGAGAGAAAGGAGAAGATGTGATGGATGGAGTGTTTGAGAGAGTATGTTCGGGAAAAGGAAACGGCGTTGCTGGCGGGCTGCAGAGAGCATCTAAATAAAGGACGGTGGGAGGGTTTCGATGCGGTTCTACACTATTCCAAGGGTGCCCACACCGGCATCTTGCAGGGGCTGCCAGAAGCCTCTGGTAGGCACTGCAAACGCCTAGACCATGCGCGCGCCTGCTGGAAAAGGCCCCCCCTTGCGTTTTTTGGGATCAGTGCCCGATCATCCTTTCCCTGCCTGCCCCTTGCATTTCGTCTTTGTTTTTTTGCTTCCTTCTTTCGTGGAAGCTTTCAATTGCTCGTGCCCATGTACACTCAGGTACCTAGCTCAGATCTGCTGCCTTTCCCCCCTCCCCTCTTTGCCCCCCCTCCTTTGATGTCATCTCCCCTCCAGCTCTTAGTAGAAGAAACGGAAAAAAAAAAAAAAAAAAACCATCGCGGGGCAGTGGCGGGGTCCCTGGTACCTCTGGTTCTGCAAGGACTGCGGCAGCCGCGTTGGTAGCGGGTACACAGCTGCCCCACTATAAGGCACTAGAAGGTGCTGGACAGCTCTATCGTATCGCGAGGTACTGCCTGGTACCACATTAAATCCTGTGCAGCTTTGGAATTGGATTTGATTGTTGCTGCCTTAGCCAGACCAGCCCAGAGCCTTGCAACCCTAGCAAAGCAGCACCTAAACAGCCGCTTGGGTACATACATAAGGTACCCAGTATTACCTTAGGTTACAGGTAAGATAGATAGACTAGCAACGCCCAAGCAAAGAGAGTACCAGATACTGTAGCACTAAGCTGGACAACTATCCCATCATCTCCTGTGCCTGTTTCGCCTGATGTTAAGCAAAACCCCGATCGATGGACACAAAACTGCCAAGGTACCAGCTCTACACAGAGAAAACAAAGTCCCTTGTAACCATCCTCCATCGTCATCTTGACGCATCCATCATGCCACAGAAAACAATGGAAGCCAAAATGGAACAGACACAAAGCAGCTACAACTGTCCTCGCTTATCCTTACCCTAAACCGGCATTTCGCCATTCAATGATATACTTTTCTTTGGCGCTGACTGCAAGCTATCCCATCCCATCCCATCCCATCAACATTCAGCCTCACTCAAACCCTGAAACAATGAAAATCAACAAGGCATCGATCGTCCCACCCCAACGCGGCAAAAGAAAGACGTAGAAATCAGACAAAAACAAAAAAACAAGAGCCAGTGGCAAGGCAGCTTTTGGGCGGCGAGGCAAAAAAAACAGCGGATCCCCCTTTGTCCAACCAACGAAACAAAAGCCGCCTAATCCCCATTCGCGGCATACTAGGTACACACACCATCACAGCTTGGAACAGGGAGAGAAAAGGAAAAGAGTTTTTAGCTCCACATCTTTTTTTCCAATCCAATCCGTTGAATTGATGCATCGTTTGGAAGCTGCTTGGCTGCGTCTGCTCGTCCCCGTAAGCTTCGTTTGGCTCAGCTTGATAGGGTAGCAAGGGTAGATACATGCTGCTGCTATTACTACCTCCTAGTTGCTTTACGAGTACTAAATGCAATGGATGGTAAAGGCTGATTCCACCTCGCCGTCCTTTGTATCTCAATACCGGATAAGCTCCATCAGCTTCGTAGTCACTCCAGAGCTTTCAGCCACACCTCGGATGTCCTGGAAGCCTAATCCTTTGTCATCATGAGCTTCTTTGTACCTATGCATAGCATATCCCACCGGCATAAAGGCGCAGTTACTTGTCAAAAGCTCGTGATGAATTCACAACGTCGGCTAATCCTAGATACAAAAGCCGTGGACCATAACATGTTCCCAATGCGTAACACCAAGCAGCGCTATGTGTGACACCCAAACCGAACAAGACTCCACGGCAAACAATGCATTTACACACGCAAACATTAATAACACATAGAGACGGCAAAGAAACATGTCCTTGAATAAGCCTTATTCCGTGACTAGACGCAGCTTTTTGCCCACGTCTCGCCTCTTTGAATGCCCTGCTGCCCGCTCCGAAGCCTTGTGCTCCTCCTCGATGGTGTTTCCGCGAGCCTTGAGGGCCTGGAAGAGCATTCCAGCATCGAAGAAGCCATCTGGTTTTTTTCAAGTTAGCATCTCGTCCATGTAAATAGTAAGAGAAGATCAACATATACTTACATCCTCCCAATTCGTCATCATCGCTTGTGAAGCTTGTTTCTGTTGGCGATCCCGGGACCAAACTTAGGCGCCTGCTTCCCGACTTAATCGCATCCGGCCCAGCGATCAACCTGCCTCGGGACTTGAGTCGGTTGGATGGCTTCGGTCGAGCCAGCTCTGCTTCGCGCGCCCTGCTTCCCTTTGTGCTGACCACCTTGCCGTTTGTGATGCGCAGGATGCGTCGGACTTCCAACAGGTAGCTCTCCAGCGTGTCCACAAATCTCTTGGTCTGTCGGTGCTTGCTCGACACGCAGATGGAAATGCTGTCGTCCTTGATGATGTAGCCGATGCCGAATCCATCTCCCGACGTCGGTCCGAATCCAAAGTGGCGAAGAGAAGGGTTGCCGCAGTTTGAGGTCGAGAGAATCGTCGTGTTCAGCTTGTCCCAGCCAGAATCGGCAAAGATGAGAGGGAGCGGGTGGTGGTCTCGCGATCTGGAGTTTGTGCTGTCGCCGCGTTCCCTGGTCGACCTGACTTCGACGCCGTCGAGTGACAAGTTGGAGCTCCTTGGGCTCGCCGTCGGTGAAGACGACGTTGGGCTTGACGCTCCAGGGCTGCTCATGCCGCCATCAATCAAATCGTCAACGTACTTTTGCCACACGCTAAAGAGCGCGTAGAGATGCCTGTCGCATCCCTGCGCTTTCGAGCACTCCCTGGTGTTGCCAACATGCTTCTGGCACGCGCGCTTGAGGGCCTCAATCTTGTGCTCAATCGGGTTGTCGCCCCAGAACGTCTGGACGAAGTCGACAGATTCCTTTGTGACGGGTCTGATGGCCTCTGTGCGGCCGTGCAGGAAGGTCTTGGTCATGGCAGGCTCATAAGTGCACTCGACCCTTCCATACAGACCGTAATACGCCGCCTGGAATGCCATTTGGACAAAGGCGTCAGGCGAGAATCCCATCGATGTAATAAAGTGCTTGCCATACGTGGAGAAATCGAGGCACTGGAATTCGTTTTGTTCAATCAAATCTGCCAACCTGGTTTCGGCGAATCGCACCGCGATGCTCAGCTCGGGCATCATATCCCATCCAAGCTTTCGGGGAGTAGTGTTGACGTCTCCGAAACTATCAATCTCTCGCTTGGACGGGTCAGGGCTGGTAGACGTCCAGAGGGTCGGCGCCTGTCCATTAATGGTGCGTGCGAAGCGAAGAATGGTGTCGGTATAGACGTCACTTGCGAACCGCAGCACTGTGTGGCCGTCCACGCCGGTATGCTCAAAGTTGATTCCCGCACTGCCGTTCTTGCAGACAATGATCTGAAGCTTGTCGTACCAGCGGTTGGTGCATGTACCGATCTGCACTCCGTTCTTGACCTCGCTGGTTCCGCAGAGCATGTTCTGGCAGAGATCCGCAACGTTGGTCGGCTCGATGTAGTCAAGGCACAAGACGAAGAGGGCCGAGTCGACAATATTAAGCGAGTCGGCATTGTTGGAGCCTGGCTCACGGGTCAAGATGTCTCGTAAGCCCGACCACACCTTGCGGTTTTCTGTGCTGAGCACACCAAGGGCGTTCTTGGCCGCGTCCTGGATGGGGGTCTGAGTAGCATCGTCGACAATTGTCTGGAGGTTGAGCTCAATATCCTTCTCAGTCATGATGACATCTGAGTTGTCGTCGAGAACGTCAAACCAGTAGATCTGGCCGTGGCACATGACAATGATGTGCTTTGATTCAGGGTCCTGTTCAATCTGGCATCCAGCTTCCGTGGGGACTCTGGCCGTACCAAAGAGACGTGAAAACTGATACATGCACAAAGGAGTTCCCTTGATCTTGTCCGGCGGCAGCTCTTCTTTTCTCACCGCCCGGATGAACTCTAGGGCGGACACGACGAGGGAAGCGGCACGGGTCACCTGGTTGTTTCTCGCTGGGGTCGGGTCATCTTCGAGGAGGAAGAAGGGGTTGAGGTTGAGCACTACGGGGTTGTCAAAGTTGAGATACGAGTCGTACCCTTTTCACCAACGTTAGCTGTGATATGACACCAGAGTAATAGCCAAGGCAAACGTACAAAATTGCTCGATATAACTCGTCTTGCCCTGCGCATATCTCTTCAACTTTTCCTGCAAATCAGGGCCTTCTTCTCTGAGGAACTCGCTGACGGCATGCTGTGTCTCGGCATGCTCTCTAGGAGACTGGAGTGGTTTCAGGGCTTCCAGGTATTTACGAGCAGAGTTCTCGAGTTCGGGGATGGGCAGCTTCGGTAGCTTGTCCTGGGCGCCGAAAGTGATGCCTCCCTCCATCATGGATTCGTGGTATGTCGCCTTGGGGACTCTGGTATACGCAGCAGACAGCTGAGGAGGCTGCCGTTGAGCCAGCGCGGGGGTCGGCGTCTGAGACTGAGACCGACCTGGTTCGGACTCGTTTGACGAGTCGGGAAGATCTGGGAGGCTGCGAGGAGTGTTGTAGGAGTAGTTGGGCTCAGCAAGCCGTTCGGCTATGGACTGGGGGGGATGAAAGGCACGGACTGAGGCCGTCATGGCGTCAGCAGGTTAAGAGCACTTAGAAGTATAGAGGGGAAATGCTGGTGCTGATGGAGAGTCCGCGAAGGGCGGTGCGGTAGAAATAATGGCAGTCGTCGTGGCAATAAGCGGGCATTACATTTGATGTGCCACGTAAATGAGGTTCAGTCTCATATAAGGGCAAGTGACTAGGGAGGAGGCAACGGAAGAACCGGGAAATGGGAATTAGTAGCAGAGAGGACCGTGTCAGGGCCAAGCGCAACTAGGAGGAGAGATATATATGTACGCTCATCTGGCCGTAGACGACCTCAACGGCCGGATACGGACCAGAATCCGGGGGGACGGGGAAAGGGTGGAGTCCCCACAACCAGCCGACGTCTTGTCTTCTTGGGGAGTGTAAGATGTGTAATGGCAGCTCCAGGTGTCTGGCTGTGGGTCATCTGTGTAAATCGCCGTGAAAGGCGCATCGTATCACAGGAGGTTGAGTGAATAAAGCCAAGGGAGACTTTGCCGGGGTTGAGGGGAACGTGGAAGAGCTCCTCCGCATGCCCGGCCGCGATAGTGAGACGTCAAACGACGTCGAAGGGTACCTTGCCCTGCCAAGTATCTACAACCTTGCAGACACCTGTCTCGCTGTACACTTGTACATAGACTTGCTGGTCTAGTGTCGAGCTAAAGGGAAATAAAAAGAAGAAAAAGAAGAATAATGCCCGGCGATCTGCTGGACAAGCAAGGGCATAGTGATGAAACCTCTTGACTTACCTCAGTCGTTGCTTTGGTACGCAGGTGATTCACTCACTCACTCACAGGTTGTGACGGCTGATCTAGGAGCATGTGCCTAGGTATGTACCGATCCGCAGCCGGTACATGTACTCGTACACGCCCTCTCTCTCATACATGTATGAGGCCCAACAAGACGGCCACAAGGTGATAGCCGGGGGCGAGAGTCGAGCGTCCAAGTGGGGGGAGTTTGTCTGGAGTGCAGCAAGATGGCGAAAAGCTACATGTACATGAACGGCATGTGCTCAACGGCCCAAGTTCCACGGTGAGAGCGGCAATGGCAGGCAACGTGTGCTCGGCTGCAGAGAGATGAAAAAGAACGTGCCTCGATCTGGCGTCACGTCAAGTGGATCAAATCCCGGGTTGGAGTGGTGGCTTCGGACGAGGGGATGTTCGGGCTGAGGGTTTCAGAAGAGGGATTTGATTTGTGTTGCGCTGTGAGAAACCGCAGCGGCGACGCTAGCAGAAATGCTGCTGCGAATGATCTCAGACTCGGTCGCCGGGTGAGAAATCAAATCCACTGTCTGATATGATATGAGCGTCGACTGGCGTCCTTGTGATTGCGATCTGGGCTCTGGGCCATTATTCACGATGATGTTGTTGTTGCGTGGCAAAAAAAAAAAAAAGAAAAACCAATCGAACTTGGAGAAAAGCCTAGAAGACGATGGGATTCCGCATTTGGACCTGCCTCGAACGAACTGCTGAGTCAGTCGGTCTCCTTTGGTGAGGACAGGAGGGCTCTATCCGGGTCACAAGGCCACATATTCAGCAAATTCCGTGGAAAGCAAATTGCACGTACTCGTACCGCAATCGCAATCCCTCAGCTGCTGGCTGTAAGTGACGGGCCGTTGGACAGAAGCGGTAAATTCCCATCCAGTTGCAGCGCAACGACGTCACGAGCTAGCGACCCCATGGCGCCCCTCAAAGTGGCTAAATTGTTCCAAGTTCCGGTTATCTGATGGATCAGTAGAGATGCCTGCCTCCTCTATGGCTGATTCGACGGCCAAGCAACCACCCATTTCTTCTTCTTCTTCTTTTCTCTTCTTCGCTCCCGCGTGGAGAACGTTGCAACCTCGCTATAACCTTAGTATCCGATACCTGCGATGTAACATGGCCATACTACAAAGTCAACAGTATCCGGCACCCAAGCGGAACTTTGCAGACCAGCCACAGCCGCCTTAATTCTAGTAGTACCTCTTTACCTGTATATGAAGCACATCCATCGGCTGACAGCTGAAGACATTAAATGAATATAGTGCTTAAAATAGTACATACAAGTCTGCTGAACTTTGTCCCGGAAAAGCCGAACGCCGAACGCTCAAGTGGGTTTGGTCGTCTCTCGAAATGCGCCGCATCGGCTAAGGAGGGAGTGAGAAGCTGCTCTCTCCAGTCTCCGGGCAAGAGGATCAAAAAGATAAGGTAAGACACCGAGTCCAATCACATGCTCGCATGTCTTTAATAATTGCCCCCCCGACGTTCGACTTCACCCCATATCGGAACTGTAAATGATACGACTACAGCATCACCTGGCAGAATACTAAAAGAGCCGAGAATTCCCTTGCTGCCGTCTCCCCCATCTTTCATTCGTATTCTATGCCCATCTACCAACGTCAGTAGTACTTCGTACGTCGCCGGGCATTTATGCTGCAGTCGAGTACTCGCTTGGTACCAGCGACTCGGTTGTCGACGGCCCGCCCGCCTCGGGCCAACGGACCAAAGCTGGATCAAATATTTGCTAGCACTGGATGCCATACGAGCACCACCACGCCGACGCTTCCTCCTTCTAGAGAAATGCATGCAAAATACTCGATGAATTCCGTCATCCAGCGAACGGTTCACCTAATCTACTAATTCTATTGCCCATGTACACCGTACCCTGTCGCCTGTCCCCTCCCCCATTCAAGCACCCCCACAGAGTCGTTAAGTCGCTTTCACATGTCAGCATCTCTTACTGCCCAGGATACAGTAAGTAGTATTTCGCGCAGCAATATAGACTGCATGGATGGAATCTCGAAGAAGTATGAAACTAGAATTTTATGCCCAACGCCTAATTCGAGACTTTTGCTGCTCAGACTGAACATCCGGATTCTCCGCTACATATTACATAAGTACTTGTATAGCGACGCACAAGTAGACTGGTACATGTAGATGTATGCTCATCGACATCTCAACGTCTGAACAGATGTCTGCTTTTCTCAGCCTCTAACAGTCTCAAGAGCCAACCGATATTAGCATGACTTGGAATAATGAGTGGCAGATCTCGAACAGAGGAGTGGGTCGGTATATCTCTTTGATGCCAGGCAAAACACACGACATGATACCAAGACAATGTGCATGTACCCAGCAGCGCCGGAGATCCAGGAGGCTCGAAGTGCGGAAATCGTGATTAATATCTGACCATGTCCACTGAATTGTAACATTGGCAGCCCTAAGCTTACGAGGTGTAGGTTTGTACCTTATGTAGCTCTATTGCCCGGCTTATGATCCACGTAGAAGCATATTGCGGACCACACACGAGCAAGGGTGTCGAGTGCCGTACGGCCGGATCTCCATAATTCGATGCTGCATCTCCCCTTCTTTCTTTTTGAGAGCAGACAACGCCTTTCAGGCATTTGTACCTGCATATCTGCTCGGTGGTCACATCAAGTTTCCCTTTAGAGTGCCTGCTGTTACGTCCAGGAAGCGAGAACAAGACTCGCATCTAAGAGCTGGGGTTGAAGTAAAGGTGCCTCATTGATTGCTTCTAGTATTTGTTGTCATGTAGATCAGTCCCAATCCCGTTTGGGTGTCACACTATCCCCTCCAGATCTCATATGCCGCTCTCCTCTGAGCCATATGTCAAAGTTCCACGGTTTGTATCCGGTATTCGAAAATGACATTCTTTTCCAGGATTAACATACAATATAGTGTTGGAGTACTTGTTGAGATGTCATCATATAAAGTGTTTCTTTCAGTTCATCTCTTATCTCGCATATTTAAGAGGGGTATGCGGGTAGGGTATGCTTCTTCACCTTAACATTCAAGAATTGTATTACTTTGCCACATATTATGCCTTGTAATCTAAATATTCTACCCAGAGTTGCAAAGTTCGTTTCGTAGTATGGAGTTGTAGTGACAGAGTTTGTCAGCAAATGCTCAGCCTTTAACCACACATTGACTATAATTCCGCATAATGAATTGGCTTTTCTTCTCAACGATTTGCACTCCCCATTCATTTCCGTAAGAATAATTACAATAAAAACAACTTCATTACACATAATTGCTTCTCATATCTCATTCGTAGGCAATATTCGGGCCTAGCCACTATACCCGCCCTACACCTTCAGTCACCACCACCTCCTGTATCCCTAGTAACCCTGACAATAACCCTGCCTCTCATTAACTGAACTCTGGGAGACTACATGGGGCTTCTTGCGCTTATATTGAACCACGACTAATAATTCCAATTCGTTTCTACTACAAGTCTGATGACCGCTAAGGTGTTATATGTGCAAGCAATGCTGCTGCATCGATCAAGGTCTTGCTGTTCCATCAAGGTGATACCGCTTGACCAACCCCTCGCTACATGTTTGTATCTATCACGGAAGTCTGGTTACTAGAATATGGCGTCTTCTGAGATATTGAGGGATTGAAATAGGTTGGGATGCGACTGTGATGTATACAGTGTTGCAATATAGGTACCTAATACATACGCTGATCTATCTAAAGTACTTCTACCTATTCTATATCATAGCCCGACCTCCAAGGAAAATTAAGTAATAGGTATAATCAGAGATTTTATTGGCTAATACCCCTGCAATTGACTAGATTGTTCCCTCCGTCGCTTCAAAGTGATAGTGGCTCTTATCTCGCCTTGTTGTGTTTTGATTTGCCAGATTGGCCTGCTAAATTTCGAGGCTGAGGGCACCTCCATGTGAACAATCAACCTGTGAGAAGGCTGGATGCAATGTCATGTGGTTTGCAGCACATCCGCTGCCTGGAGCGGGGTCAGGACTATGCTTTTCCGTTTGGAGACTTATCCGTCCCCTCGAGACTTGTGAAAGCGTTTGTGCCTGTCTTTCCTTTCCACGTGGGCATTTTCTTCCAGAGCGGCCGTCTGCAGACTGACACTATGGCTACTACACAAAATCCCAAGCTGTCATTTACACAAGTCGTTTGGGCTCACGTGGTCATTCGGCGTAGGAATGCTCGGAGAAGGTAACGCCCAGGTTTACCGCCTCTAGATATCAACCAGGTCACTTATTCTATGCCGCCCTATAGTGCGCATCGCGGCCGATGGGATGAAGCCTTCCGCCTCCTGAACCAGAAAGACAAGGCGACACTTGACGCCGATAGAATTAATCGGTTTCAGGCAGAGGATTTTATTCGATGTGTCGAGAATAAACAAGCATACTGCGAGTCGAAGCAGTGGACTCTCTTCACGAAAAACGATGGTACAAAGGTGAAAATCCGAGATGTCCTGGGCAAGATCGCATCGTGGGTCAAGAAATTTGAACCTCTCGGAGACGCTGCCACACATTTTGGTCCAGTTCACGCTTCATTGCCTTGGGCAGGGGTAAAATTTCTGATTGAGGTACGTATGCGTCACAAATCCTTTGGGGCCAAGTGCTAAGCGTGCATTAGATTACTGTTAATGAATTTGAGACGTATGCAAAGATGGTGGAGGGATTGGAGATTGTCTCTCATATAGTTGTACAAGTCACCCAAGTAGAAATGAGCATATTGGGGTGGGGAGGCTTCAGGTCAGTACTTTCCCAAACTATTGTCGACTTATACGCCAAGATATTGAAATTTCTGGCAACCGCTCGGCGGTTTTTCGATCAAAATGCTGGCGGTAAGCTACTCTATTCTGATATCTTCAATATGTATATATATATATATATATATATATACATATTACTAACTTTGGGCCAGTTCGTTGGGTCAAGGGTATATTCCAACTCTTGAAATCAACAGTGAAGGAATTCATTGACGGTATCTCCTCTACGATTCGCGAAGTGTATGACTTATCAAATGAAGCACGGTGGCAACGTATGACAAATCCGTCCTTATTATTATTATTATTATTGCTGGCACTAAGAAAACGTCATCCAACCAGACAATACTGCAAAGAGTGTAGAGCGCCATAGTGAGCTGCTCTCATCTCTTAATGTCCTCAAGGAGGCGATCACCAACACCACGAAGTCTGTTAACGACAGCCGAGCTCAAATTCGAGATTGGCTAGCTCCAGTATCGACCGAAGATGCTCGCAATGAGACCAAGGCTATTCGTCACGGGTCTACATGTGACTGGGTGCTAGATCTTGCTGCGTTTCATAGTTGGGCCACTTGCGAGGGCAAGACATCCAAGATATTCTGGCTTCATGGGCCCGCGGGCTTCGGCAAGACCGTCCTATGCTCGAGAATCATCGATCACATGGAGAGTCAGAGCAACTCATATGGCCGAGTCTTGTTTTTTTTCTGCTCTGGACAAGATCGTGAGAGGGCACATCCATTCACGATTTTAAAATCGTGGATAGGACAACTACTCGCCAAAGACGACACGGCTGTCCAAGTTGCTATAAAAGATGAGCAGCTGCAGCAAAAGATCGGCGAAGGCGTCGCCATCACAGAAGCTGACCAGGACTGCCTCTGGTCACTATTTCGCGAAATGATCAAAGAGGTGTCACACTGCACCCTTGTTATTGATGGGTACGACGAATGCATTGAAACCTCCATCGTTGTCTCGAAATATCACACTAGATCTTGCCGAATTCATTTTCTCCAGGAGCTCATAAGGGCAATTGATGGAACAGGAGCGCACGTCCTTCTAGTGAGCCGCAGTCAGCACGACATCAAGGAGGTTGTGATGGGATGTTGCGGAGGCGCAGAATTTGTGAGAGTCATCGAGCACCCAATCACGAAGGACGACACAATGAAGGATGTGTCATCGTTCTCGGAGGCACTCTTTGCAAGAAAAATCAAAATGCCGCCTAAAAAGAGGAGTGACATGGCAGTCAAGGCGGTCGAGAAGAGCGAGGGCATGTTTCTCTGGATTGCTCTGCTCGACAGAAGGCTTTGGTCGGGTGCCACTAAGAGGGAAGTAGAGGCGCTGCTATCCGAGACGCCCAGTGCAATAGACGAGGCCTACCAGAGGGAGCTGAGCAGGATCCTGTATCCTAGAGTCGACCAACGTCACGCGGAGCGGGTTGTGATGATTCTGAAATGGGTCCTCTTTGCTGCTCGTCCTTTGGCAGTGCGCGAAATGGCCGAGGCTCTCGCTGTCTCTTCCAACGACTCCCAATCAAAATATCCCCACGAGGACCTCCCAGATCCTTTCACAGAAGAAGACTTGGACGAAGATTATGTTGACAACTACATATTGAAGCCCTGTGGATCCCTCATCGAGCTGCGCAAAGAGCATGCAGACACCCTGTTAGCATCGCAGACTATCCATTTCGTCCACTTTTCTGTCAAAGAATTCCTACTTCGAAATCTCTTCGACATCAATGCGTTGCTGGACCAAATCAATCGAGGCAATCAAAGCGACAGAAAGCTATGTTTCGAAGAAGAGAAGATTGAGCATCATCAAATAGCAGGTCTTTGTCTCCAGTACATGTGCTACGATGAATTTGATGATGCATCCAACAACGGCATGGAAAGCCCAGACGCTTTCTTTTGCACTTATCCATTCTTTTCCTACACTGCGACTAGTTGGCCAGACCACTTCTATCGAGGTCAGTCCAGCAATACAGGGTCTAATATGTCAAACCTAGTGTGGAATTTGTTCAAAACGGCGCATTGGAAGGTCTGGGCAGAGCTGTTTGAAGCAAAACTGCAAGACACTGGCCGAGATTCGAGTTGTTTACAACGGCCTGCCTGGATGAGGTCTCATGGCCGTGCCGACAGTGGCTATGGATCTCTGGACATAGGCCAGTTGGAAGATTCAGAGAACGAAGGGGACGACTCAGACGAGAATGCAGACGACGCTTCTTTCGAAATTTCGACGCCAACTATAAGACGAAAAATCAGTCCGTCTCCGGTGTACTACGCAACTATCCTTGGCCTCGCAGACATCGTGGAGCGCTTAATCGAGGAGGGTAATAACTGCAACCTCCTAGGAGGTGAATTAGGTACTCCATTGCAGGCAGCGGTCGTGAATGAGCAAGAGGCTACGATTGAGGTGCTGTTGAAGCACAAGGCCAACGCATCTCAAAAGGGGGGGAAATATGGCACTCCTCTAATTGCTGCGGTTATTCTGGGTTCTGAAGACATCTTTGATAAGCTTATTGGCAGCTGCAAAGACATTGATGCAGCAGACAAGAGCGGGAAGACTGCGCTGCATTATGCCTGCGGCTTGGGAGCTGTTGACATGGTGAAGAAGCTCGTCGATGCAGGCGCGAGCCTGAGCTTGGCGTCCAAGTCAGGCCGCACGCCTCTGATACGAGCGATTGCACAGAAACAGACCAAGGTGGTAGAGTATCTCCTTGGGAAGGGTGCTGATGCGAATGAGAAAACGCGTGAAGGGGTCCCGCCGCTTTTCTTCGCCATCGAGGCGCGAGACGAAGATATCGCCAAGCAGCTGCTCGACCATGACGCTGACCCGCACTACCAAACAGAATGGGGTTCAACTGCACTACACGAGGCATGCTTTGTAACGTCAGCACATCTTACTCAGTTGCTCTTGGAGCGCGGAGCCGCGGTGGATGCGGCAGACGTGGACGGCTGGACGCCGCTACACTGGGCTGCTCAGAACAACTCCAAGGAATGTACTATTCTGATGCTCGACTCTGGCGCTTCGCTGTTGGCTGGAGCGAATGCCTATACGCCATTTACCATTGCGGTAAGACAACGCGCCACAGACGTGATCGAGGCGATGAACAGCCACGAGGAGAGGAGTGCTTCTGGTGCAGCTTCGCTGCCCGCTAGACTGGCCATTGCGCTCGAAGAAGGTTATGTCGACTTGGTTGGGAGGTTATTTGAGAGTCTCGGCTGGCCATCCCTCAACGCCGACATGGTTCGAGATATCCTAACCGTTGCGCTGAAGGCTGAGCAGCAAGCCATCTTCCACCAGTTGAAATCGAATGTCCTCGGACTTGACGGGCCGGAGAGGAGTCCTACGGACATGGGTGAGGATCCAGTCTGGTCCGATGAGGAAGAAGACATGCTCAGGGGCCAGTACTGGGGCAGCGACCTACAGAAGGCGATGGTGCTGGACACTGCCTGGCAGCACTTCTCAGGGGCGCGTGACATCGTGCCCGATGCCATGCTGCCAGTCGCCCTCGCCAACCGCTCACATGATGTGGTGAAGCTGCTGCTTGAGCGCGGTGCCAACCCGTATCGCCAGCTCGGACGGTGGTCGTCGTCGTCACCAGTCCTGCTGGCTGTCAAACAAGACTCACGAGAGCTTATGGCCCTTGTACTCGCCAAGAGCCGGCACTCTGCCGCTAAGAGTGTCCTGCTTGAGGCCATTGAGGCCTGCGCTCGTGACGGCTTGAAACGCAATGACATGGCTAAGCTTCTAATCACGCATGGGGCGCTAGACGCCGACCCTGACGCTGCTGAAGACAATGACGATCGCGATGATCAAGACCTTGGGTGGTGGACGCGCTTACTCGTAGGGGAGTGGAAAGGAAATTACAACTACGCCAACAGCTCGGACAGGTCTGAGGATCCGACGGGGTTTCACATCAAGACGGTTTTTGGGGGACCTCCGACCGCGCTGAAGAAGGGCCTCATCTTGTTTTCCGGCGGTGGAGAGGATAGGGTTGCAGAGTTTGTCGTGTATGGCCAGGTCATGTCGAACAAAGCCGTCAGGTTCGTGAAGCTGTACCCCGACTTTGGGTGGGCGTACAACGGCAGAGTTGAGAAGACCCACGCCGGCGAGTGCCATATGAAGGGCCAGTGGGCCAGACGATTTGATACATCCGAGGCCCAAGGCGGGTTATTTTCGCTGGAAAAGGAGCTGCCGACGTGAGTCTTGTTTAAAACGATTACTTAATGCTTCTCTCAGATTTTGTGGAATGACTTTCTGACATACGTAGGAGGATAGACGATATGGATCTTTAAACCCTTGCTAGTGACTGCTATACACTACCTTCAATGTTGTTTATACATCCATGTTGATAAGGGACCTCCTGGGTGGCGGAAAAAAGGGAGCTCTCTGTTTCTATATATATGTACCCAGGGCGTTAGCCTATCCCTTCCGTCGAAGCGGCCTATTTGGTGAGACTTTCAACGAGTATCAGTATAAAATCATTTGATAAACTTTGGTTTTGAAAACAGTGCCAAGTAATGCAATAGTGATTCAGATGGGATGTTGTGACAAATTCTCTAATCTACTGCTTCCTGGGACTTTCCGGGTCGTGCGATATATCATCTTGCGGGGGCGTAATTATGTATACAACACAACGCGACTATACTTTGCATAACTACAGAGATGTGAAGCCATAGAACATGAAGTTATTCGCGTCTATCGGTTAGCATCGCCTATTTGTACATGTCATTATTGAGATCGGTTACAGACCGTGCACAAGCTGGGGAAGTGAGCACGGTCCAGCCGCACATCTCTTCCGTTGATCCGGCCCCTGAAGGATACATGTACTCGTACGGGGGAGACGATTATTGAGAGGTGGAGGCAACTCCATTGAAAGAAATAGGCGAACGCAGCGGTTACAGTATTGTCAACCGTAACAAATCAAGATTGGCAGAGAATGCCAACAAAACATCAAATGCAACTCGGTTTCTATTTGGTAGGGTTGCGCGGCCGCGGATCCATGGCCTGGTTGATATCATTGAGACTACATGTACTTGATGTGATGTAGGTTTATGTCCATGTAGTTGGCAAACAAACGAATTAATTTCTGTTCTCAGTCTATGGGGTTGAATACATTTATGATATAATACACGGTAAGCAATCTCTAAGCCTCTTACAGCTCAATCTCCTTCAACCGAATGAAGCACTTTGTCGGCTCCCTCGCAAACTTCTGCACCGCGTCGTAGCCGCCCAGCTTCTCCGGGATGGGCAAAAACTCAAAGTTCCAGATCATCAGCGCAAAGTGAATCTTGAGCACTTGAAGGGCCAGCTTTCTTCCATAACATCCCCTAAGTCCCAAACCGAATGCCAGCGATGGGCCAGCCATCGTGTTGAACACCTCGGTGCCGGTGTCCGGATCCGTCTCGAGCCAGCGTTCGGGAGCAAACTTGGCAATGTCATCGTCCGACCAGGCGCGAGTCAGTGCTGACTTGGCCGTCTGGCGGGCACCCGGGCTGCGAGCCTCGTCTGTAAGCTTCATATTGGGTTCGAGGTAACCGGGGCCATTGGCCATGAGGAAGACATTGGTGCCCTTGGGGATAGTGCGGCCGAGGACGGTGGCATCCTGCTGAGCCTGGCGGACGACGAAAGCGATGGTGTTGGAGTGGCGAAGAATCTCTTCAACTGTGGCATCCAGGTAGGGGACTTGTGCGGTGCTGAGTTCTGCGTAATTCAGGCTGCGCTTCTCCTGGACGGCAGCTGGGAAGGCCGAGCGGAGCTCGTCACGGAGACGGCTCTGCGCGGCAGGGTTGTCGGCCAGCATTTTGACGCCCCAGGCGAGGGTGGTGGCAGATGTGTCGTGGCCAGCAGTCATGAAACCAAAGAATTCGTCGGCAATGGCACCCTTGCGGTAGTCGGGCTGGCGGCCTTCTTTGATCGCCACATCACGTTCGCGAAGGAGGACGGAGTGAAGCGCGCTCTTGGCTTTGATGCTGGGGTCTTTCTCGATCAATCGGACGGATTCTTCCACCTTGTCCTGGATGTACTTGTCCTTGATTGCCTTGGCCTTGATCATGTAGGGGAACTTGCGGATGACCCAAGAAGTCAACACCGGGGCAGGAGAGAGCTGAGTGTCTGTGACCGAGTTGGCCAAGGTGAGCACAGCCGAGAAGATATCCGGAGTGTAGCCTTCGGGGAAAGTGATGGGCTCATCGACATCATCAGGGAACACGGGTTCAAAGTTGTCCAACGCCTTGATGCGCTGGATGGTGTTGGTCTCGCTCTCGAGAAGGCCAAAGGAAGAGGCAAAGATGGTGTCCAAGGTAGCAAAGGTGACATCGTGGTGGGCCGAAAAGGGACGGCCCTTGGCCATGTCGCACTTGATCTTCCACAGCTTCATCAGGGTGCTTGCGGCCATGTAGACTTCAGGCGCGCTGACCTCGCGGATGAAAGTCGGGGCCATCAAGTGGTTGATCAGGTTCCGGTTGTTTTTGAATCGAGGGTCGCTCGAGATGAATTGGATATGTTGCTCTGGCAAAATGCCATTGATGAGTTCGCCGAAGAATTCGCTACGGTCGAATTCTTTGATTCTCCGAAGCAGGATATCTTGGCTTTCGAAAGGGTCTGTCACCACCACCCATGGCAGTCCTCCGGGCTTGATGAAAGCCTGCACAATAGGACTTTGATGGCGAGTGTTGAGGGACGTTAACCAGCACTATTCTCATTCAAAATTCACATGTTAGCAATCTGCATCCGCCAGCTGATATTGTGAGCAGTGGCAGTGGGACAGTGACTTACGAAAATGCGTTGTGTACGCATCACATAGCCCATCATCTCGGGCACATCACCAAACAGCTTTGCTGCCGCATCTTTGTTGTATGGGATATCAGGGATTGGCTTTGGCAGGATTCGTCTGTATGCCACATACAGGGCAACGCAGACGATCCCCACGACCCAAGCTCCTCCAGAGGAGGCAATCACCGCCATTGTGTTCAATAAAGGGTTGCTTTACTAGTTTCATACAAGTCTGAGTTTAACAATCACAAACGAAAAAAAAGCAAATAGGATTCAGCTTCCCATTGAAAAACTACAGAATCCAGCAGCCTATAACTTCAATAGAATCCTGGCCCCCTCCATGAGTGAGTACGAGCAACCGCATGCGAAGCATCCAAGGGACCCTGGCTCGCCCCTATACTACATGAACAAATTTCTTTTGTAGTCCAGACTCAGCCCGTCCGGAACTCTGAAACGAATCCACCGTACTACTAGAAGGCCAGTAGAAGCACTTTTGAATTAGTCTTAGGTTGCACCAACGACGTTGGCACGTTGCTGGGGGCCTGGCCGCTCTTCCAGTCGTTTCCCCAACCTCTCCGCTCAAGAGACCAAGATTTGGCTGCAGAAATCATACTCGTACGTCGTCCCAACTAAGGCCTGTCCACTGATGTGTGTTTAGCGTTGTACCCACTGGACAACTGATGGCCGTCGCTGTAAACCTTGCCGATGTCGTGAGTAACTCTTTATAACCCTGCTTGGTCATTTATTCGGTTAGATGGTTGGGAATACGTGGTTTGTCCCCTGCCCATTGGTGCAACCTTGCAACGGCTGAGAGGCAAGGCAAGGATGAAGACAAACGGCATGAACCTGGCCCACAAAAGGTAATCTGTCAACCAGGTACAGTAAGATGCGGAGAATGTTCTCCGTAGTTAAAATGCCCCAGATAAAGTTAGTGATCGTCTATGACTTTCTCGTCCCGTTATTTAGTCAGACGGATGCACCCGGCGGATACCCACGTAGCTTATTTCTGGCTTTATCTTCTCCATTGTACTTCGCACGCTGACCTGAGCCCTTGTAATACGGATGGACTCTTTTTGCCGGAGCCCTGGCGCCCTCCAACGGCACGGAGGTAAAAGTAGTGCCAGTTTCCCACGGCGAAGGATTCACATCACCAGGGGCTGCGACTATACGTATACAAAGTACGGAGTAGGTTCATTAACCGCGGTGCAGGGGAGCCCTGCCGCGGGTGATCCCATCCATCTTAGAACCGGCATAAACCTGGTAGCTTGCAGAGTCCGTCTGCACTCCTCACCGTAGGTAGCTTGCCTGGTCAAGCCACTTCATTTGCAAGAAAACTTTTAACCAGAAGACTTTTATAAGCCTTGTTTTTCTAAAAAGTCCGCTGACCCGACTTTTTAGTGAGTTGCTTGCTCTTTTTCACAAAGGCGAGTTTGTGTTCCAGACTGGTTGCACATCTTTCAGTTTGCTTGGCGGCTGTGCGAAACAGCGCAACAATTCAAGATGCCCAACTCTATGGCTCCGGCCATGAACGTTACAATGATAGTTTGCAGCGCACTATCGTTGGTCTTCATGAGCCTGCGATTCCTCAGCAAACACCTTGTGTCCACGAAGCTCGGCATTGATGACGCGGTGCTTCTCTTTTCTTGGGTAGGGTTGCGCCATGTCTTGTCTCTCGGAAACTGCCCGCCTAACTCTTCATGTCTTTCTAGTTGCTTTTTGTGACATTCATTGTCCTGTCGATTTATGCTACAAAGTTCGGGCTCGGGAAGCACTATGAAGACGCGGATTTGACACTGCTGCCGCGTCTGCTATACCTATTACCGATTGGCCAATTCTTTGCCGTCATCTCGGTTGCCGTGTCCAAGTCGTCCTTCATCTTGACACTACTGAAGCTAGTGACTGTGGCCTGGCAAAAGGCCGCGTTGTGGTTCATGCTTGTGACCATCAACGGGTCCATGTTCAGCATTGCTGTCGTTCAGTTCTTTCAATGTTCGGTTCCGCCTACTCCAGGATGCGTTCAGAACGACGCCGTCATCGGGTTGGGGTCGTACGCAGCAGGGTACTCAGCCACCATGGATTTAGTCCTTACGGCATTCCCAGCCATTATTATCTGGAACTTGCAAATGAAGAGCAGTGACAAGTTTGGTATCATTGCCTCTATGAGCTTGGGCATAGTGTAAGTTGTCTCGCACCCTGAATATGTCATTGACCTCGGAAATTGGAGCACTTGCTAACTTTGAAACTTGCAGAGCCGGTGTTGTGGGTATCTACAAGACTTCCACAATTGGCCTTGTTGCTCGTAACGCCGACTTTACCTACGGAACGGCCTTCCCCCTGATCTGGCTTTCTGCTGAAGTCAGTGCAACTGTCATCGCCGCCTCAATCCCCTTCTTTAGGCCGCTAGTCCGCATGGTTAAGGGCACAGAGGCGAAGGACTCTTCCTACGCTTTGTCCAAAGTTAGCCGGCCTGGCACGAACCCTCTCAATAGAACCCACGAGCAGCTAGAGGATGACAGTAGGAGCGACCAGTTTATCTTGAAGCCGGGCGCAAACAATATCTTGCGCGAGACAACTTACACCGTCCAGCACAGTTACGAGGGCGAAGACAAAGCTAGCGATACTGACCACTCTCACCGTAATGCTTACTAGTGCGCGAATCTCATGACAGTCAAAGTGGTGTATGAATCTTGAGTTCATTTTAAAAAGGACATAGAATTAATTAATGGCTACAGTGCCTTTCGTCTATACAATTTGCCAATTTCCACATGTGATGCCGTTTCTAAAAAAAAAAAAAACTAGACCCAAGTTTCCTAGCGCCCGAATGATAACTCAGATTCGCTTTTTTCCGTTTCCCTGATTTCAATCCCCGTCTCTCCGAGCTCTAGAACTCCGTGGCGTTCGAATGAGCGAGATGTCCCCTGATTGCTCTGCCACTCATACTTCCATGCTCACAACAAGGAATCCAATCCTTCTCAGGGGGAAGATGAGTGACCGGATGCTAATGTGAGTCGGCACATGAGCGGCTTTTTCTCCCAAAGCACATAGGCATTTTGATCATCCCAGTCCGAAGCGCCCGCTACACCGTCACAAATTTCTATATTAAACTCGAACAAGAGACGAGCAAGGATGAGCTGCGTCTCCCTCATGGCCATGAGTTGACCCAGGCAGTCCCGAGGTCCGAAGGCAAAGGGGCGCCAGCACTCACGGTTGTCGCCGCTATAGGCAGGGTCATTGAGCCAACGCTCAGGGACAAAGCTGTTGGGATCACGGAAGTTATCGGCGTTCCGGTAGGTGGCGTAGTGGTGGACAGAGACACGAGTTCCGCCGGGGACGGGGCCTCCAGGCATATTCTTCCCTGATACATGGTTCGGGACCACTCTTGGAACTCCGACCGGGACCGGGGGATATAGCCTCAGTGCTTCCTTGATACCTTCCAAAAGGGTTAAGTACGTGCATATGAACAAAATTGGATTTGCGAGGTGGAAACTGTGTACTTACATGCGTTCAGATATACGAGTTCCGCGACACTCTGGAAAGTGATTTCCTCCTGAGACCGAAACTTGGCGCGGATCTCTCTCAGGAGCAAACCTAGCTTTTCTTCGTTCCTAAGCAGGTAGTATGTCAAACCGGAAAGTGTCGTGCCTATGAAATTAGAGAATTAAATCCTGAAACCTTATAGCAACATGTGATTAAAAGGCTCGGGAAATTACCTATTGTTTCGCTGCCTGCCAACATGAAGACATCGCCATGGCAATGCATTTCCTCCAGTGTCAGTTGCTGGTCTGTGTCAAGGACCAAGCTCCAGATATCTGCTTCTTCCGACTTTCTCTGAAGTCTCTTATCAACACGATCGGCAGAGTGCTTGAAGTGGTTATATTTCATTTGCTTGATAGATTGCGGCTCCAAAAGTTTGAAAGCAACATCCAGAATCCCGTAGTATTGAATTATCTGTGCAATGGGGATGGCCTTGATAGAGTCAAACACCGACTCGACCCATTTCGAGTATCGGTTGCTCTGGAGGAGGCCCAGCGGTTCTCCAAAGGTGAGATGTCCCATGATGTCAAATGCAGTGAATTGGTACAACTCAACCATGTTTACATTCTGACCCTCAGCGGAAGTTCCACTCAATGATGAAAGCAACTGATCAATATTCTTCTGGAAAATCGGCTCCTGTCGTTTCAAGGCTCGCTCCGAAAATGCGGGTGCGAAAACCTGCCTGAAGCGACGGTGATCCTCATGCGCTGGGGCGCTGTTGATGCCATAGACACCTGGTACGTTTTTGTTAACCCTGCTTAAGATTGCTCTCGCCTATTCGGAGCCTCACCATTATACGGCGCCACAAACCACTCTTTGGCCTTTGGAAACTCTCGGCCCCCCCTTTCATGGCCATGGATTGCCTTCCAGGCGGCACCGCTGCCGTCCATGTAGCTCAATTCGTTTGGCCCATAGCGAACGACCGGGCCATACTTGGAGTGGAGTTTTTGCATCCATTGCACCTGTCGTCCAGAGATAGCAGAGATCCAAAATGGAATACAGCTCAAGGAGGTGTACCAGGGGCCCGGGAATCTGGACAGAGGGTGAAACGTCACTGAGTAGACCGCAGCAGTGACCCAGTACAAAAGACCGATGAATGTGATGGCCATCAAGGCCTGGCTCGCTGAGACAGTGCCAAGTGCCGAGACGCTGTAAAGAGAAGACAATTCTAGCAAGGCCATGGTGGCGATAAGTACATACAGTATATTGGCCTCGAATACACTTTACTGTGTACAGAATGAAACTCTAGAAAACTGTCCTACAGGACGACATTAATACTACTCTGCTACCGGCAGAATGGGAATCCATCACTCGCTTGTGGCAACCAGCAGAGGATGGTCGGGGCCAATTACTGCGACGTCCGCCCCCGGTCATCACAATTGCCGCCCAAGGCTTGCAGGGATCGCTATTATGTGACAGGTACGGAGTAATACGGGGAGACGTTAAGCCCCCCCTTCGTATGTATGTAACCTACACTTGACACGAAGTGTGGATAGAGAGAGAGAGATAGGGGAACAGTATCCGTATGTATGTAAGAATGCTAGAAGAGATTCAGGGGGGCGGCACATGTAAGGTCAAGCGCGCAGAATGGACTCGGCCCAACAACCTGGGTTGAAAACCGGAAGCAAGCCGTTGCCTGTCATCCCGGCTAACTGCCCAAACCAGGGTGCATGTACCCATCCCGGCATCTGGGATAGCGTCGGGAGTCGGATTGCAGGGGTCCGAATTCGATGCCGGGTGGGAATACGCTGGGGGAAATGGTTCGTAGAGTCTTTGTAGAAACAAATTACTTGTACCTATTGATGAGACGAATATAACTATAAGGGCCTAGAACAGAGAAAAAACAAGAAAAAACACAACTACGACATTTATCAACAACTTGACACATTTCCACCAAGCACAATGCCAAACTCTCAACTCCCAGAGACAACTGGTCAGAAGATCAGTCTCCCGCCGCTTGAGTTAGGATGGAGATGGCCTAGACTTGTGAGCTCCTACTTGGAAGAAGTCGAAGAGGAGTGTTTGAAATGGTCGGCGAGTTTTACGGCCTTTGACCACGAAACACAATGTCTTATTCACGAGAAAGGAAAACTCAGTATGTCTTCTAATTCTGCGCGCTGACTGTCAATCGTGCTGTTTGAGCTAACCAAAGGAACTTGTGAAGATCTCCTTGCGGGCATGTGCTATGCAAGAATGACAAAAGGTGAGACACATGTCCTTTTCCAAGTCTCTATTATTCGAATGATATTAACATATTCCAAAACAGAGCAAATTCGGTCTGGATGCGAGCTTATGCATCTTTTCTTCATGTTCGACGAATACTCCGACAAGGCCTCTCCCGAAGAAGTTCTTTACCAGGCCCAGGTCATGATTGACACTCTTAAAAGTCCCGAGACCCCTCGGCCAAAGGGGGAATGGATCGGAGGTGAAATAATACGACAGTAAGTGGCAAAGTCATAGCGACCCATGCTTAAGGCTTACTTATGATTTTAGATTCTTGCTTCACCTTCCTCGTACTGCTACCGAGACTTTTCGGGCTCGATTCGGTGCGACTTGGATAGACTATGTCCACTCTGTAGTCCAACAGGCTCAATTCAGATCAGAGTCACGTATCCTGGATTTGGAAGACTTTCTTACTATCAGACGCAACACCTCTGGCGCACCATCCACAATTGCCTTTTACGAAATGAACAGTGACATCCCGGATGATATCCGAGAGCATCCTGTCATTCGTGAATTGGAAGTCTTGGCGGTGGACCTCATCGTTATTGCCAATGTGGGTACATGTAACCTTTCCAGATGATCAACACGCGTATGCGACGGTGCCAGGGCTCTTACTGATTACGCACACAGGACATCCTGTCGTACAACAAGGAGCAGGCCATAGGAGATGACGAGCACAACATTGTTACTATTCTCATGAGCCAGTACAACCTTGACGTCCAACAAGCCATGGATATGGCGGGAGACCTGGCCGATGTGAAGATGAATAGGTTCTACTTCCTGTATCCGCAAGTTCCACGATACGTAGGGCCTGTGGATTTGGAAATTCAGACCCTTGTGGACGGCATGGCTCAGTGCGTGAGTGGTGTGTTCCATTGGAGCTATGAGAGTCAGCGATATTTTGGGAAACGCGGGATGGAAATCAAGCGGACCCGACAACTGCGACTCTTGCCCAAGACGAGGACGAATGACACCATAGGTACTATACCTGTGAATGATGTGTTGATCTTGTAAGTCAATGGGGTATCATGTATGGTATGTAATATGATAATTGGGGAATGGGGGACAGAGAGGCAATGTATTGTACGGAAAGAAGACCAGATAGAGACGTCCGCAGGGAGAACAAGGGTTGGGAAAGATGAGACTAGACATAGAGGCCAAGGGATAGACAAGGGAAAGATAGGAGTACATAGACAAGCAACTACTTAATAAGGATATCAGATATTACCAATTGCAGATCTCGGTCTCTACAAGGAAGCTTAGCTAGACGGGAATAGAACGGCTCGAGTGAGCTTGAGCGCATCAGTCATACCATCTAGATGAAACCCCAATGGTTTGACAACCTGCGCTCCTTGATATCGGCTATCAACATTCGGGTTATGGAGATGAATCTGTAGAATCTGTTTTGCCAGCGACAGTAACGTAACCTTTGAATTTTTATGTTGAATCGTTGAACGCATCAATTTGGGCCTCACTATTTCCAACTAACGAGTTTCTGAACCATGAAATCTACCTGCAATGAAGGTGGACAGTTTCCATCATCAGGCTGCCCATGTACTCCAGGGTGAGTTAAGAAAGTTAAACACACTAGAGTACTTGAACCACTTGGGACAGAACCCAGCATAGTCCCGGCCAATGAGACATAAACGACCGTTGGGGTTTAGAAATTCATTGTAAGGTGCAAGACCATGATACACAAAAACTATTGCCGCAGTTGTTGATAAGCTTGGTTCGGGGCAGCCCAAATGTTTCGTAATATTCTTCTTCATTTTAGAAGATCTAGTTTAATATATATAGTTGTATGCTCTTGATAAAGGGATCAATTGTCTTCAATTTGGCAGGGTTGACTAGCTGTAAAAGAGAGGTAGAAAATGTCAATGGATACAACAACTGCCGATACTAACCTGTAGGTGCGCCTGTTTGTCAACATAACTATGATTGCCTAGGCACCTATCTAAGGGGTATCTATTCACATCCCAAGTTGATTGTCATGCGCCCCAGTGACTATACAGAATTGAAGTGTCGAAATAGCATGCAAAGACAACTCTTTAGGTACGACTATGTAAGGGAATTTAATTACCTAAGTAATAGCTATCCAATTTCTTGAGTATCTGCTACCATTACTATTCTTCTGTACTCACCAGTACCGGATATTATCATTACGTGTAACTTTGAGTATGGGATGCGGGATGCTGAATGGTAACTAGGCGTTCTGAATGGGCACTCACCCATCTACAACTAATCGCGGAGCCTCATTCATACCCAACCACATATACCCCATGCATGCCTTGCAAATAGAACAATCCGGGATCCAATCAAGCTTTGCCACGTAAATGACCTTTTGTCAAAAATTGAAATATGCAGCAGACAGGTAGTATTGTCGTGGATTATGACGAGCTATGAACCAATAGCAGTTGACATGAGTCTTGGGACTCTTGCAGTTACATCTTAATTGGATTGCATGTGGGAAGCTGAAGCGCCACAGTTTCAGCCGCACTCGAGTTGCATTCACCAATAGCAGTGAAGCCCCTTCTGCAAGACGTTCATTTGGGTTATTCACTTATTCAATTCGAGAGGCCATGTTTTGAGATGCCCAATATATCTTTCTGCAATTCGATGGGTGTATACTCTGTTGAGTTGTATATAAACTGGCAAGTTTCGAGCAATGATCCGGTAGACTTTACATCTTCATGCTCATCAACTGGCATATATCAGCTTGAATCACCTGAACCATGTCAGCGACTCCACCCCCCAACAGATCTTTCAGCCGCAATTCATACACTATTGCATGGATCAGCGCCCTGCCCCATGAACAAACGGCAGCAATTGGAATGCTGGATAATCAGCATGCGCGACCTCATGATTTCATTCAGCCTCCAAATGACAGCAACTCGTACTCTTGGGGCGACATTAACTCCTTCAACATAGTTATCGCCTCGCTTCCTGCCGGGGAATATGGAACTGCCTCCGCTGCTGGTACCGCCGTCACTACTTTATTGTCCTTTCCCCAAGTCCGATTCGGGCTGATGGTTGGCATTGGAGCTGGCGTCCCTAGACCAGGCCGAGACGTTCGTCTTGGTGATATTGTTGTTAGCCGTCCAGAGGGAACCAGTGGTGGCGTGGTTCAATATGACTTCGGCAAGGCTCTTCAGGGAGGAGAATTTCGACGTACCGGATTTCTGAATAGTCCTCCTAGAGTTCTTCGCAGTGCAGTCACCAACTTGCAAGCACATCATGGCCTCCAAGAACCTCAAATCCCTCAGTACCTTGACCAAATGGTCAGCAGGTTTCCCCGTCTTGGTCAACCAAACAATGATGGTCCGAGTTATACCTTCCAGGGAGTTCTAAATGACAGACTCTTCAACCCAACATACCCCCACGAAGGGGGTGACGACTGTTTGAATTGTGACCCAACACAACTGCAAAGACGGACCAAAAGGAACTCAACCAATCCTGTGATCCATTACGGAGTTATTGCATCGGGCAATATGCTTATCAGAGATCCAGAAGTACGAGCGGAAATGGTCCGACGGACAGGGGAGGACTGTATCTGCTTTGAGATGGAAGCAGCTGGATTAATGAACCAGTTCCCTTGCCTGGTTATCCGTGGCATATGCGATTATGCAGACTCTCATAAAAACGATCAATGGCAGCGGTATGCGGCGGCGACTGCAGCCGCCTATACCAAAGAACTCATTAGGCTTCTTCCGGCACAAGCTGTTGCGGAGACTGATACGGCCGCTGGCATCGTGAACCCCGGACAGAATCCCACTCCGACTCTCAACCCAACTATCAACCCCAGTCCTGGACAGACCACTCCTGCACAGACCCCTAATCCCGGTCAGTCCCCAAGCAACGGTGAAATTCGGCAATTGCGCGATGATGTTGCAGGGTTGTCTAGGCAAATGAATACCGTCATCCAGATGCTCCAGTCCTCCCCGCCTGGTAATTCAGGTAGTGGATCCGTTGGTGCGGGCTCTTCTGGAGGAGCCTCCGGGGGAGCTTCTGGAGGAAGTGCTCCTGGAGGAGGTACGAGTACTACTGGGGGACCGGGCGGCACGGTAAGGTTAGGCATTCATTGATGGTGGCAACTTGACTGATGTGTGCCATATAATAGGATGTTACCGGCAACAGATGGTACGGGTTTGCTTTGGCTGAACAAGTGGAAGAGGCCCAGAGAAGAAATCCTGAAGGGTTCAGAGACGACCTCGTCGGTGCCATTACGTCTATTGGCCATACCGTTTATAATTGGAGAGCTGATCAGAACAGTACTTTGGGCCAGTTTTTCTCGAGTCATAGCATCCGGCTGCGTTTTACTGCGGATGAGCCGGGGTCTGGGGATGACCCTCTTGCGGGGCTTCCAACAAGCTCTCCGAGGCGGCTTGAATTTGTTTGCCGGAACTACAGGTTCTGGGGTGGTATGAATGAGCATTTTTGCAGGGTGTTTACTCTCTGGCGTATTGCTGTTGAGTTTATGGGGATGGAGTAGTGAGGAGGTACAGTTCCTCATCGGGGCATTCGCAGCTTTACTACTAAAGAGAAGTATATACCTAAATTGAATCGTCAAACAGATCGTCAGAAATGCGTGAGCATTGCTAAGCTATTAAAGAGGTTATTGTGAGTAGCCAGCCCAATGCAGACCTACCGTCGTTCTTGAGTCTTGGGCGATAGGGGTCGTGAGTGCATGGGGCCGAAGTATTCATGTCTGGTACGCTCACGCATAACTACTCTCTCTCACACACAGAATCAATGAGAAGCTTGATAGCTTTGGCTTCAAAGTAGAGACTTCCTTCATGCAATACGATCGATTGAAAGAAAACGAAATAAATGCTGGCGTATATGAGAACAAGCCATAATATCATTTGCTCAAGCTACTGCGGCCAAGTCTACCTAGGATTAAAGCTTCAGGAGTACCTAGAGGTAAAATTAGGGCGTAAATCTGTTTTGACTCTTCTATATAAATGGAGGAGGGGAATCCCTCGACATGAGAAGCTTGGGCTAGCCTTGGCTCAGTCACTAAATCGAGCTATCAATCCATCATGGGGTCGATCAAAAAGCCTCCGCATATAACCCTAGTCATAAGGACATAAATTTAACAGGTAATTCTCCAACCCGACGCCGTTCCCTCGAGCTCATGACATGACGAATCGCCTGGATAAATGATCAAGGGATGCCAGTCTCCGCTCTTAACCCAAATCACAACTGATAAATTTAAATTTTAGCACATTGCTTTCCACTTGAAGAAGTAAAATGAATGTTTGCTTTGGAGGCTTACGAGGACAGTCAAGATTATAAGCCTTGACGGATGCAAAATTAGAAAAGACCTGGTGGTACTTGTCTGGGTCGGGAATAGGCACCGCCTCCCGTCCCTCACTACACTGCGTATCCGTGAATGTATCAAATGAGCCGAAACCTTGGCTATAGATGCCAGTAGCATAAGCAATCGAAAAGAAGGCTTTGGAAGAAAAGGTGCGCATTTTGGCTGCTAATCCGTGTTGGATTCTTGATTGGTACAGGCAAAGAATTAATGGGTTGTCTGAATAGCTTGTGCGTAGTAGCTTGAAACAAAATGTCCAGGACGCTTCATCCTGTCTTTATAGTTTTCGACTTCCCATTTATAAGACCACTAGATAGAGTTAGTCTTTGGCAGTAGTAATATAAACATTATCACATTTACTGTTAATCATATTGTCCGACGTATGACGATGTTTTTAGACATATAGGTAACCGTACTTACCATCTCTAGGCAAGTTGTCACACACATCGTAGAGCCACACAGTTCGTGGGGTAGTTTCCATTGGCTTTCGGTGGTATCTTAGCCTAGAACCCACGGCTAATAGCATAGATTGGCTTAGAAGATGTTATATGGGTAACCAGATATATAAGAATGTAAGACTAAGTAATCCAGCCGTCCGTCGCATTGATTCAGGAGCGATGGAGAGTCTATGATGTAGATGAAAGAACTACGTAACACCGTGGGTTTTGGTTGACGCTGCGAAACAATACGTCGTCGTCCTCCGTATTATGAGAACAGTCTTGAAACATACAAAAACTAAAAGGCATTGAACTCGCGAACTAGTTGAACGGACCTTCAAAATTTTCCTTTAGTGTTCTTTTTTTTTTTTTTTGTACAGCATATTCGCTCTGTAATAATAAGAGTATGGAAAGATAAGTGGAAGCAGCAAAGTAAGACCGCCGAGAAACCCTCGACCTTTTCGCCTAGAAAGGATATTGGATGTCCACAGCTAGGGTCGTAAATGATATAATAGCGACGAAATGCAAACAGCAACTGATGTTCGCTAGTGGAAGCTAGAAGAATACAGGAGAAGTCAACTCATTTGTGACGCTTCTGCTTTATCCATATAGCTCGCCTCAATGACAAAACAGTTGCATAGTAAATTTCTATAGTTTCCACATTGTTACCGACATGCCTCTGACACAGCGGGATTATAAAACCAACTTGGACTAACATTTCACTTCAACACAGACGTTGTTTAAGAAAACAGAATGGATGGGAAACAAAGTCATAGTAAAGATCAAGGTAATGTAGTTTATAACATCTGAGCAAAGTTTTATTTCAATCATGAGAGTCAGCGATTGTCAGTAAAAGTAGAGAATCATCATCATGAATCGGTCTATATCGAATCAGCGAAGTTGCATCTCACTGCATACGCATGCGTGGAGATTACTTGTACTGTCTGTGGACCAATCAAGGCCTATAGCCGCGGCCATTTATGCAAGTCTCAACTCGGTACCGCATTTTCAACTCCTCAATGAAGTCACTCTCGCTCCTTGCTCTTCTTCCTTCACTGCTGATACCACTGAATTTACTGTGCTTTTAGTAAATTTGCCAATACTATGGTTCTGTCGAAAATTTTCAGAAGTCGCAGTCGTCGTCGGAATGATGATAATCTCAGTTCCGCAAGCGATGCTCAACCAGGGCAGAAAACACTGCAGCCTAGCAAGATAGAATCTCCAGAAGCCGGCACTCTCTCTGGTCCATCACTTGTCATCCATCATCAGACTTTGCATTCGAGTCAAAGGACAGCTTCGTCCACAGAACCACAGATCATTGTGACATCTGCTGAAAGCCTTGTTGGAGTGCTTCCCAGCCGACAAATACTCCCATCAGCCGCTTCCCCTCCCCCCATGACTTTATCCCCGCATCCCTTGAGCAGTCGGTTACGCGGCCATCATTATGGGATCGCGCTTACGATTCTCTCCGAAAATCGGATGAGGGGTTGGTAGACCGATATGAGCAGCTACTCTCGAAAGAACTGAGCTATAGTAATAGTATGTCTATTTTGCGGCCTTGTTTAGTTCATATTAGTTAACATGCACAACATGTGCCGGAAATGAGTTATCGCCGAATACGTCAATTGCGGATGAGGATCTGAATAACACAACGATTATGATCTCTACCGACTCCAGTGAGCGCCATAAACAATTGGAAGATATTACGAAACGTGGACTGCGACGCGTGGACGAAAAGCAGATAGAGTATTTGCTGTTCGGCCGCCAATTTATTCTCAGGGACCAAATCACGGAAGCTGCAAAATTTGTCCAAAATATCAAGAGTCTTATTGATGAGGCTGTGAAAGCATCACCGGAAGCGTCCCTTGCATGGGCTGGCGTCTGTATTCTTCTACCCGTCCTGACGAGCTCAAGTGCCGCAGAAGAGGCGAGTCGAGATGGCTTTATATACGTTACTTCTCGAATACGTTACTACATGGAGTTTGAACATCTCCTATGGCCAGACTCCTTAAATGCCTCAAATGCCAAGGATAATTTTGAGACTCAAATTATTGATCTCTACCGGCAGATACTCGAATTCCAGATCAAGAATGTTTTGCGCTTCTACCGAAACTGGCTTGCCAACGTGGGGCGCGACATATCTGGGTCTGATGACTGGAAAGGAATGCTTACGGTGATTAAAGATCTAGAACTCACCATGATAAGGGATTGGAGCAACTTAAATTCTGTGGCATCACGGAAAGCCCTGGAAGCCATTGACGAGGCTACGCAGCAGAGTTGTTCCGATATACAATCGCTTTTGTCAATCGCGAGACAACACATTCAAGTCTCTACAGAGCATCTCGAGATTTCATCCAAGCATCTCAAGATACACGAGCGCACAAAGTATGTTAAGAATTTAAATATACGAATCTATGTTGACCAAGCATTAGTCAATTACTCGAGGATCACCCAATAGAGCTTCCTGCTGTCAGCCAAGCACGATATGACAGTGCTGATGTTCAAGATAGCCCAAAATGCGAAAGCGGTACCAGGGCAAATATCCAAGGAACAATCATTCAGTGGGCAAACAAGGACTCTGCCGAACCCCTGTTCTGGCTCTCAGGCCCTGCGGGTACTGGTAAATCTACGATTGCACGAACTGTTGCGGACGTCATGAATAGTGAAGATCGACTGGTTGCTGGCTACTTCTTCAAAAGAGGACAGCAAGACCGCAACGGCACTGCTCGCTTATTTTCTACTATTGCAATGCAGATGATTGAAAAGATACCTTCTATGAGAGAATACCTTCGACGGTCTCTCTCTGGTTTGGACAAGGACGCAATAGAGGGGATGGCCCTTGAATTTCAGTTCAAAAAGCTTATTCTAAGTCCTCTTGCAGAGCTTCCTTCTGATAACATACCCCGTCTGACAAGCGTTATCATCCTCGATGCCCTAGATGAATGTGAAAATGAATATCACTTATCGAGGATTATCACGCTACTACTCCAGCTTCGGACCTTGCGTACAATACGCTTGCGCGTGCTGCTCACAAGCAGATCATCTCCTGAGATCCGAGATGCCTTCATGGGCCTTCAGAAGGACAGGGATTTCTGCAACGTTGAGCTCCTCGACGGGAGATTCTCCGCTGAAGCTAAGTCAGACATACAAATTTTCTTGGAGAGAAATTTTGCAGACATCAGGAGGAAGCGCAGAGTTCAGCAGAACCCTTGGCCCACGCAAGAAGAACTGGACCGCCTGGTAGAATTAGCTACGACTCCTGAACCCTTGTTTATTTATGCCGCAACTCTCTGTCGATTTGTTCATGGTGAACGGCGCCCCAAGAATCCGAAAGATCAGTTACGGATGTGGCTCAAACAGTGTGATGATCGTCAGTCACAGCTTCATCAGATTTACGAGCCCATTCTTAACCAGGTCTTTTCTAGTCTAGAGCCTGAAGAATTTGACAGGCGGCTGGGCTTCCTTGGGTCTCTTGTCCTTCTAGTGGATCCGATGCCATCTGCATCACTCGCCGCTCTTCTCCAGCTGGATGTGGACGACGTTGTCTGGTGGCTCCCGGAGTTACACGCAGTGTTGAATATTCCTGCTGACGACCATGTTCCCGTACGGCTACTACATAAATCGTTCAGCGACTTCCTTCTCAGTTCCGAAGGGCCTGGAAAAAGCATGTATTCTATAGACACTGCAAGCACTCACACCATGCTAGCCACCAAGTGTCTTGGTCATATGAACGCAATGCTTAAACGGGATATTTGCAACATCAAAAAGCTAGGCAAGCGCAGAAAAGACATTGATCAGCATATCATGGATGAACACATCACTGCCGACCTTAAGTATGCCTGCCTATATTGGATACATCATCTTCAACACGGCGAACAACAAATGAATCGTGAAATCCCCACGTTTATATATAAACACTTGCTCCACTGGGTAGAGGTCCTTGCAATCGTGGGAAGACTATCAGACGCAGTCATGGCCATTAGGAGGCTTCTGGAGACATTTCAGGTTAGCAGGTCCCTTGGTGTGTACCATTGCCGAACTAACTCTCGCAGCATTTGCCCGATATACCTATAGATCTTGTTCTTTTCACACTAGATGCAAGCAAATTCATCTCCAGTTTTGGGTCAATCATCGATCGAGCACCCCTTCAAATCTATGCTGCCTCATTACTGTTTTCGCCGACATCGAGTAAGGTGCGGCAAAACTTTTGGAATGAATGCCTCGTGGATATCGATAGTATCGAGGGGGTGAAGTCTGATTGGGATGCACAATGGCAGACTCTCGAAGGTCATAAGAAACACCTCACAGCATTTGCCTTCTCGCCTGACAGCCAAACTGTGGCATCTGTGTCAGAAGACGGCATGATCCGGCTATGGGACGTAATAACGGGAACACACAGACATACGCTTGTAGGTCACAGCGAAAGCGTCACAGGAGTATTCTTTTCGCCCGATGGCGGGTTGATAACATCGGCGTCAAATGATCATACAATTCGGCTCTGGGATGCAACAACAGGCTCTCTTCAACAAACACTTGTGGGCGAAGGCAGTCTTTTAACAGATATCAGGGCGGAAGGAGGTGGAATCAACCGGGTCGATGCAGTTGTGTTTTCGCCTGATGGGCATCTAGCAGCGTCAATATTAATAAATAATGCAATCCGGATCTGGGATACCAAAAACGGCGCCTATCGGCAAACACTCGAAGGCTATAATGGTCTAGTTACAGCAGTCAAGTTTTCACCCAATAACCGACTAATTGCATTATTGCTGAATGAGGGTTCCATCCAACTCTGGGATATTAAAGGTGTATGCCTGCAAACGATTAAATATAATATCCGTTCGAGCAATGCTGTTGTTTTTTCGCCCAATAGCCAGTTAATAACATCGTCAGTAGACGACGGCACATTCTACCTCTGGGAGGTAGCAACGGGCAGTTATGACAAGGTGCTTAAAGGCCACGATGAAAGACTTAGGGTTAACGCGGCTGCTTTCTCACCAAACGGCGAGCTAGTAGCATCTGGATCAGCGGATGCCACTGTCCGGCTCTGGGATGTCGCAACGGGCACACTTCAACAAACATTGAAGTTCCCTGACCCAATAACAGGGTACGTTGTCTTCTCGCCCAACGGCCAGCTAGTTGCAGCGTCAAGCGAGGATGTAATCTGTGTCTGGGATACAGTAACAGGGATATGCCATCAGACTCTGAAGGGGCATAGCGCCTCTGTCACTGGTATCATTTTCTCACCCAGTAATCTTCTGGTGGCATCCATAGCTCGTGATATAACAGTCCGACTTTGGGATGCATCAAAGAGTACTCGCCAGCAGATGCCTGAGAGCAACATCGACTGGATTGCAGCTGTTAGCATCTCACCGAATGCCCAAATAATAGCGTCATCATCTGCCGATGGTACAATACAGCTTTGGGATGCAACAAATGGGTCATTTCGACAGACATTAAAAGGTCACAGCAGTATGGTTCGTGAGCTTGTCTTTTCGGAAGATAACCGGCAACTGGTCTCATTATCCAGTTATGAGATTCGAATATGGGATGCAGAAACAGGTGTACATCAACATGTGCTTCAGAATCATAATGAATGGATCAGAACAATGGCTCTTTCACCTCATAACAAGCTAGCTACGCTGGGGTATGGTGATGGTAGTACAATCCAGCTCTGGGATACGGCAATGGGCACTCACCAGATGGCGCTTGAGGGCCATAGCGGCTGGGTTACAGAAACCGTCTTCTCACCTGATGGCCGGCTGCTGGTGTCGGCATCACATGATGGAACAGTTCGAGTCTGGGATACATTGACTGGCACGAACCGACAACTCCTTGAATGCAGCGATGGCACTTTTGTGCTATGTATTACTTTCTGGCCCAAGAGCCAACTAGTTGCCTTTGGATTTCGTAATAGTACAGTCCAGATTTGGGATTTAGCGACGGGCACACATCAGCGGACTTTCGAGGGCTACACCAAGTTCATTATAGCGATTGCCTTCTCCCCTGACGGCCAAGTATTAGCCTCGGCATTAAATGATGGAACACTCTGCTTCTGTGATACGACAACGGGCAAGAGCCGGCGAACCCTTGAGACGGGTAATCTTCTCAGCTTGGTGTATGATCCGGCTTCTGAAATGTGCCTATATACAGATGTCGGGACCTTAGGCATGAATCGAGTTTCTATGGAAGATGTGGCAGATATTCAAGGGCTGCTACCGAATCTGACCTTTTGTGGTCTAAGTTTCAGCCCAGATAGGGAATGGATAAGGATCGGCTTCGAGGATCATGTATGGCTTCCTCCAGAGTATCGGAGACCGGGATATTCTACCGACGCATCGATTATTCGAGGTTGGATGGTTTTCATTGGTTGCCAATCGGGAGAAGTTCTACGATTAAGAATTCGACAACCTGAACACGCGCCGACTTGTTGACTGTTTCTTTCATAACGACTATCCTTTCACATAGAAAGACGCTCTCTTTGCATCCCCACTCCGAGGGACTGAGAGGAGTACATACACGCTTTATCATGTTCTAAATAGCGAAACTTGAGATTGAATATAGCATTCATTTATATTTGGATAAATAATAGGTAGCAGATGAATTTACATCGGTTCCCGTGTAGACCTGTGATTAGGTGCTCTCAATGCTTTACCACAAAGTACCTGTAAGCGTCCTCATGAGCGAGGATGACTTATACTCACGAGACGGCAGTTAATGAAGCCACGCACATGTTCTTATAGCTGACATTAACGAACCACTTGGGTTTATGTATAGCGAGCTTGGCTTAGTAAATGTGTGTATAAAAAGCGCGTCTGCAGACCTATGGTTAAACAAAAGTAACAAAATGACATTTAAACTCAAGAAAAGAGCTTGACGGGACCCCGAGCTTTCCACTACCTATGGTCGTATGTGCTTGGTAGCGTAGTTGATCGATTTATATATCCTTGATCTCAGTGAGAGAGAGGACAAAAAGAAAGAAACATACAACAGCCGGTGTTCGCCAGTGGTCACCCACCTGACTACTAATCTGCCGGTTAGTGGCTTGTCGATGGGGGAGCAGACGGGACCCCGAATTCTCCACTACCAATGGTCGTATGTGCTTGATATCACGATGTAACCAATCTATGATGCTTCCATGAGATCATGCCAACTACAGTACAAGCGACATAGCTTATTCTCTCCCTGCTTGAACATGTTACCTGGCAGTAACCACTAAACACTTGCGCGTTAATGTTGTATACAATTCTTGTGGCTGTGGTCCCCAGCAATTCGATTTGACAGCATAATGAGGCCGATAGATTAATGCAGTTATTTCTCTTGGTCCACGTATTCATCCCAAGAGGCTGCGTGCGTGGTGCGCTCCGATATGCCGTCTAGCATTGGGTAGCCAAGCATAATATTGGCACAATATTGGCATTCGGGATAAATGCAGCGGGAGGTTTGTTGTTCAACCCGTAAATAATGTAGCGCCCAAGACGTGCCAAACGTGGTGATGTTGTCAAAGCTGGACTTGTGTCTGAATAGCGCCTCTAGTATAGATGCGTTTTCTAAGGATGGATGGTGTCGGGTGCTGGGTCTCGAAGTGGGATAATGAGCGTGTAGTCACAACCCGTGCAGCTTTGTTGGCTGCCGATGGCTTCATATAAACAAATAAATATCCGCATCTTCTCTCTCAGGCCCTTGAACCGTACATTTCCAGGAACACTTATAGAGCAAGAGTTGTCTTCTATTCGGAGCTCGATCTTTGCTTGAGAGCCAGAATTGTATACAATCTAAGAACACCCCATTGCCATTGAGCGCAAATATCAGTCATTATGGACGACTTCCGTCTGCGACACACTCACAATGATTACACCATCGGATGGGTATGCGCATTACCAAACGAACAGACAGCCGCAGTTTTCATGCACGAAGACATGCCCAACTCATCGGGGGACCAAAATAAGTATACACTCGGAAGCATTAGTAAACATAATATTGTTATTGCTGGTCTGCCCTTAGGTAGGGTTGGCAAGAACACTGCAGCAACAGTTGCAACCAGAATGGTGTCCGTATTTCCGAATATCCGAGTTGAATTAATGGTAGGCGTAGGTGGAGGCATCCCTCAGAGAACTTGGCTTGGAGATGTCGTTATAGCTGCCCTAATGGTACGGAGCCTGGTGTTGTCCAGTGAGATATGGACAGGACAGAGGCTGGCCAGTTCGTACGAACGAGATCCCTGGCTCCTCTGCCAACGGCTTTACTTACAGCATTGACAAGATTTAGAGCTGATCATATCACAACGCGAAGAAATATGCTTAAGTATTGAAAGAAGCTGGGAAATGATCCCGATGTACCTGAAAGCTATAAAAAATCGGACTCTCTCCAAGACCTCCTGTTTCATCCAAGCTACGGCCATATAGAAGCAGATGAGTCTTGTCTGAGCGATGAAGACGAAGACGGTTGTCACCGGTGCGATAAGAGCAAGGTAATTCGGAGAAGCAAAAGAGAGAGCGGCATGATACACTGCTGGTTGATTGCATCGGGCAATCAAGTAATCAAGGACGCCCGTTTTCGGGACTCGCTGTACGAGAAGTTTAACAGCAACATCCTTTGTATCGAGATGGAAGCCGCAGGACTGATGAACGACTTCCCTTGCTTTGTTATCCGACGCATTGCTGATTATGCAGACTCGCATAAGAACAATGAATGGCAAGACTACGCTGCTGCAACGGTCGCAGCATGTGCAAAGGCATTATTTATGGTAGTGGCTACGAGCGAGGTGGATAAGCTTCAGCGAGTACAACGTAAGTCCATCCCTCATCAAATTAAGGCAGTTCTTAGCTGATAATCTCTAATCAGTCACAATCTCGCCTAGTCTTATACAGAGCGCGATGCACTATTAGTCAATTTAGAGAAATGAGAAGAAGGATCCCGCTGATTCTCAAGGTATGTACAAGGATTCCCTTGTTACGCTGCTTCATAGATCTTTTATTAATATTCACAACAGTAATAACTTCTGAAGGTTTTAGTATTGAAAACGATTTTTGGGTCCGCGTAACCCGCCGCTTGAAATGGCCCTACTGGATGACGGAAGCCGTAACTCGAAGTCCTCGAAGTCAGGAGAAACAATGTTTTCCGATGATACCGCTTGGGCGGGGCAAACAACTGAGACATCAAAACAAATAACCCTTGATGATACTCCTTTGACGCATTAAACGCTTGAATTATGGTTACAGGGAGCCCCGCCATCTGTAGCAGCGATGTTCCAACAAGGGAATTACGAGGCTGCTGTGAGAAATATCCGCATGGCCTCGGCCAACTGCCGGTTTCCCAAGAAGATGAAAATCTTCATCAAGGGTATACTACCGGCGGATACAGCCAGAGTGAAAACGATAATGGCAATCTCGGGGCTAGAAACGGTGGCCATGCTGAAATGTCACCACCTGAGCGAATAAATAGTATGCCCTCTCAAGCCTCCGCGCCGTTTCCAGAAGAGTCCAAAGGCAATCCTTCTGAAAATAATTACAAATACGGTGAAATGAAACGCCATTTAAATCCTGTTCCACCTGTCAAACCACCTCTGCTTTCCTGCCGGAGCTTAGAGTCCGTGGTCATGAGCAGAGTCAAACGAACAATGATGGTAATGCTCCATCAATTCCCCAAAGCCCATCGGAATCGACCAAATATCGTTTTCGAACTACACCGCTCCTCCAAAGAGAGCAAGAAGGCATTGTTCCGAACAGAATCGCGGGCAATTCAACAATGCGCCAGCACCTTCAGGCCAGCACATATCTACGAAACGCCCAAACAACGGGTTCGATGCCATTGGCCATTGGGCAAGTTACCCACGGCGACCTCCTCAATCACCGCGGTCTCTTGCAAATTCAAACCAAAGTAGCTCTGTGAGAAGAGTCAGCGAGTCGCGAAATGATGACAGGGAAAGCCCATCAAGATATGATCCAAGTACTGAAACCAATGTCTTTTTTGGAGTCACTGATGAAGATCGCCATATATTCACAGAGCCAGACCAGATCAACTCCAGTGATGGACAAGATGGTGCCACCCCCAACCAAAACCTGCAGCGTTCTTCTATTGCGGTTAAGAACACATCAGTATATGGTTTACGTACCGGGAGTAACGATGGAGCCTCAAGACACATACACCCTCGTCATATAGGGGCAGGCGTTATCAATAACAGCGTATCACAGCGCAGCGACACCCCTATTCCGAGTCAACGGCTTCCCACTTCGACCGGGAATACCTCAACATCACGTCAAACGAATGGAAAGAATAATCGTGGCCCAGCATCCAGCCGACTTAATAATCCAGGGCCAAATACGACCAACCCCAGGGACAGAGAACGCAGCACCACTCCCCTCCCTCATCAAAGTAGACGGCCTTCTCACATAACTATGTATAACAACAGCGTCGGTATGTTGGGAATTGAAACCTCCCACACTCGCTTCCCGAGTCAATCTGGGACACCAAATAGTCTCAGAAGAGTTCAGTCACAAGTCTTTCATTCCAGAATACCACGACGCGTCCAGCGACATGTTATTCATCTCAAAGACAACTACCTTCATTGACGCACTAGCCAAACGGCAGGATCATTACACAATCTTTACCTAATGTCATAAAAATAGGCAAAAACTCCCCACTGTTACGTCTTCATTGGGCCTCTCAATTGGATGGTAGATATAACTTCTATTTATAACACATAGATTCAACTGCAACACGCAGTCAATGGCTACAGGCGAAACTCACCTGACCTAAACGTTTGCGGCAATGCTTTGGCGTCGCCCCTGAGGATGCGTTGAAATATAGTGGATAAGCAACAGTTGAATGGCTAGAGAAATAAATCACTTTACACGCAATGGGATAAACTTCAAGTATAGGGCAGGTACCGAGGCTCCAGATGCAAAGCAACGGCTTATCACTTGGTGTATGGGATTAGCTCAGCAAAAATGAACCAAAGACTACGAATACATATTAAATCCCCTTACGAAAAAGAAGAAGAGCAAAAGATCTGAAAGGAAAGGAATAATTTTGCTCTCAGGCCCGTGTAGCTGGATATCGGCAAGCAAGTCTAGTCTCATTACCTTGATTACAAATTCCTCGTAGTGCAAAATGGTCTCATTTAAGTTATAAACTTTGTACTGGATCGTTGTTCAGCAAGTGTACTCAGCTTTGTTAATTGCGTCTACTATTCTGTCTTTCAATTGTTGGTATTTAGTCATAGGGTTACGTCAGTATCTCTAAGCCCGTTGCGTGTATTTCGCAGTTGCAACAACTGAAGGTATCAGTTTCAATCATTAGCGAGTATCAATGATACTATATACAATCATCCTATACATTCAAGCGTGTCTACTTATTTAAGAGTCACCAACGTGACGATTTCCTGGTTTACAAGAACATTGTACGAAGTCGAGTCTCTGAATATGAGCGCAGAGTATTGCTGCGGCAGTAATACTCGTTGCATACGTTCCCTCGGAAGCACATCTTAGAGGTGAGATACCTGCTTTATCTCGAATGCGAGCATTTGCTCCGGATCTGAGAAGCTCACGAATTACGAGAGTATAACTTTGAGCTGCGGCGAGATATAAAGGGGTTCTCCCCAGATGATCACGCTCATCCAGCCCGGCCCCTAGTGCAACCAATCTATCGATTAGTCCGTAAATCCCAGCGTCGGCGGCAATATGCAAGGCAGTGAGGCCGGTTGCTGTCTTTGCTGAAACATCTGCTGACAAGTCTAGTAATACCCGGCAAAAATCTATTCGCGATGTGCGATCGATATGGAGCCCGCCCGGTGGCTTACAGAAGTTGGATATCAATCCTTCGTTTGTGGCGAGTGAAAACGCAAGGTGAAGAGCCGATCGGCCCTCTTCGTCCTTCTCGTTAACGTCTGCGCCGTGCAAAACGAGAAACTCAGCAAGCTTCTTATCGCCAGCAAGCACTGCCTTGTATAGTAGCGTCTGACCGCGTGAGTCTCGACGTGTAACATCAATCTGAGCACCAGCAGACACCAGTGTATTGACGTGATGAAATCTCGCGGAATGAAGCCCATTTGCTTCCAATTGTTCAAGCACAATATCTATCGGGGTGCAATGCTGTGCGTCTTCAATATGGATAATGGCACCGTTAGCGATCAACTCTTTAACCAAGTTCCCAGTTCGAACGCTTTCAACGCTGTGATGGAGTGGCGTTCTACCTGCACCGTCTTTCGCATTGATATCCGCACCGGCACGAACGAGATCTTGGATAAATGCCTCTCTACCATGTTCGTAGCACATATGGTGGAGCGACGTCCATCCAGAAGAGCTCCTTGCATTCGCGTCTGCCCCAGCGTCTATTAGCTTTACAAACAACTGTGTAAATACATCTTCGCTCTCATCGCTTGCAGTTTTTGACCATCTGATGCTGGCTGAAGCCTCAACTTTTCCAGCAATTAGATGGAGGGGGGTACGACCCTGGCTATCCGTTGCAGTAGCATCAACTCCGCAGGACACTAATTGTTGAAGAATACAAGATGAGCTATCATCTGAAATAGACCGGATAAGCTGGTGGAGCGGTGTGAACGTTTGGTCATCTCTGGCCTCAACATCTGCGCCGGCCAGTACTAGCGCATGGAGAAGTTTGATATCACGAGACTGGACGGCAAGATGAACAAGACTTTCACCGGATGCGTTCCGCTCATTGATATCCGCACCTTTGTCTAAGAAGAATTGTAATGCCGCGGAAAGGTGATCGGGCTTGCAATACCTTCCCCCAAAGAAGTCATGAAGAGGAATATTGCAAAGCTTTTGCTTGACGCTAACATCGAAGTTGAGAAAGTCTAGGGCTAATTCAAAATCACCAGTCCCGATTGCTTTGTTGAATATTAGCCGGTAGTCAGGAACCACCGCACTTAAGACTATTTCCTTCGTCTCTTCCACGGCGTGATTTCCTTTCAATGCTGCCAGAAAAGTCTGACGAAACTTCTTCTTCCTCAGCGCATTCTCTATTTCCTCTGTGTGGACTTGTGCACCATGAGCCACAAGAATGCGAATTGATTCGGTTCGGCAACAAAGTATCGCGGAAAGGAGTGCAGAGTCAATTTGATCCGAAGGGGGTCGGATTGACTTGCTTCTCATAATGCAATCCACCCAGGTATCCAATCCCTGCTCCACCGCCAATGACAACAATGAATTCGTCTCAGTGATGTTTTCCTGCAAGCTCAACCACCGTTGCCAGTAATGTCCATTATGAAGAAGGTCAATGATTGGCATTGGGTCCGCGCCGTCATCTTGAGCCAATCGAGCATGGAGAAAGACTCTATTGATGGCATACGATTCGAGAGCCGGATAATCACTAAGGATTTTGGATCTCGCTAATGATGAGTGGGAATTCATGGATCCAGATATGAGGTCTGAGATGTCCCGCGGTTTTTGATTGTTTTCGCCTAGCTCTAAATCCTCAAGAGGACGAGGGAAAGAATTTGCGTCTTCCCTATCATCAGGGTAGGGAGAATTGCGGTTATCATGGCTGCTAGCCGAGGACCCAAAACTGGTGGCCCGAGAATGTACGGAAGGCTGCCAAACGACATTGTATGGCCTATAAGAAGACAATCGGTTACTCATTGGTAGAAAGGGGTTGGAATTATCCAAGTGAGCTTCAGGCTGTTCTGTGAACATCTTGGGGTAAAAAGAGGAAAGAGACGGGGAAGACTGCCGGTGAACTTCAGTCTGTTCTGTGCGTATCCGAGCGTCAGAGAGTCCTTGAAGTTCCTCGACAGCCAAATATTGAAAGCAGCACTTTGCTAGGGCAATATGTCCTTCTGCACAAAATGATACGATGCCGTTCTTCTGATATCCTGCAACCTCCCAAGCCTTCGATAGCCACTCTCCGCCCTCAACGAAGAATGAACGTACAGATTCATGAATTAGCTGGACAATTCTGCTGTCTCCAGATGAACTATCAAGGGAGCCTGCTCCGGCAGCCGCGGATTTCACGTCCTCAACCTCCGAAGCACCTGTGGATTGATGCATTTTCACTTCAACGAGACCACGAGAAATCGCCCTAAGTTGATCCACCAACTCTTGATCAGTGGCAGTGTAAAACTTGGAATCTTTCCATTCAGCAAGCGATTTTTGGGGTCCATAAATGAAGGCAAGAATATGATGCCATTCTCGAAGTCGTAATGGGCTCGTAGACAACACCGCCCACTGAAACAAGTAGATAACTATCTGAAGTTCTGCCCTTGACATTTTACTTGGGTCCAGCAACTCGGCGAAAAGGCTGTTGAGCTGAGCTGGCAGGCGGAGTATCTCGTCAAGGAGGTACTTCTTGTTACGCCCATTAGCACTTTCTTTGATGATTTTATCGATAACCAAGATGACCCAGAGAAAGATCCCATCAGCCTTGTTGGCAATTTCGCATTGAATTTGCTTCGTAGTCTGGTTATCACCGAATCCGGCAACTTCGAGCCGCCTTGAGATGTAATATTCAATGTCAGAACGAGTAAACTTCTCCACTCTGATTTCTGGACAATCTTTCAGGACCACATTTGGAAATTCTCTCCTGGACAAGCACACATCAAGCTGCACGCCGGCTTTGTATGCTTCGTCTGTGAGGTGGCGAAAAAAGTAGGCTATGTCGCGGTTACCTGGCTCATCGCATTCGTCGAGAGCGTCCACAAAAATGACGGTTCTAGTATTGTTCTGTTCATCTAAAAAAATATCTTGAAATATTTCTCGAAAGCTGGATAGATATTCATCTGAAATCTGGTCGTCATCCTGTTCCTGTGACTCCTGTTCCCGTAGCTTCAAGAGGGCTGGAAATTTCTGGGGATGAAATCGCAAGATTTGATGAAGCAATGAGCGAAACATGCCTAACTGTGAGTGCTCCAGCAAATTACCCCGCTTGTTGAAGAAGAAACCGGCAACACAGATCGTAGGCTCAGAAAACTTGGAAGAAACTTGCTCGAACGTTCGCTTCATAGTTGTTGATTTACCTGTCCCTGGTTTTCCCACAACTTGTAGCAGACCATGATGTACTTTGACATTCTTTCGAGAGATCCAGTCCTCATAAGCTTTCACTCGTGCTAGCCATGTGCATGTGTTTAAAAGAGGATTCTTGATGGCCCTCAAGCGATTTTGCATTCCTGGGAAGCCAAGAAAGCGCTCGATCTTACCGGAGGCTGTATAATTAACACTCGGTTTTTCGCCTTCATAGACCACAGCCTCGAGCTGTATGTATATCCTTTTAATCTCGCCTGACACCTTTTTATAATTTGGACAATCAGCGCTGTCGAATCGGCAAATCTCTCTGTGGTCGCCATGCAACGTCTCGGCCCTCTCGCGAGGATCTCCAAGACAGGAAGAAAAATCAGGAACAACCTATTGCTGTAAGAAATTGCCACTTCGTGATTGACTGGAGATTGGGTCATCTTACCTTTGCTTTTGCGACTACAAATGGCAGGCCTCTAATCTTGAACTTGAAAGCCAACCCTTCTTGAAATGACTTTACCTGAAAGTCATGTTTGGCCCAGAGAGAAGAGAATACGTCTTGGCAGCGGGAAAGATCAGCATTCTTAAGAGCTAGACTATCAACAATACTAGAATTGGTATCTAGCAAGAGTAGACTGGCTGCCTTTCGTGCAATAGCCCCGAGAGACGCTACTGAGCTCCCTCTGTGAGGCGTGCCTAGAAATATGACGGCGGAGGTTGAATTCAGAATGTCTTGAAGCTCCTCAGAGTTTGAAGTAGAGCAGTTTGTGAGTATCTAGTGATGACGTTCTTAGAGATGAATAAAAGTTTTGGAACAATGTGATTGGAAGTGGCCTATATCACGCACCTCTTTAACTAGGATACCTCCCAATGAATGGGCGACAAAGATGACTCTTCGGCCCAAAGGACGTGTTCGCGAAAGTTCATTCAAAATATCTTTGCCATGCGTGAAAATATTGTTCTGATTCGTCCTTCCACTGGACGGTAATTTGACGATGACAGTGTCATATCCTAGAACAATAATTCTAGCCTTGGGGCAATCAGAAGGTAGAAGATCTCGAGGCCAAAAAATGCTAGCCTTCGGGTTACGCTTGGTGGTGTCTTGGCTTTTGCTGCCTTGAAATCTTCGGATCAAGTCTTGTAACCAAGGCCCCTTCGATGGAGAATTTGTCATCTGGTCTTGACTATCAGACGCGCCGTTTCGCGCCGTTTCGGCTTCTGTTTCTGCTTTGAATCCATGTCCATACGTCCAGGTCTTGAAGGGATGTCCCTGCAGTCCGTGGACGAGGACAATACTACAACAACGTTGTCAGTCAAGGCGTTATGAGTCTGTCACAGTGGACGGGCATGACGCACTCAACCATGGGCTCACCATCCTTTGGTTCATAAATTATCGATGCTCCGGTCCTGGAAGACGGAGGCTCTGCCATCTTGATGCAATGCAGCTAATACAGCCTGTTGGTAATTTCGCGAATTGACGGAAAGCGCAGGTTTGGTAGAAAGATATAGATTAGTTGCAAAGACACAAGAGAGTAGATGGTGTGAATTGCCGAGAGTTGGTCAGAAACCATGTGAGGGGTCGTCAAGGCCTGGATTATGTTAGGCAATACATGCTAAGCTGTGAACACTTCCAGCTCTCGCCCAATGAACCCCGACCTTGTATTCCGCTTTATCAGTGAGTACTTGATTGGCCCGACCTGCTTATTATGCAAAGATTAGATTGGCATAGGTAGACGCAAGTTAATCCTATCAGAAGATAACACGAAGTCAGCATGCGCATGGGCTGGTATTGATGCATTGGGCAACGATCAAGGGAGCCCAAGATTTAGGTAATATGAGGCAGCCCCCTTGGGTACCTGGCTGCATCTGCGTACATCAGGGAACTGCATGTATACACATGTAGGTACCTAGTAGGTATTACCTGTGAGCACCAGAATATGTGTACATACCTGGTATCTAGTAGGTAGAACTCTACTTGTATTTTACGTACATGTACCTAGGTAGTCTCTGCTAACACTTGATTCAAAGCCCACCCGAATAAGATCTTGACGGTAATATAATTACCTCTATTTATAATGAGCATACAAGTTCTATATTTACCCACATCGCAACAAGCGGTTGCCTAATATTCTTTATCTTGATTTAGACATATATTACCCTTCTTATATGGAGAGGGTATATTCTTAAGAGCCTGAAGAGGTCTCTCATTCCCACGACCTACAATCCAACGTGCTTGGATACCTCACATTTATTGTTTATAACAATGGTCTGCTTTTAGGGAACTCTGAGAGAGAGGTAAATACAGGTGCAAGCCTTAGTCGGGGAAACATTTGCATCTGGGGTCTTACGTTGACTGTGTAATGTTTAAGATTCTCATAACGGTAAGCTATTCTATGTACGAGATCAACCGTGGACACTCGATCAATTCAAGCTGGTGCTATATACACATTGCAAGCTAAGTGGTCACTCCACTGGTATATCAATTCATGACTCAGATTGAATCTCAACTAGCAGGAACAGCCGCAAGCAAGCTCCATAGATGGTCGTTGGTTCCGTTGTCCTGGAACTGGACAACGTTGGCGCTGTTAGCCGTCGACTGGCCATCAACTCCAACCACCAGCCCGCTATTCTTATTCTTTATCAGATATAGCCCATCGCTGTTTGACTGTACTCGCCAAAGGTGGTCGTCGGTCCCATTATCTTGAAACTGCTGAAGACGTGCACTGTTGGACGTTGACTGCCCTTCGACGGCCAGCAGGAGTCCGCTGTTGAGGTTCTGGATCTTGTACCAGCCACCAGAAGCCTTGACAAACTGCCACAGGTGATCCCGGGTGCCGTTGTTGTCATATTGCTGAATGTAGGCGCCGTTGGTCCCGGAAGCGTTCTGGACGCCCATGAGCTTGCCGCTGTTTAGATTCTTGAGCTGGAAGACAGCTGCGGTCCACACTTCGAACTCGGAGAGACCCCAGCCCGATCCGCCGCCAGGGTTGGGGGCCACGACACGCAATTGCGAGGTGGTGATTGTCGGGAAGGTGATCTGCGTCAGTGTATTTGACGCCGAAGAGGCTGTGCTCCGCTGCTGGCCGGGGACTGTGATCCAGGCGCTACCAGAGAGATATTGGAGATCATAGCTCGAGGGCAACTTCACGCCGCCGCCGTCGGTGTAGAAATAGAGCCGGACGTTGGACACTGCCTGCGACCTTCGGAGGTCCACGCCGAAATAGTCCTGGGCGTTGGGGCTCTGGTATGAAGTCCAGCGGCTGTTCTGGGGCACGGCATTGCGGAACACGATGCCGTCGACGGCTCTCCAGACATCGTCGTACGGTGAGGTGTAGGATGCGAATGGCGTCGAGCCCGATGAGAACTTCTGGGTGTTGGCGGCGATATTGACCTGTGAGTTGATGGTTTGGATAACTGCACTGCCGACGTTGACAGTGAGCAAACCGATAGTAGAACGAGTGCCCGCGAGGGTGCCATCAACAAAAACTCTTAAGCCAGAACCCTGGTTGTAGCGAGAACCGGATCTGTCCCAGATGACCGTCACCTGATGTCCGTGGTATTCAACATTCTCCAGTGCAAAGTAGTCCCATGAAGACGGCACGAGAGGATCAACCGTCAGGGTATCATTGGATTGTCCGCGTAGGCCAAGAAGCCCAGCAATGACGTTGTCGATAAAGGTGGAATGATTGTAGTCTTCGCTATGGTTATAAGTGTCGTACATCCACTGGTTTGCGTCGGGATTATGAGCTTCGGCTACATAGGGGATGCCATTCCTATATTGAGTTGCAGCGTAGCCAACAAGAAGGTTATAGTAATCAGTCGATGTAATGTATGACTGCGCGGGATACTCGTGGAGCACAGTTTCCACGGCAGTGAGGACCTGTGAGCTAGCGTATGGCCATGATGGGCCATCCCATTGGAGGCAGTTTGCGCCTTGGTACATATACCATTGGCTTCGTCGTTCAGTAGTGGTAGGTCCGTATGTGGCCGCAAAGCCCTGAGAATCCTTCAGCTGGGAAAAGGCGGCGATGCCCGACGCTTGCGGCATGTTGAACATCCACGGAAAGTAACCCATAATCTCACGAGTAGTGAGCAGCGCTCCCGAGGGGTTGTTGTCTCGTTGCCGGTGCATGAAGAACTGACGCGAACTGTCCCAGAGAGTATTCTGCATTGTCGTCTGTAGAGCGCTGGCTCGGCTTGTATACTCGGAAGCCAAGGCTGCATCTCCCTTCAAGGTGGCCAAAGACGCGATAGCACGAGCGTCTCCATACTGATATCCGTTAATGGTAGGTCTATAGCCAGCACCGCCGTGATAAGGATCGCTGGTTTGATACGATGCGGCTGTGCATTCGCTTGCATCCCAGACGGGGACTTGCCAGTAAAGCCCGAGGCTCTGGTTGAAGTGGTTGTCCCAGCCCCGGTATTGTTTGACAAGATTATCCAACTGACCGATGGCGAAATCTCGATCTCCCGTTACAAGATAATGGCGCCACACTGCGGTGGCTGCCCAGAAGCTGTATTCGTGGGCCCAATCAGAGGTGTCGAGATTGTAATTATCAGTTTGCGGCTTTGGGAACGTGCCAGGGCCAGCCAACCAGTAGTTGATGTTGTCTTTAACGTATCTCTGATCCCGAAGCCATCGACCTTCGATGATGTGATGTCCCGCGGCGGCTACGACGCCTCCGTATGGCGCACCGTAAGTGACTGGCGTTAGAAACTCGCTGAGCATGTAGCCATACTGGGCACCGGTGTAGGTAAGATGCTCCTTGTAAGTCTGCCAACGATAGTAGTAGACGGCCTGAATCTGTGAGTTGGGGATATCAAGGAACGGGATGTTCTGTTCGAACCAGTTGGGGTCTTCAAATCCGGAAAGCAACTGGCTATGATTCAAGAAATTGGTGGCTACGGAACGTCCTGAGAGGGCAATGACGGCAGCACCCAGGGCGGGAACGCTAAGTGTCTTCATTTTGCTAGAGTCCAGCTGGCTTTTGCCTCGAGACTGAGGACATTTATCCGGAGGTCACTATCTTGAAATGGATGATGTCTTCGAAACTGACAGCTTTGACCATTCCAACGAGGGCATGGACTGGAGCCCATGTGTACAAAGGAATATTCTAGAGGCGGCAATGAATGGAAGGCCATTATATAGAGAAAAAGGAAACCGCGATCCAAAGCGCGAGCTGGGTTTGGAAGCATCAGTTAGCCTTTTTGATGCGTCCAAGTATGCCGTACTGCGTCCTTCCTAAATCTGCTAATAAAGACTGTGCAAGTCTTGGCTTGAAGAATGACCCCATGTTACATCGTGAGCGACTAGGCGATGAATCCTTTAATATAGCATGACTATAATGCCGACAGCCTCTCCGTCTACTAATCCATTTTGATACGGCAGCCCCATCTTAGATGCGCCTTCACTTGGCTATATCACCACATCAAAAGAGCGGGCAGACTATCAGGGACAACTGTTTGTGTATTTACAGGCAAGCCTCTCCTGCCCAATGTTTATATAAGCCCAAAGTGATGTCTTATTGTGCTCTTGGATCCCATTTCATCTAACGAAAAGAAAACGTATAGATTGTCAAGTAAGCGTATAGAGCATAAACCAGGCGTATAAGGTGGAGAGTAAGCGTGTTTTAATTACACGCATTCCTTGAAAGTTGATCCACTCAAGTTACCATTGGGGTCAATCACTTTCAGCGCCATTGGTCCATATTCACTTCGATTCATCTGGAGCACATGACAAATTGCGGTTTCGAGACTCAGTAGGGGATGGGCGCATAAGTTGGACCAAGCCCAAAGAAGAACCTGGAACTCTTATAATCCATCTAGCGTGGAATCTATAGCCTGAAAGAGCAGTATGGTTACCTTACTCAAATGACATTAGGCGAGTTCGGCGAGTAGCAAATCTATCAAGCTCTCATCTACTACCAAGAGCGTTGATGGATGTGCGTATTGATGCTCTATTAGACAGACCAAGAGCGGGTAGCTCGTTTGGGCGATCTCGGGGAGCGTCAGCTTTTCACTCACAAGGGACTGTATACGCCGCCGCCGGGTTTAACATCAATGCTACCTCCACAGTCTCTAGCCTCAGCTGGGTAACCCTCAAACGAAGGCGATTGGACCGCTTCAGGCGTCTTAGCCGCAGCGTAGATGGGACTAACCCAGTGACTCTGACGGCAGTTGTGTGATATTTGTCTCTTCCCATGGACATCACACACCAACGAGAACTCCCAAAGGGCGTTTGAGGATGGAATGGATGGCCTTGTTTCATAGCGCCCGACTTTGACAGCTGCTCAATTAAATACCCAATTATACGCAGATGGACACGGCTCATGTCTGTCAATGAAAAAGTAATGATTATGTACATATATTAGACGATGAGGGGAATATGTCCTTGAGAGGGTCACCGTAGCATGCTATGTACATGAACTCTTACTAGGCACGGGAGAAGAAACACATTGAGATGCGGCGACGCTGTGACGTTGCAATGGACTGGGGCTTTTATTCGACTACCTTATGGTTCCTAGTGAGGTTGATTCCATTCTCCCCGCATCGGCGACAATCTCGAATACCGGCATCATCGGTCGTCTCGCCTCGGCAATTGGAGGAGCTGAATTCGGCCCGCGCCTCTCCACCCATCACCGTGCAGTAGTACTCACTCGTTCACGGAATTAGGAGGTAGTTTTGTTTCCTTTTAATTACTGCGAATCTTTGGCTGGACTTTCGGTCCGGTTGCCATCATATTGGTACGATGTTCTGTTTCGCAACATAACTACAAAGGTTAGCTTAGGCTCCAACATATCCAACATGAAGACTCTTGTCTGTAAAATGTTAAATGTACCTGTGTTTACCTACCTAAACAGGCCTCCCGGTCGCTTAGTCCGACATAGCTTCAGTCAGGCATCCTGAGTCTCTGTAAAACCCAGTCACAAACGATTGGTCTGGCAATCCAACTATACAGCTTCAATTGTGTTTCATTAATAATTATGTATTTATTATAATATTCATCAAGCTTTTTACACAAAATAAATACTTTATATTTAAAGACTGTTGGCCCAGTGACGACGACATTGAATATCAGCTTCGCATTATTTGCAGCCCAGATAGTCAGCCCTCTAAGGCCTCGTACCGCACGTTCCGCGTGGGGGGTTCTCATAACTGGTCAGCTCTTGAGAATTTGCCAAGAAGATCGCCTTTGTCATGAAAAATATGTCTCATAGCCCAAAGAATGGGAATCTTCGGTGACTATTAGATAGGTTGACAGGTGATAGTAATGGCACGTATCTTTGCAAATACACGTGGCTCTGTATGTGTGATTAAACACGTACATTATCTACATATGTACATACATATGTATCCCTTGCTGCTGCCCAATCGTTCATACCCGAGCTTCAAAGCGATACGCTCACTCTATTGCCAGGTATTTTAAGTATTCCCGAAGTTGGCATGATGTCCTGTTTCATCAGAATCTTTACTCTTCCGATCTTGACTAGCTATACAAGCAGCCTCCTTCCACTTTTCTACTACATATAGGGGATTCAATCATGGAGATCACGGGGACTATAAAAACGACAATCGATCTACTCAAATTCCTCGAATATGTCGTTAATTTCATAAGGCGGGTTACCGGCAAAACCAAGATGGATGAAGTCGCTAAAGAGATTAAGACCGATCTCTCTCACCTGCAGCGTTTCCTTCTCGATATCAAGCAGCGTCAAGAACATCTTCCGATCTCTAACCAGGATCAGACTTTACAAGGTCTTATCAAGGACATTAAAAGTAGAATAAATAAGGTTCAGGAGGTCTTGAAAGATCTGGAAGCTTCTCACAAAGGCCATGGTCGGGTACTGAAGAGAGGACGCCTCGTGCTTGGAGGCTTCGAAAAGATCTGAAGAGTCATGCGGAGAAACTTGACAAACTTAAACACTTGTTGGAAGACCATATGAGAGACTTGGAAGCTCAACACAAAGCTTTTTCTCAAAAACTAGACCAGGTGTACGAGCGCTTCAGCTTTTCTCTACCCAATCTAAAAGGCAGGAGGCTAGATGGCACACTCTAATGGATCTGGACACATCCAATCTTCATTCATTGGCTTGTTATGCCACAGATACAGGACAATCAAAGTACGCCATCAGTCCTTCCGATAACCAATGATACCAATCCAGAGGGGAAGGTTCGTATAATCAGTGGTGTTGTGGGCTGTGGTAAATCAACCTTGGCAGCATATGTAGTAAATGAGCTGAAAACCCGACATCCAACATTATTTTTCTCCTTCTCTACAGATTTCAGGGATCAAAGGGATACAAGAGCATTGTTGAGGGCTCTTCTCTCACAGATTCTTCAAATACTTTCAAGCGAACGGCAACAACATCATATATCGAGCCTTCTGGACAAGACAAGGCCCATCAATGAGCCGGACGATCTCATCGGCATGGTTGTCGAGTTGGCCAAAGAAATTGAATCAGAGTTGTACATCGTCATTGACGGCATCGACGAATCTGAAGACGATTGGAACAAGCTTTCACACGGTCCTCTTGGCCATATGGAAACGCTTTTGAAGGCCAACTCTCGGATGTGGCTCCTCTTGTTTGTCAGTTAATTGAAGAAATCCGCCGTGATGAGATACAAAAGGTCCTGGAATCAAAATCTGTCAACATGTATTTGTGGATCAAATACATCTTCATCGATTTGCGCAACGCGGGTAGCGAGCGGGAGATTGAGGAAGCACTGAATCGACGACCAGATGACTTGAATAGGCATTACAGTCGCATGCTGTCTAGTATCATGATGAAACATAAAGGAGAATTAGTCAAGAGACGATCAAAGGGCCGCTTCACTCTCATCATCGGAGCATCGCGTCCCTTTACGATGATGGAACTTCTTCGCGCACATGCATTCGCCCTTCCACTATCGCAACAGGCGTCCAGCTACCAGCCAAATTTACTTAAACCAGAGAGCGTCATTGAGGCTTGTGGCGGCTTCATAATCGCCGATGACGGTGTCGTCCAACTGGTGCACACCTCTATGCGAGAGTTTTTCCTCCGACCTTCCCATCTCTGGGAGAGATTGGATGAATATGACATTAAATTCTTCCGTCTTTAGCACCAATACTGCCACCGGATGCTGGGGCTCTCATGTTCGACTTATATGAAATGTCTTGACGGGCATGCTCAAACTAGCAGCGATCAGATGGAGGATTCCATCAACGATAATAAGTTTCGCAATTACGCATCTCATTACTTTTTCTCACACTTATTGGAGTCAAATATTACCCTACAAGACGAATCACTCCAAATTTTTGAACTCTGGAAGTCAGGCAACGCTAGTGTTCTGACGAACTTGTTACTCAAGAAAGAAGACGAAAGTATACCAATCCAGTTTTGGGACGATGCCTGCCACTTCTTAGGAGCCTGGAGCTACTCAGATACAAAAGTTAGACGAGCCTTGGGTTCTCTCTCTGATGTCGAACAAGAAATATCAGACCCTCCGGCTCAATACCAAGACAGCGAGCAGCTTTCGAAAAATTTTCTGCATCAGCTCGCTGACTATTATGAAAACAAAGGATTTGGCGCTTATGGCAGTGGTGCTGATGTCGGTCGAGAAGCTGCCCTGAAAGGCAAAAGGAAAGGAGAAGCACTGGCTGGCGCCTCGTCTTCAACAGCAGATACCCATCGTCCTACCGGTCGCATAAAAGATGATTTGTTGGTTATAATGGACTTACCGATTGGCAATTTAATCGGTACCATGATCCAGACGAGAGACCGGCTGATCATCAATCCCATGGATAGTGTAATCACGGCACTTGCGAATTCTATCAAGAAAATGGCATTTTTCCCATTGATGCAGATAGGCATTTACACTGCAAATGTCCTTCGCAGAAACGAGCAAGCATTGGAGATTTTCCAGAGTGCTCTTCAAAGAGTCATAAAAGAGAAAGGCACTCGCACTTGGGCTAGGTTATGGGTAGGCCATACATCATGGGGTCCGGACGCAGAAGTTCATTATCGAGAAGCAATGAATATACTACACGCAGGCCGTATGAATCCTCTTCGGGAGCATATGTGCCTTATCGCTATTTGACGCTTGCTTGTGCGCAAATTGAGTTATGGCGAGAGGGAGGGCGTGGCGGACTTGGCGATCCAGTTCAGTCGGATGGTAGTCAGATGCACTACTGCTAGTGATCCTGGCTCAGGATCCCATGCTGGGTTTTTGAGAGACCAGTGCTACAGGGTCATCAAAACCATTCCATGTTTTCAAAGGGACAAGATTGAATTTGTCCTCGAGGTTGCTGAGGCCTATGATGATCTCTTCGAGCATCTGGGCGAGCTCCTCCGGCCATTCGTGGATGGTGCTGTGAGTACCAGTGCAATCAATCGTCAGTCTTTCTCGAGGATCTTATGTCTTTGGGTGAATGCAAAGGTAGCCTTAGGGAGAGAAGATGTTGCAATGGATATAATACAGGCCAGCGATAATGGCAATATCGAGCTTGATGAAGAAGAAGGAGCCGTCCTGATTACCGCTTACATATATCTTGCAGATGCTTCTGATGCATGCGCTGATTCGGAGGGCGCAGGCTACTGTAGAATACGAGCGCGGGAAGTGTTAGAAACGATGTTTGCCTCATCTCTGGATCCAAAAAGTTGTCCTAGGATGGAAAAGGCTTCTCGATGGATTTCAAGATGGGCACGGCCATGCCAAGAATATTTTAACGGCAGCTTTAATGATTACGAGAGATCCAAAGACTTGCCAGAAATGTTCCCATTTGAGGTGTGGTGGGCGCCTGATGTTGGCACCGACTATTTGAAGTACTATAGTTGCAGTGTCTAAGTTGATTTTCATTAGGTTTAGCTGAGTTACATGGAAGTTTCAAGCAGTTAAGTTCTTCTTACCATGGGTGCTTTTGCTTCTGGTACCCGATGAATCTAACAATCTAACTACACAGCTTCAATCGTGCTTTATCGACCAAATGACAGAGAATGTTCTCAAAGACAATGCCTTTAGGTACACCCTGGAGGGGTATTGTAATAGTTCGGGCATGTCGTTTATACACAGCGATGTAGACCACCGCAAGGCTCCAAACTCCGAAGATATAACAGACAAGGATCGAAGGCATATAAACTCAAATTGCGAAGTCAATCAGCTGGCAATGATATGTCGCTATCCACGCAGTGGTTATCCGCCATTCTACAGCTTTTGATCAGCTGATCCATACTACCGTGGCCAATTTTTATCCCTTTCCGAGCCGCCAATACAACACCAGTGCTTAAAGCTTCGGCTCATTTGCCAAATCGAAGCGCTAGATCTTTCATGAATGTATCCACATCATCAAGTTTCTTGACCTCTTCTGCTTTTAATGCCCATTTTACACCGGACTCCGGCAATGACTCAGTATATGGCTGAGATTCCATCCATTTTGATCATTTCTGGATAACCGAAATGGCATCATCAGGCGTCATTTCAAACCATTCGATATGCTGTATCGAACAGCCAGTACAATAGACGCTTGTTCGGCAATAATCCAGCTCGGCGTGGCACAAAGCCTCAACCCGGCGGGCATTTGGGACAATTGAGCTCTCATAGAGCGACTTGGGCTCTCTGTTGCAGCTCAACTTCCACTCTTCATACTTTTGTTTCGGACTGCGAGTAGTGTATCCGATTTTGACAAGCCTCTCGTTTCCTTTAACTGTATAAAGGTATATGAATCCCTTCTTTAGATCACCCAACGTCTCTTCCAAGGGAAGCATTACGGTGGTTTTGATCTCTGTGTATGAAGACTCTCGCTCTTGAGTGCCGTCCCTTCTCTTAATAATCTTAAAGGGACTCTCATCAAAAGCTTCGGGCCAGTATTGATCTGGTGGAGGCAATGCCAAGTCAATGGGTGTTGAGCCAACTCGGTTTTCAAGATCATGTCTAGTTTTAACTTTGATCGTTGGACTTTGAACTGTTTCCGGTTGTGAAGTTGTACAAGACTCATCAGAGCCATCCAGCGTATAGCCGCTATCCGACTGTTTAGTTTCGGCTTGGTATGTGCTGCGAATCTCCACGAGTCTCGAGATCCATAGCTCGACATGGTTAGATGACTGATATTGGTGATGATGACAAAGTCCATTACATGCGAGGACCTTGAGAAGATATTCAACTTTGGTATCATCAGAGCCAACCACTGACTTGATAATCTCATCAATAGTTTTGATGTAATTTTGCATCTTTTGCCCTTCAAGCTTCCAACGGCAATCTTTCTGCTTCAATGTCTTCCCTATGCAATGACGGTTACTGCAATGGGCGTAATCGCGGCGTAGAGCAATTGTGATCCGCTTCTCCAGAGGTATGAATGGCTTAGTATCGGGGTCTCCAGTAGGAAAGATAGACGTCCATTTCTCAACGCGATCCTCTATATGTCTTTCATAGAGGTGCAAATGGCAGTGAACTAGCTCAGCCAGCTTTAGTAGCTTGTCTTCGAGTTCGACAGATGACTGAGTCAAAGCCACCATCGATTCTATCAAGCTATCCACCTTGGTCCTATTCTTTTCTGGAGAATCCCTTTTACAGGGCCTCGCCTGTTGGGTAAGGCATCCGCATCGCCCATCCTGGAGAGTGAGTCGAGACTTCAGCACGCTTACATCGATCTCTTTCGTTGGCTGCCAATCACTTTTCGTAACCGTATCTGGCGCAGGGGAAGGGGTCCTTGGAGGAGTAAGAAGCCTAGAGGAATCGGCTGTAGTGGTACCATCGTCAAGACTGAGTCCACTACTCTTGTTGTAAACGTTCGGCATTGCTTCTTTACACAAGAGGAGAATGCGGAGGTATCAAGTAGACCAAATTTGGATTCGCCTACCGCATCCAAGATATTTCATCAAACTGAGCTGGCGTTTCAAAGCGTAACCGTCGAAGCGACGTTAGAAGTACAATACCAGGCCTAAATGCCAGCGAAGGCCGATGGAAGAGGGCAAACGACCTTTTTTATGCTCATGAGAATTGTGCCCCTTTGAGTCCTTGGCTTTGATCAGAGTGAGGCAATTGATACGATGACTTGCACACAATTCCTTCAGGCAGCTGCCAAGGGTAGCACAAGATTCGCCTTGGTCCTACCTGCTGCGTCACACGTCTCCGTCATATTCTGCTTGGCTTTGCGTTGGCTTTAAAGGTTCTGATGCAAGTTTTATGTTGGGAGGAGAGCAGTGATTGATGGTGAGTTAGAATTGCTGCCTTGTTGCGGCTTAGTCATCCATGGGCCATATCCAACCCAATACATTACATGCACTCGTCAATGTTCGCTAGCGGCCCTTCTCCTCTTCTCCCCCTTTTTTTGTAGACTGGGAGGTGCCTACATGAATTCAAGGTATCATTTGTGGTTGTCTCAGAAACTGGGGCAATCCTGAGGCGTAATGAACACTCCTCGAGATTCCTTGGAGGGAACGCTCATGCTAAATCTCAGGTCACATCACAAGAGTTGAATGAATAACAAATTGGAAGCGCCACTCACGACAGCTATCATTGGTATGCGACATAAGTGATCATCAGCCTGCGCTCAACAGAACGCTGGAGAGTAGAAAGTTGCTCGCTAACAACAAATCAGACCGGGGATTTGAGCTCTCAAAGCTGATGTAATTCAAGCTGTCAACTTTAGAATTCATCACGGTCCTTTTTGCCCGCATACATGTTTGCCACATTTTCACAATATGACGAATCAATCATGGTCCGCCTCCAGAGCGCAACACCAGCAGCCGCCGCGTATGTTAGATCCTGAGAGACCAGCAACTCCACCTTGGGGCCTGTCATAGCCTCCTTATACCTGTGAACTGAGTTGTTCTGTATACGCGTGATGGCCCGCCTGACAGCGTCCATGAACTTTGGGTTATCCGCGGCCTCCACTGCTACCAGCACTATGCAGTGCTTTCTGAGAGAGAAATCGCCGTTGATGACGTACTCTTCAGCTTGAGATACAAGGTAACCTTCAAGCTAACGCCAAAAGCTTTCCTTTATCACTTGCGTGTTCTTGCTGGTATAGACCAAATTCAGGATTGATGGTCCCAAGGTGATTACTCGAAGTTGAATGAGAGTAGCACGTTGCCATTTGAAAGGAGGTGTAGAAGAGTGATTTGTGAAGCTAGATAATGTCCAGTCGTTAGCGGCGCATCGTTTGTCGAGGTAGAAGAACAAAATGATACTTGCCTAACAAAGTATACCATTCGATCGTTCGTTAGAGGCTCAGCCCCGTGTGTCCATTGACGCTCATCAAATATATCAGGGCCGAAACAACGAAGCTCTGGGCATAACTGGCGCCCGTTGGCAGCGAGAACAGGATTAGTCTCGCCAAGATAGACAGAATCCATATGATCAATCGTTACAGGCTTCAGGCCTACGAGTATACGCGCCCTTTGCAGTAAGCCATCCAATACCCAGTAGCTCAGAGCTTCTACCTTCAACATCACCTCAAGGTAAGTCATTTCCCTCATCTCATCCGCACAACAGTATCAAGCAATGCTCTAGCTTCACAAACAAGGGCCAACACAATCATAACTCTGCCTCGCCATCTCAAAACTCCAAAAGTACATCCACGTCTAAGCCTCAACCCTACTTTGTCAAGACCCCCCTGACAGCAATGCTTATAAAGTGGACTATTCTATCAGCATATCAACGACAGATCGAGGCATTCTCAATAATGATTCTTCGAGTAATATAATCCACAAATTCATCGTCATTCTCATCTGCATCTTTTTGCCAACTGTATACAACAAAGATCGTCGCCGCGTAATATGTAAAGATGCGCTGGCAGGATATCCACAATAATAGCGGGCTTCAACAACTGATAATAAATGACAATCATTCCTCGCCAAGTATGTAATTAATGATATCGCAAAAAAAAAAATATGAACAGCATTAAGACCGTTCACGTCCTTCTGCAATAAAAACACAAACGTATTTAAAGAGGGACCCAGGGGTTTTAGTCAACTCCAGCCACTCAATGCAAAGACAAAGATCCAAAATCCCACAAAACGCCAACTGACTTGTATATACTTGCCCCCCATCTCATCCCGTATTTTCTTCTTGTCCAGTATTAGATTTATCGAACCATGCCGCTCAATCATCGCTGCCGTCTAAGCAAGCTCATGCATTTCGCCACGATGGTTTTCGGAACCCTGTGCCGGAGCCTCGTGGATAACATTCTCCTGTGGCTGGTAGGGTCCGGGTCCAGGAGCGACGTAGCCGCCAGATGGGGCCGGGCTGGTACTTGACGAGATGGTGCTGTATCGAGGATCGACGGGAGAGATGGTGTGGCCTTCAGGAGTAGTCTGGTAGTATTCCTGCTGGTACTGCGGGTATTGTGCTGTAACCGCGGCGAACTTGGGATCGTATGGGCCCTGGGGTGTCTGCTGCATGCCAGGAGGAGCCTGATGGACGGGAGGAACTTGTGGCGTTTGCTCCTGCGGGACGGCCGAATGGGTCTTCTTGCGGCGGAGGAAGAAGAAGGCAGCGAGGCCAATCAAAGCAAGACCGCCAACGCCTCCAACGACACCTCCAACGATGGCGCCAGTGTTGGAGCCGCCGCCGCCGCCAGAAGGAGCAGGAGTTGTCGTTTCTGGGGTAGTATCTGATGTGGTAGAAGGAGGCGACTGAGTGGAAGAAGTAAAATCATTGGCGATGGTGCTTTGAGGAGAATCGCTCGTCAATGTAAGAGGTGAGAACCTCCTAGAAGACTCGCCACGATATGTGGTCAGAGCAGCCTGCACCTCTGTAATCTCAGCACCGTTGCAAAAGACGTCCATGATATCTCCAGGGAAGGAAATTGTGTTGCAGTAGGGCAGCGCCGAGTTGGTACTGTTGACGAGCATGTTAGCCAACACCCAAATATGCAATTTACAAACAGAGGAGAGAAACATACCACTTGAGAGTGAAGGTATCGACCTTGCAGCCATCGTTACATTTGCTTTGGCTAAAGTAGCCCTCGTAGTCGATGCAGACGTTTCTGGCATTGCAGTCCTGCGAGTTACAGCAGGCGACATGTCCCGGACCAGCAGCCGATGATGTGAAGAAAACACAGGTTGCCGAAACGCCACAAGTATATCCCGCGCCAGCAAGGCCAGAGATGTAACCACAAGTGGCATCGGGGGCAATATAGACAACCTCGGGGCTGGATGTTGATGAGCCAGCTCGGCGCTGAAGAGCCTGATGGAAGGGGAAATTGATGGGCTCAGTCGGCTTGGGGGAGAAGCCATCAAAGGCATAATCGGAAGCGGGAGTTGCTCTAGGAAGCTTGTTCAAGTTGCGAGCATCGGCAGCGGCCAACAGAGCCGCGAGAGCGGCATAAACACCTGTTGCCTTGTTCATCATGGCTGGGCTAGGCTTCAAGACGACGCCGTTTTTCGACAGGATTGACAATGCCGTGTCTCAAAAAGCTGGCTTGACCGAGTACTGAGGACAAGAAGGAGCAGAGGAAAGAGAAGACGGTCTGGTTTGGGGGCACACCCAAATGGTTTTATTGCACCAGTGATGGCACAAAGGGGCCAAGGCACAGAAAGCACAAAATATGCCCGAGCTACTGAGGTATAGTCCCCCGTCGGTTTGATGAATTGTAGCTGCCCAGCCGCTTTGCTGGTACTTGCATTGGCACGACTGCATCCTCCGCTCCATTCAGCCTCAAGTTAGCTCGCCTACTAGTCGAAGGACTGGCTGTAGCAGGACATGGGTGTTGTGTGTAAAGGTGCCATCACCGCAAGACGTCGTGTCGTTGGATTGGTGGCCTGCACGAGCTGAATGAGAGCAGCACGCTAACAGCAAATAGATCCTAGATCCATGAGACCACCCGGCCAGTGTGCGCTTGGCAAACCGACAGGGGGGCCGGAAGGGCGTCAGCTCCATGCAGGATAGCACACAGAACATGATTGCCGCCCAGCGAGAATCAGAGCATCTCGTTTGCGCAGTTGATGGCAACACTCGTCTACGAGTTGTGTTGGCCCCCCTGGGCGTCATAACTTAAAGAAGAGCTTGACATGCCGTAGCCCAAGCCACAAGATCTGAGCCATTGCTCGATGGTTTGCCACAAGCGCAGCCGCAGCCGCAAAGTGGTGGGCGATGAATGAACCAATATCGCCATGATAGACATGGCATCAACAGGCCCCGCTTGAACAACGCAGGACCATGACGCCGCGCACAAGGTCGCCTCATCCGCGAGGCCCGGCACCGGAACCTCTCGTGAGCCGCCCGTCTATCATTGACAAATCAAGCACGGACTTTGATGCCTAACCGCGTCTCCCACGCATCAGGGCATTCGTCTTCCATCCCCCTCAAGCGCGGAAAGCACCAAACCGCGGAACCAGAGCTCCCATCGACGCCGAATCTAAATCGGGAACAAGCTTTTATAGTTGTCGAATAAGACGGAGGAACAATTGTGGAAATGAGAGGGGCCGGCACGACTGTTTATGGTAGCACATGCGCGATCAGCAGCACAGCCTGTCCAGCAAAACAAGCTGCCCATCCACTAGCCACGGCTGGGTTAAGCTGCCCATGGCGTGCGCTTGATGCCCTGTCAGAATCTGCCGCAGCGGCATCGCACCCATCGCACCATCGCGTGGTGGTCGAAGCGTCTCGGGTTCTGTGTCGACTTCCGGAGTTGGCTCTCTCAGACATTCCCGGATCGCCGTCGATGTCGGAAATGCTCGTACGAGTACACAATCTCGGTGGAATCGACCCTTGATCTTTTACGGCTGCTCCAGTCTTCATCATGTACTCGTACCCGAGTTTGCCAAGTCTGCCCAGCCGAGCTATCGCAAGGGCGCAGTAGTCTTGTTTTGCTTTTGGTTGTTTTCTCAGCGATCTTTTTCTTTTTTTACCGCCATCTGTAGCTCACAAATCAGTCTCAAGCTAGCGATACCCTTGCTTCACCATTCAACCGCCTCACTTTAGTCGACTAGACCCTGCAGGGATCACCGGTAGCTCCAGGATCCGAGACTTGAGAGGAATGGATGTGAGGCTGAATCGACGACTTGTTGCCAAGCGGAACCTGGACAGGGATCAGGCCTGCACTAGGCGCGAAAACAGGTTGGGGAAAATCGCTGAGTTACTCCGTTTGACCTGCGGATGCAGGACGCAAGAGAAGTTGTGCGAGACCCGAGTCGGAACTCTGCGCTTGTGCATACGGTTATGCGTGTTACTAAGCAGAATTCGGACGCGGTGTAGGGTAGGCGTGAAGAAGCATCACGGCGGTTTGCTTCACGCAGAAAACACCACGTTACCAGATCAAGCAACAACACCTCAACCAGGAGTCCATTGGTGTGGACAACTCACCTCGATGCGTACACAAGAGTCAGGACTAAACATCGATCCGTGTTTAACAGCCTCACGCCCTTCTCGCTTGGGCCACAGCGGGAAACCCCAGCCCACAGAGCTGTAGCGGCCTCGTTAATCTGTATACCCACGCGCGAGGGCGGCATTAGCGCATCAAAGCAAGGCTCTGGCCAGACACAAAAACAAAGGAAAACTCTCTCAGGACGCCACATGCAAGGCATGACATGGAATAGCGTAGCATAGCACAACGTTGCTGCAGAACTGGTGCCCAAATCCTCTCAGATACCAGCCTCCGGCCCTATCATCTTACACCCTCTCTCCTCCACCCTGCATTTTGGTCGCCAAAGGGCGTGGTTCAGCTGGCCCTGAATTGTTGTGTTTTTGTGCTTCAAGTATATGCCGAGGACGCCTTTATTCAAATGACGGACCTCCTCCACATTCTTCCCTCTTTTCCCCTTTCTGCTTTTGCTGCTCTTATTCCGACTATCGAACGACACGCCCTCACAACTACCGATCTCCTTACTACACACCCGGCAGACTTGGCAAAGCGAACTCAACTGCCAATAATCGACTTGAGGCGTTTTCTTGCTGCTATACAGGCTTCTTTATCGGACGACCTTGCTTCCAGCAGACCGCTTGCACCACCACCGCCTTCGTCACCGCCGTCCTCAGCTGAAGAGAAGCAGCAACAACAACTACCTATATCAACCACCTCCGATGAGTTTATCAGCACCCTAGACGATGGATTAGATGAAGCACTCGGAGGCGGCGTGCCCGTCGGCCACATCACAGAATTCACCGGTGAGAGTGGGGTGGGCAAAACACAATTTCTCCTCTCACTGTGTCTAGCCGTACAACTACCCGCTCCCCGTGGTCTGGGCAAGCAAGCTCTCTACATCTCAACAGAATCTGGACTCGCAACTAGGCGTCTTGCCCAGATGCTCGAAGGGAACACAATCCTACAAGAAGCCAGCGAAGCAGGAACTCCAGCGTCTCTAGATGGTATCCACAGCGCCGTCACTCCCGACCTTGAGTCTCAGGACCACATCTTGGAATACCAGGTGCCCGTGCTGCTATCAAGACATGATATAGGTCTCATGATCATCGACTCCGTGGCCGCCAACTATCGTGCCGAATTCGAACGCCAGGGCTCCCATGGCTCTAACATGGCCACACGCAGCGCTGAGCTCATCCGACTAGGCGCCCTCCTTCGCGATCTTGCTCGAAGACACAACATTGCCATTGTTGTAGCAAACCAAGTCGCCGACCGCTTCGCATCCTCCACCACGCCTTCCATCCCACGCCCGCTCGCCATGAGAAGCGGCATGTCGCCATCTCACCTAGAGAGCCCCCTCGCCTCACGAAGCATGCCCCCTCCATTAACCATACCGAACCTCTCCAGCACACCCACATCCTCCATGCCGTTCTCATTTCCAGACGACGAACAACCCGCCTCTCCTGCCCTTGCGCTAGATCACCAGCAACGCTGGTTCACCGGCTGGGGCGACGACCCCCGCAGCTCCGGCTCTCTGAAAACCCCGAGTTTGGGGCTCGTCTGGTCTACTCAGATATCTTGTCGCGTAGCCCTCTACAAGCGACCTGTGTACGGCCGCCCAACGAGGATAGCCGCTCCCATTTCTGCGGACGACGATGTGGACGTGGGATCGCCGACGCTCAAGACCTGGAAGAGGTGGATGAAGGTGGTGTTTGCGCCGCATGTGGCTGCTTCGGGGCAGGGCATTGAGAATGCGACGGAATACGAGGTGACAATGACGGGGCTGAAATCTGTCAAGAAGATTAAAGCAAAACCAACCGTGGTGATATAGCACTGTTGTCGAAATGACTTGAGGAAGAGGCAAAGAAGGGGAAACGTCAATCTGAATTGCAAGCAGGCCATTTATAAATAAAGGAATTCTTGTTTTATTGCGTACATATACAGTCTGCTTATATCATTTATACACCATACTCTCTATATGTAAGAGTACAGAAGTTCTTATTTTTCTAGCTAACTGGGATGAGGGAACTCGTCCTCCAACTGCAGTCGTACTCCGACATTCATGCTGATCAATTCCTGTACCAGCAACTTGGCAGCATACGGCATCTGCATCTTCGTCACCTCTCTTGTGCTCTTACACGTGCCACAGTATCCCCGGTATCCAAAAAGACCGCACTGCTGGCAAATGTCAATCATGACTCCATCGGAACTCAGCATGAGCCGTTCCAAGAGAAGCTGAGAAGCGCCATAGGCGATGAGACAATCACGTTCCATCTCTCCCAGACGTAGACCACCGTCTCGCGATCGACCTTCTGTAGGTTGTCGAGTCAAGATGGCTCTGGGACCACGGGCACGAGAGTGCATCTTGTCCTGCACCATGTGCTTCAGACGTTGGTAGTAGATCGGACCGTTGAAAATGTACGCCTCAAGTGGCTCTCCGGTGATACCGGATGTGAAGTAGTCCTTGCCTTCCCATGAGAAGCCGTGATCAACCAAGACCTCGCTTACCTGCTCAACGGGATGAGATCGGAAAGCGTCACCGAAACCATACTCTTTGCGGCCGTGAACAATGGATGCTTTGCCAGTCAGGCATTCAAGCAGCTTGCCGACTGTCATTCGAGAGGGGAAGCCGTGCGGGTTCATGATAATATCAGGGCACAGACCGCTATCAGCAAATGGCATGTCTTCTTGGTCGACAATGATGCCCACGACACCCTTTTGTCCGTGACGAGAAGAGAACTTGTCACCCAGTTCTGGTCTACGGGTTTGCCTCGTCTGAACCTTGATGACTGTCGTGTCCTTTTCTGTCTGCGAGATCATGACCTTGTCAATGTAAGCCGGATCAGCGATGCGGTATGAAACTGCGGTGTCGCGGTACTCGCTGGGTCCACGATCAAGACCAATACCCGTTGTTGTCATATCGAGAGGTGTCTCCTTCTTGACCATTGCCTCTCCTGAGTGAATTCTCTGACCAACAATGGCTAGGCCATCATCATCCAACGCTTCGTGCTTCTTGATTCGTCGCATGACGCCGTTGTCTATCTCATTGAGTGGGTCGCCTATTCGCTCTCTCCTTCCGTTCGGGTATTTCTGAAGCTCAGTCGTATATTTACGGAAGACCTGACAGCGCCCAAATCCTCGGTCAATCGATGCCTTGTTCAAGACCAGAGCATCTTCGATATCGTATCCAGAGTATGACATGACGACGACTGTGGCGTTTTGGCCAGCAGGGAGTTTGTCGTAATGGATAAGCTGAATAGTCTTTGTGATGACCATGGGCCGTTGAGGGTAAACTAGGGTGTATAGGAGAGTGTCGATTCGGTTGAACTGGTTGTGTGCAATGGCGCCAATGGCTTGTTTACCCATGGCACATTGGTAGGTGTTTCGAGGCGATTGGTTGTGGTGCGGGAAGGGGATCAGGCCTGCAACGGCGCCGAGAATCGTGAATGGCTCAATCTCCAGATGGGTCGTGCTCATTGTTACTTGATCTTCATAGATGGTAATGAGAGCATCATTTTCCTCATTGACGTCCAGGTACTCTACGATACCCTTTGTCAGGAAGTCATCAAAGGTGACCTTACCCATCTGGAGAAGACGGAGATGTTCTGGCTTGAGCTTTTGCTTGCCGTTCTTGACAATGATGTACGGCCGACAAATACGGCCTTCATCGGTAGCTATGTGAATTGCATTGAAGTGTGAGTTGGTGTGGATGCCGACAAAGGGCGAGATCCAGCCGCGGCGACGCATTGTGCGGAATCTATGCGTAAATCTCTTGGGATATCTGGTAAGTGCAAACGGTGTACCGTTGACGTGAATGATGTAGGAGCCTTCGCGGTGCATCTCAGCGCCTGAAAAGTTTCTAATCGGCTCAACGCCAACATCAAGGGTGAAAATCCACCGCATCACGGGTGCCTCGTCCACGTTTGTTGTGATATGGGTCATCAAAGCAAGGTTCTTGACGAGACCACACGCCTCACCTTCAGGCGTATCGGAGGGGCAAAGCATACCCCATTGCGAAGGCTGAAGAGCTCGAGGCCCACTCACTTTTCTTGTCTTCTCAAACTGACTACTAATTCTTGTCATCATGCCGAGAGCGCTGATGTAACTGAGTCGACTGAGAACGTGAGTGACGCCGGCTCTGTTCATGTTGAATCGCTTGACGCTCCAGTTTCCTGACTGAATAGCCCGATTGATTCCCAAGCCAATGCTATTGGCATGATTGCTAATCATGTGAACAGCGTCCAAGGGCACAGCTCTATTATTCTTTTTCAGGAACTTGTCGATTGACATCTTGACTTCTCCCATGAATCTCTTGAAAAGATCTTCAAAGAGGAGAGAGAGCAGCTGACCAGCCAGCTCAAGGCGCTTGTTTCCAACGAAATCTCGATCATCTACCAACTTGGGATCCTGGGAGGCCATGAGAACTCGCCGTGTCATCATAGCCACATATATGGCCTTGGGGTAGAAATCGAGACCGTCAATGGGGACATGGGCAATGATAAGATTGGCTAGAGCATCCAGTCCCTCTTCGACGTTGTTGCGGCGAGCTTGAGCACCAAACTGGCCTTTCCTCGAGCCCATTTTGACGCGCGATCCTATGTATTCCAGCGCCTGGTGTTGCGTGAAGATACCGGCCTTGGCAGCTTCGTCAAAATTGACGAGGAATTCATCCTGATATCGGCCATCTGAGCCTGCCACAAGCTGCATAATCTCGTAGTCCGAAAGACCTCCTAGAGCTTTTAGAATGATGACGATAGGGATGCCTTCGACCAGAATATTGTGGGTGAGGTTGATTTTGTCCTTTTTTAATGTAACATATGTCTTCGACTTTCGCTCGTGGGTGGAACTGGTTACCGAGGCGGAGATGACGCCGTTCTTCTCGTCGGCTTCGACAATGACACGATTCTTGCTGAGCTGCTCCTGAATCAGAATGACTTTCTCGGTGCCATTGACGATAAAGTAGCCACCGGGGTCCAAGGGACATTCGTTCATCTGCTCCATCTGAGAGTTGTTTGCTCCGCTAAGTCGGCACTTGCAGCTCTTGAGCATGACAGGCATCCGTCCAAGCGGCACATTTTTGCGGACAATCTTCTGCTTGTCACGGATATATGCAATATCGACAAATATGGGAGCGGCATATGTCATGTCGCGGAGTCGGCACTCCATTGGTGTAACCTCAGTTCGGGATTTGGAGTCCGTGTAGTCTAGTCGGCGAGGTTGGTCGACTCGGATATCGGTGAAGCTGGACGCTTAAGTTAGCCAATGACGATGACAGTCGGTAGCTGTCGTCAAACATACTCTAGCCAAAAGTTGCTGTCGACATCGCTGCGGATGGTGCGATTGGCGCGGACGATTTCCTTGATCTCGGTTTCGACAAAGAAGTTGTATGAGTCAATGTGCCTGGCTCGAGAGTTAGTAGACTGCAACAAACGCCGGCTAAATGAGAGGGGGGAGAGCTGTGCATACTGCTTTACAAGGCCTTGGAGGTGTTAGCATCATAGTCGGAGTAATAAAGATTGGCTGGTAGGGCGAGGGAGAGTCTTTACCTTTAACCTTGAGGAAGGCCGGCAGCAGCTGGAACTTGTCTTCCTTGGTCGAGATGGGATCCGTCAGCTTCTTGCCGTTGTAGAAAGGCTCCAGCAGGGCCTCGAAGCCATCGTCTATCAACGGCATCTTGAGTGTCACCTCCAGGGAGTCATGAACTGGACTGGCGGAATGGATGATGTCGATGAGTTGATTCAAGCTGCAAAAAATATTATTTTGGCGCTGCTCGATAATGCGATATGGATAAGCAGCTTGCGCCGAAGAAGAAAAAAAGTACTGCCCCGCGGTGAGCAAGCCAGTGGGGCGTCTGCGTTATGTCATGCGGCAGGGATTATCTAAGATTCAGGTTGATAGGCGTCTCAGGTGTTTTCAGTTCTTTAGCACCGAACAGGTACCTATAGCTTCAGTAGCGGCGGGCATCTGTAACTGTACCTAATCAATTGATGTTATTGATGAGAGATGGAAGATACATATCCATGGAGCCATTCAACAGCAACTGCGGGTAATTCAATTGTTGAAATAGGATGAAATGATACTTGAAGCTTTTCATCTATTACTACGAGTTTTTCCCTACTAAAACACTACTTGGCATCAGCTTGTAGTGCCCGGTTTCTCAATCATCTGCTGCTATCACCACCTACATGTAGGTAGGTACCTTACTTTCTGCTACAGGTAGGTATTCCTATTCTCCTCTAGCATCTACTACTATAGCGATATTCCTCTTCCGTGTACATGCAACTTCGAATCTGAGTCACCAACAAACTCGACGTGTTGAATAGCAACACAAGGCAGACTTATCAGAATCGGCCGTCGCCGTCAGCCAATCATCTACCAACATGGCTGAGTGCAACTGAACCGTCAACCCAAGAAACATGCAGGGGTCTTCTGCATCTATTCAGCCCAATCTCAAATGGCTGTCGGTTTGCGGCTAATGGCTGCCTTATAGCTGTCCGAATCCCCCTCTCACCGAATGCAACACGAGCGAAGCACCCTTTCAAGACTCATTTCGTTGACTTTGCATTCGAGCAGGTTTCTTACAATCCTATGCCTTCTAAGCCGGGATTTCGCAGCCGGTTAAAGGGCATTTTCTCCCGAAGCGACAATGCATCTACAAGCACCAAGGCACAGATAACGCAACTTGATGGCCTCCATGAGCCAGCAAATTCATCTACTTTACCCACTGCCTCTTCTGTACCTATCGGCACATATAATGCGCTCGCAAGCTTGGCTGAGCAGCTTTGGGATCGAGCATATGATGATTTGAAGGCACAAGACGCTGCACTGATACAAGCTTATGAAAAGATCCTATCTAGTAAGCTTGAAGCAACCGGGTCAGGCCAGAACATAATTGCACAGAATGATGCCCACACGAGGCGGAATCAGATGCGGCAGCTTATCCACCATGGCTTAAACAAGACGGCGAAGGAAGCAAAGTTGAAAGAGGCTATTGGCATCGCTCTTTCGACAAAGGATATCATCACCAATGCTGTTCAGGCTGTCCCACAAGCCGCCCTTGCTTGGACCGGTGTATGCGTGGCGCTTGAGGTAATTCTGCTTCCCCCCGGCGCGCGCGAGAGAGAGAGGAGGAGAGAGGAGGAGGAGAGAGAGAGAAAGAGAGAGAGAGAGAAAGAGAGAGAGAGAGAGAGAGAGAGAGAGAGAGAGAGAGAGAGAGATTATATTGACCCTAATTGTAACACAGATGATGCAAAATCCCATAGCGGCAACAAAGGCCAACCGTGAGGGCATCGAATATGTGGTCAGGAGAATGAACATGTATTGGGAATTATCCGGTGTTGTCTTAAAGAACACTACCAAGGATGGCCTTTCCGGCATTCGAGGTGAGCTGGAGGCCCAAATAATTAACCTCTACAAAGTACTCCTCACATATGAGATAAAAAGCGTCTGCTCATACTACCGCAACCGTGGTTCTGTACTGCTACGCGATATGATCAGTCTCGATGATTGGATTGGCGATATACAATCTATCAAAGCCGCGGAGCGTGTCTTTCACGACGATTTCGAAATATTTACGAGGCTAGAAACAGTCTCCGATATCAAACAGCTAGTTACTCATGCGAAGAAACAATCTACTGCCCAAGTAACAAAGGAGGATCAGCAATGCCTGAGGGATTTGCGCCTAAGCGATCCTTCCGATGACAAAAAGCGCATCGAACAGACCAAGGGCGGCCTATTACAGGAATCATATACCTGGGTTCTCAGCAATCTGGAATACCAGCAATGGCGGGATTCAGAAGATAGCCGACTGCTTTGGATCAAAGGAGATCCCGGCAAGGGCAAAACCATGTTACTTTGTGGCATTATCAACGAACTCAGCAATCAGGCAAACCACATGCAATCAGGCCACGGTGTATGCTACTTTTTCTGCCAGGCTACCGACCAACAACTAAACAACGCTTCTGCTGCTTTACGTGGCCTAATCTTTATGCTTGTGAAACAGCAGCCTTCACTTATACCTCATCTACGAAAGAAATACGATGAAGCTGGCAAGAAGCTCTTCGAGGGACTGAATACTTGGATAGCCCTGTCGGATATATTTACGGCCATTCTTCAGGACCCAACGTTGAAGAGCACATACTTGATCATTGATGCTATCGATGAATGTGTATCCGACTTTGAGAAATTATTAGACTTGATCGTGCACGCCACTGGCAATGCCGGCGTGAAATGGATTGTGTCCAGCCGAAACTGGCCCATAATAGAGGAGCGACTACGATTTGCTGAACAAAAGGTTAAGCTGAGTTTGGAGCTCAATGCAGAGGCTATATCCAGTGCCGTCACCTTCTACATCGAGAAAAAGGTTCAACAGCTATCAGACCTGAAAGGCTATGATGAAAAGACTTGTAGCGCAATCCGAGAATATCTCTTCAACAACGCAAATGATACATTTCTCTGGGTGGCTTTAGTCTGTCAGAATCTCGCAAGGTACCCGCGATGGAAAGTTCTCAATATGTTGAGCACGTTTCCGCCAGGCCTCGATTCTCTATACGAACGCATGATAGAACAGATGACAGCCATAGACGATAGTAGCGCTAGTAGCGAAATCAGTCTCTGCAAGCAAACTCTGGCCGTCATCGTGAGCGTATCTCGTCCTATTACGCTGCAGGAACTCGGCTGTCTTATCGAAATCCCAGAAGAGCTTTCGGCTGACATCGAATTTCTAAGAGAGATTGTGGCGCTCTGCGGATCTTTTTTGACCATCCGCGAAGACATTATTTACTTTGTTCATCAGTCCGCCCAAGACCACCTATACAAGAACTACGATGTCATATTTCCTTTCAGTCTAAAGGACGTGCACCGGAACATCCTTTCTCTTTCGCTACGGGCCATGAACAAGATTTTAAGAAACAACATTTATGACCTGAAAGATCCTGCATCCCTCATAGAAAATGGCATTAGCATATCAGGTTCAGATCCTCTGTCTCTTATTCGATATTCCTGTGTACACTGGGTCACCCATCTTACTGTAACGATTGCCCTCGGAATGAGAGACACACATGGGGGGTTACTTGGCGATCATGGCATCGTATCGTCATTCCTCCGGAAGCATTTACTTCACTGGTTCGAGGCTCTAAGCCTCATGCAACACGTGTCAGCTGGGGTCGTCTCGATAACATCGCTGAAGGCCATATATGCAGTTAGTATGCAAGCTGGCACCTACCTCGAAATGAAGCTGAAATCTCCAGTTCAAATCGCCAAGTAGAGAGCTTATTAGCCTCCTTCAAGACGCACATCGATTTATTCTCTATAATCGAAGGACTATCGAAATCGCGCCCCTTCAGACATACTCATCTGCGCTAGTATTCAGCCCTATGAAGAGCCTGGTACGACAAGCTTTCCATCAAGAGATCCCGTCGTGGATCCAGGAGGTGCCTACAGTTGAAGACAACTGGAGCCCTTGTTTGCAGACTCTAGAAGGTCATACCGCCTGTGTGACTTCAGTCGCGTTCTCGGCAGATCGCAAACATATTGCCTCAGGGTCAAAGGACAATACCATCAAGATATGGGACGTCATTACAGGAGTATGCCTCCAAACCATGGAAGGTCACACTGATTGGGTAACTTCGGTGATTTTCCTGCCAAACGATAAGAAAGTTGTGTCGGGGTCCGTTGACGAAACCATCAAGATCTGGAATGCAACAACAGGCAATTGTGATGAGTCACTTGAAGGCCACACTGGTGCAGTTCAGTCTGTAGCCGTCTTATCGTATAGCCAGATCGTCTCCGTATCACACGATCAAACAATCAAGGTCTGGGATATTTTAACAAGCGCTTGCATCATGACATTCAGGGGACATGATGAATATATAACATCAGTCGCTACTTTTGCGAACGTCAATATCGCTACAGGATCTGGCGATGCGACCATCAAGATATGGGATTCCTCTACAGGTGCATGCGTTCAGACACTCAAGGGCCATATTGCATGGATATGCTCGGTAGCTTTCCTGAACAGCCAGCAAATTATCTCAGGGTCAGATGATGAGACAATCAAGGTTTGGGATATAGCTACGGGGGAGTGTGTTCAGACACTCAGAGGGCATACCGATTCTATCTGGTCGTTAGCCGTTGTAGCACCTGGCCAGGTTGCTTCAGGATCTGACGGCATGATCAAGATCTGGGACATAGCTACAGGTGCGTGCATTCAGACACTAAAAGGGCACACCGATTATATCAAGTCGATAGCTACTATGTCCCCTGATGGAATAGTTTCAGGTTCGCATGATGGAACAATCAAGATATGGGACCTGGCGATAGGCCCGAGTGAGAGAAGCTCTGATAGCCATAGCCGTCTTGTTCAGTCAACGGCTTTGTCGTTGGATGGGCGGCAAGTGGCTTCAGGCTTAACGGATGACAGAATCAAGGTCTGGGATTTGGAAACAGGCACCTGTGTCCAGACACTCCAGGGTCACAGCGATTTTGTGACGTCCATCATTTTTCTCAAAAACGGCCAGATCGCCTCAGCTTCGTGGGATGGGATGGTCAAAGTCTGGCATGTTGATACAGGCGCCTGTGTTCAGACACTCAAGGCTTCCAATGCGGTCTACTCAATAGCCTCCTCGGCACACAGCAAGTATATCGCATTGGGTTTGAAGAAGAAAGTAGAAATTTGGAATGTGACTAAGGGTAAGTGTATTTGGGTTCTTGATGACACAGGCTTTGTCAATTCGCTCGCCTTCTCTATGGATGCTCAGCAGTTGGTCTTGGGATCAAGCACCCTTGAGAATACAGGTAAGATTACGATCTGGAATATCGCTACAGAGACATGTACTCGTACACTCGAGGGCCATGACAGCGAGATATTAGCAGTGGCCTTTTCTTCAAATGGGCGGTATGTTGCCTCGGCATCCGCGGACAGCACAGTCAAAGTCTGGGATGTAGCTGAAGAAGCGTGCCTCCAGACACTCGTTGGCATGGTACACCGCCTTTCATTTGACCCAAGGGCGAACCATATCATCTATAGCGACATTGGCATTATAGATCTGGACCTGGATCTGGATCCGAGGTCAGTTGCCACGGAACTGGGGGATGAACCCCTTCTGCGACGACATGTTGCCACTCGTGGCTACGGAATAGATAAAGGTCATGAATGGATTACGAAGGACGGAAGGCCTCTCTTGTGGCTGCCTGTGGAATATCGGTCCTATACTTCGGTCATCGTGGAGTCCTCGATTGTTTTCTGTAAATCGGGTCATCTTCTCAAAATGAAGTTTTTAGACCCAGAACCAGATACGCAGCTCCCATAGCTTTGTCTACTAGAACTATTTATATTTGCCAGGACTATCTGTATCTACTGGAACTATCTGTACCTACTGGAGCTATAGATTTGACAAGACAACCGTCTGATTAAAGCCCTACACATTGAGTCTCTCTTTCGTTATCTGCTTTTGTTTTTCTCCAATTCTTGTGAATTTTTGATCAAAAAAGATCCGTGGCTTCTAAGGATCAAATCGAATTCTTCTGAAAGCTTTGGCTAATCTCATCCAAACAGCTGTGTGGCTTAAGGTCCTGGGTGTGTGAACGAGCGAATATTGTAACCGAGCATGTCATGCTTTTGCCTTTTCTTAAAGCTCCTGTAGACACAGTTGGACAAGTGAATAAAGCTCTATGTAAATAATAAAAGCCTGAAACAAATATCGAGTTGGGCAGTGGCATCTGGCAAGCCTTACTACAGGTGCCTGTACATTAGTACCTGCATGTATGTAGGTACAGGTGAGTCATCCCTGTTAGTAACAGCGCAAAAGTCCATCATGTTTTCAACCTCTTCAATCTTATTGCCTAGGCACTAACCTGGATAACACAGTCAGGGGCCAAATTTTTTTAAATATCTGTGGATAGCGGGTTTGGATGTATAACATGTGAGTTGTTATCCGGCACTGCGTGTCTCAAATTGAAAGCCCAGTATACACTACCTACCTAGGCAGTGACAATGTCAGATGCTGGGGAATATAATTACAATAGCAGCAGATGTTAGAATAAGATGGCAAAAATAGCAGACAGGTATCTACTACCACCCAACTGTGTGTGGGAGGAAGCAAGAGCCGGGACGAAAAGCAGAGCCGCAATTGTCAGCCACGGATCCCCTCTACAATGTTTGGATGACATTTGACGCACTCCGATACAACTATATGTATCGTTGGTGCGAATCTGACTTTAGATTCGACATCAATACCGAGTATAGGGGTTGTACCCGTTATCTCCATCTTTGGGCGGGCGAACAACTCGTCCCTCAAACAATCCTTTATTTTTATTTCACCTCTATATCCGTTCACCTCTACTTATATTCAATTCCATCTTTTGCTCCTATCAGCTATTGATTAATCAATGCGGCTATGGCTGTCAAGTCTTCTCTCACTCGTGCCTATGGCCAATTTCCATATCTTAATTGTCCCGTCTTGTGAACCTAAAACACTCTGATTCAGGGCTATAGTAGCTATCGACTTGATATATTGCAGAAGCCAAAGATGATCATGAGACACCAAACCTGTTGAGCGCGTTTTTCAACTTGTTTCATGATCTCTTGGTAAAGTTGCCATACATAATGATCGAGTCTGCGACAGGGAATCCGGCAGACGAGCGCAGTAGGATGAATGTGATCCAACTATCATTCGCGCTGGCGTTGGACAGCAAAATAAAGCCTCCCAACATTAAATATGCGCAGTGGCATCATCCCGTTGTTAAGGCGAATCTGACTTTAGATTCGATATACTACCAAGATATACGGAGTATATATATGGAGTACCTAAGCCTAGGGTATGTGATGCTAACACTTGGTGACGCATAAGTGAATTTGGCTCTCCAACTCGTCGTCCCTCAAAACAATCCTTCATTTTTTATTCACCTCTATATTCGGTCGCCTCTACTCGATTCAATTCCATCTTTCGCTTCCATCGCTTTGCTCTTCGATTTCGCCTCTTTCTCCCCTTGAAACATTTCACCTCCATTTCCAGACATGGAGGACGCCGATCACAAGATGTATGCTCCGTTTGTGCGTAGAGGACGCGATGGCCTTCTCTGCGACGGCGGCACACGATTGCTCAGCGAATTTACACGAGACGAACTCCTCTGGCTCTTTCGTACTGACATGGAAGGAAGCCACCGATCTAATATTCACAGTGTTGTTACTGTGCCCTCCTATAAACCCTCGGTTCGCGATGCCGCTGCCAACTGCCTGCCCGATATCCCAACATACCCGTATCATTGGATCGATTTCTGCAATAAATCAGTACCGCTCTATCTTTTGCCAGGGAAAAGATGTCTACTACTCCGTGTTGTACTTCACAACTACATTTACCGACGGTGGTTTCGCCCATATCGAAGCGAAATCGACCTTTTGCGCTTCATCTGCAAGTTCATAATCCCAGAGGACCTGCCTGATAACACAAAAGTTTCTCCATCAACTGTGGATAGTATTCTCTCCTTAAACAAGGCTGTTATTGCCAAATTTGAAGAACAACGCATTGACAAAGTTGAAGAGCGCGCTGCGACCCGAAACTGGTGCAGCATTTCCTGGGGTGATCCAGAAGACCTAGATCATTACATCCTCCAACCATTATTCCGAGCGTTGGTTATTATTGTCTCCGATGAGAAATACAACAAAGAACCCTCCACAGCACTTGGGAATCTTCCTGTCTATTTAGCTCGAACAGGGGTGGAAGAAGAACTCAACGCACCTATTTCGTTTGAGCCTCTCGCAGCCAAGATCATCAATTATGTCGAACCTGGATGTGTTATTCAAGTCACTCTGGAGACAGCCATTGATTCTGTCATTGGCCTAGAGGCCAGAGAGGCCGCTGCGTTTGGACTTCGACCTGATCCAACCGATTGGAAACCGAGCCAAGACATGCTCGAGGCTTGACGATCGATAGGAGAGACCGAACCGCTAGTCGGGCCACACTCTCAATGGGTAGACGACAAGAAATATCCGCAGTGGACAGGGAGTGGGAAGTACAACGAGGCTTCTCTCATGCCCCGGTATGAAAAGACGGCGTTTTGGATGCAGGGCAACAAAGACGCCAGGGAAGAGAGGTACGAAGAAGCGCAGCGAGCAGCAGCAGATGCGGCTCGTGAATCTGCTGCTGGTAGCCCCGGCCAATAATCTGGTTGCTTGGACAAATACGATGATGTTAGTGCATTTACTGCGTCAGATCATGTTGTAGGAATTCTATACTCTGCTGGCCACCGACCATGGCAAAGGTTCTGCCAGAATGCTCTCAACCTACCGTCAGATGTTTTGGTCGCCAATTCATGACCCGGGGAAACGTTTTCAACGGCTATGGAGACGATGGCCTTGAAGATACTGCCAAAACGTCCTACACTCGAGCTACGAGTCGATATCTTCATCTTCTAGAGAAGACAGCAGAGGCATAGACTTCCGAGTACATACATGTAGCCACACGGCATGGGGCCACTCTATAAAGAGGGTTCAGCTAGAAGTCTGATATGGCAATATCTGCAAAGACGCCGGACGCCCTCTAGAAGATGGATGGTGTGACAGTATCAAGTCCACTTGGCATACGATGTACTTTTGGTATTGTGAAACTGCATGTAAGCTCCAATGCTGGCCCAGACCAGATCGGTGACCTTGTCTCGTAAACACCACACCAATTCTTCCCAACCGTAGAACGACTCTTGCCATCCACAGGAAGAAGAGTACGCGGGTGGCGAAGTCGGATTCTACAACCTCCTCATGGTACCGCCTGGTTTCCATGGTGCCTAATGTTTCGAAGATCGGGGCATGGAGTTGAGAAGTGCACCTTGAGAGTGGCCGCCAGCCGTCAGGCCAAACAACCCCCGGCGTTTTCACTGCAGCAGCAATTTACTTCATCCTGCCTCTCTCTTCTTCTTTTCTTCCCATTATCTTCTCTTCTTTTCTTCTCTCAACAACAACACAGGAACACCATCATCCCCACCAAGACACGCGCATGTCGCTGACCGATATCTCATCAAACCGAAGACTCTAGAGTTCTCTTCTGGGTTACTAACAGCGGCCAACTTGACCCCCATCCTCTTTTACTGCTGGCTGGAATATTGCTCTTGACGCTTTGCTCTCTAAAAGACAAAAGAAGCAAGTAGGTTCCATCCACTCCATAGTTACAAACATACTAACACGCTATCAAATTGATATAGCAACATCTTAAACAAGTATGTGATTACCATACTACCTCCATTCTTGTATTCATGAGTTCACCACTAACCTTCACAAAGAACAACAAAGAAACGTAAGTTACTAGGCCCCGACAGATTGTCCCTTTATAACCCTCCCATCAATTATCCCAAGTCTATACCCGCCTTTATTTCTCTATCACCCACGAGCGCGCTCTGCAGTGACCACCTCAATTCCTTCCTTCAACGTACTTTCTAGGTATACGACATTATAGTAATCCAATTCACCAGATTCGAAGCAAGCCGCCCACCGCCCTGCTCCGGTACGCTATTGGCAATCACGAAATTCATGCCTATGTCCTTCTTAATGCTCACTACTTCGGCAGCCCCTCCCGCAGGGGAGGTGGTCAGTTTAGAATGCGTTACTATCTTGAGTTATGCATCCTGACATCTTGGTTGCTAGCCTAACCCCAAGACGAAGTAGGTAAGCTGCCTTTGGCCGTTGCTTTTAAGTCTTTGTCGCTAATCAATATTCCTGGAGGCCTTATATATCGCAAACTCATATAGAGATCGCGGCAATGTATGAACTAAGATGTCTGCAAATAGTAGAAACGAATGCTAACTAGACACTCAACGATCAGAAACCCCATCCGAAAGCGGTTGAATGTTTTTAATAGGGAGGAAGCATTCAGCGCCCGGAGTTTGCCATCCAGCATCCCGTGGATTTCACGGTCGGAGTAGGATACCAAAGGAAGCTTTGTATCTGCTACTAGGTACAGATACTGAACGCCCACCTACCTATGGTAGTAGATGTCCGTTTTCTTTGTATCTGCAATCATCAACTACTCTCTTCTATCATCAACTACTTCCTGCTACTATTACTACTTTTCACTACTATCAACTACTTTCTACTACTACTAACTACTTTCTGCTATTATCTCTACTTTCCTCTGGTATCCACTACTAGAACTGTATTCCTCTAGTATCTGCTATTCCAGCTGTGTTCTTCTAGCGTCTTGTAATGTTGCCAGTTTTCAATTTGAAGCACGGCATGCTGGTCAGCAAGCCAGAGGTGCGGAAATATTCATGTCACTACTGTCTAAAAACATACAGATGACTCCGAGGAGCCTGGTTGGTAAGTAATATATACCTGAAGGTCTCTTTCGGCATAACTCTGAAGTTATGAATTGTAAAATGGCGGATTGTGTAACGGACGAGCTGGGGAACGAGATTCACTAATTTGACATCAAAAGTTAAGCCCACTGATACTAACCTTATTCTCGGTCATCTATTTTCAATTATTTGCACCAATAAATGAGTGATTATGCCGGTGCATGGTTGAAGTTGACAATGGCTCTCAAGCATCAATTGATCTCTGCAAGTGTATACGCCAATCTCCATTAAGTCTCATCGGAGCGCGCTTAGAATGGTGAATGTGATGTAACTAAAAGTTTGTTTATAAGTAAACAGCAATTTCGAAAGGCCATCGTAGGTCACTGAGCCGAATAAGAGGGTTATTTTGGGCAGTGTTCATACAACTTCAGAATAGTACTTTGCTGACATCAGGACCATTATATCATGAGACATTCTACGGATATCATGACGAAGACCTATCTTTTCATTCGTAAACAAATTATGACAGCACTTTTAAAGATACTCCCAGACTTCAGCATATGATTTCATGCATTACTACTATACGCGGGTATGACATGCCTCCAGATCATCGCCCGCTCCAGCCGTCCAAGCATTAACTTTACACCTGCGCCACATCTCGACACGTAAGGAATTCGCATACCACAGATCTCCATGACGGCGACATTACAACATGGCGTTGTCACCTCATATCGATGTTTCGATAATATGGTAGAGACACGTCATCTGGGCTGGGCTCGATGGGAGATTTTGTGGAGAGGATTTGGGGAAGTAGGGCAGACACGCGCGTTGAATGACATGACAGAGTGACGGGTTCCGGGTGTATCGGCACATTTTTCATGTGAATGAGTATGAACAGTTATGGAAAGATATAAGGAGTCGACTATTTCGTATATTCTCAGGCATGCAAATAGCAGTGCTCTGATGTTGAGTCTTACAACGCTTTGCTTCGCGTCAGAAACGAAGCCATCATGATCTACAAAGCGGTACTCAATTGCGCGGGGCTTTTCGCCCTCTCGAACCTGCTGCCTGTCCAGGCTATCCCGAGAGAATACACTCCGACAACTACATTTTCTGCCGCTGAAACTGTGACTCCAGCCGTGGTGACTCAGAGCAATGTTACCTCTCATGGCCCGTACACCGGGCCGCCAGCAACTACCACCGGGGCTCTCTCGACTTCAGTTTTAGCCTCTGCGATTCGCCCTCAGCCTCCTGCTCCGGGATCGTTCAATTACACAGCCGATGGCAAACTTCACGGCCCCGAACCTGCGCCGTTTACCCCCAACGGCGGCATCGGGACTAATGGTTCTGCTCCGGTATACCGAGTCCAAAGTGATTACGACTACCAGTCACTCGCCTTGGCTCTCTATCAAGAATGGATAGAACTAGACTTGTTTCACTGGGGCTTAAAGAATTTCACGACCGAACAGTTTGAGGCGAACGGGATTAATGCCAAGGACAGGTTCCTCATCGAGTACATGGCCGACCAGGAGATTGGACATGCCACTGTTCTCACCAATATGCTCGGTCCGCAGGCGCCTAAACAGTGTACTTACAACTACCCTGTTTCCAACGTCCGGGAATTCGTCGATTTCAACCAAAAACTCACACGGTGGGGAGAGGCAGGCGTTTACGGCTTTCTGCCACACTTGAACTCGGGGCCGGCAGCCCAGTTACTGCTCCAGAGCATCACGATTGAAGCTCGCCAGCAACTCATCTTCCGTCAGTTCGGCGGGCAATTCCCCATGCCGGAATGGCATACACCTGGAATACCCCAGAGTTGGGCATGGTCTCTGTTGGCGCCTTACATCTCAAGTTGCCCTTTAAACCAGACAAGACTGGTGTGGCAGAACTTTCCAGCGCTGTATATCCTCAATCAGCCCAACCCAGCTCGCATTAATGCCTCTGCCGCGTTCAACGAGACGACTGGCGGCTGGGCCAACACTTTGTCTACCAAAAACATCTCCAGTTCTCAGCTTTGCTTCAATGCGACCAACAAGACGCTGGACTGCTCGCCAGCCATCACCCAGAATCGCAGCATCCCACTTTCATATCCAGGTCGCCAGGTTTTCTTGCGCTGGGACAACCCGGGGCAGTTAGTCGGACCAAACAACAGCTATGTGACTTCAACCACCGTGAGACAACCCAGGTTTGCGGCCTGGGTATCGCAGCTAAACGTCACATACTCGCCGCTTCTCAACATGAGTCTACGAGGCAACACGGCGTACACGTTCCAACCCAATGTGTCGACATGGGATCATGATCCGGCCATCAACGGGACAATGTTCCTCGCACTCACGGATACTAATTTGCCTGTCACTCCATACAATTTGAGTCTTATCAACCCTCATGTCGCCGCTCTTGCGGTGTATCAGGCCGGCTAGGTACTCTGCAAGATGATGGGAAACGACCCTAGTTCTGTAGATTCACTATACCTGGTATGAGCTGGATTCATGTCGTTATCTATTAGATTTACGTAAGTCCTGTTAAAGAACACGAGTGGAATACGCAAATTGGGGGCAGGTCTGGAGTGTTCTCGGTCACTGTTGTGGTAACATCACGATTACTGATGCTGAATTACGGCACAGCTTTACGCAAGATCTATGTATCATACTATCATTATTTCATGATTGAATCTATGCTGATATTGTATTCGTAATTGGGTCGCCAGAAGATGGGGGATTCGCATCGCCCCAATTTCTTCCAGTACACATGCTCATGCTTTGCTTACAGTGGCTTCACATTCACCGTCAACCACTCAAACACAAACAAAGTACAGTGACCACCACTTATTACTAACATCGGGACGTCAATTTAGGTCCACCGGAAGAGATGTTGCTCAAAACCGCCGTACGACCGAAGCAAACGTCGACAAGTGATGGAATCTAGCCATTAATTATTCCTCTTGACGTCCAGAACAGCATAACCGAAAGGTTCCCGATGCAACGGCGGCACGTTTCAAAAGAGGGATAAAAGGCGGATAAAGGGATTCGTCAAATCAGGATATACACTTGCTTAGGCAAAAATCGACGGCCCTCTTCGATGCGGGTATTTGGTAATGGGGGATCTGGATACGGGTTTCCGTGCCTAAATACATCGAAAAGGGAATTCGAGAAGGTAATGCACGTTGCTCTCGGAGTCAGTACTAAGTACTGACCATTGTGTCTTGTTTACTCCAACCATGTCATTGACGGTAGTAACTAGCCAATGCAGCTAGAAAAGGATGATAAAGCATGCGGAGAGTGATTAGTCGAGGCATTGGGTATAAGTGACACCACACGCACATGTGCCTTGCCATTGACGCCAGAAAGATAAAGAGGAGTGGCGTGTCAAGTGGTTGAAGTGGTGTATCACCAAGTTGTGCATCTCCTCGTCAGCTCAGGCACATCGATGTTACCTATCTTGACATCCAACAAATCAGTACTCTTGGATACTTGGGACCTGTCTGGATGGACTCTCTCTCTCTCTCGTTCTCATATCCCAACATTCGCCTCGACAACGGTTTCCCCTCAGAGCAGGCCGGTAGTCGTACACAGAACAGACATCCGGTCCATCGTCACAATCATATAGAGCGCCTTTGCTCTCGTGCGTTGGGCTCTCTGGCATCAATTTTTAATTAACGTTTATGCACATGTACAAGCAGGTATGCCAGACGAGGTCCACACCCCCAATTTGTTGTCACCATCGCACCAATGACAAACTAGTGCTTTTGCTGCTCCAGATATAAAGTATCCGAATCGCTATTTGGGCCGATAACGAGAGGGCTTTTGCTGGCAGCAGAGAGATGGTGGATGGATCAATGTAGCTTGTAGCTTGTGTGATGATTGCCTGTAAGCTTTAGCACTGTCGATACTCATGTTTCTTTACCTCAGTCCCGTACCCATGAGTCAACCCTCAACAGCAAGCAATACTGCGGTAGTACATCATAGGGCCGGGCAGTAGATCCTTGGTGCTTAATTAAACCGCATCTAAGGCGATGCATGATGTTGGTAGATCCATCTCTAGGTTTAATCCAGCCTAGCCCGCTCAGCTCTCACATCTGATGACGGAATTGCGTCGGGCAGACAGACCGAGAACAGCCTCTTGCGGGTCGACGGAGGCAGGAGGCGGCTATCTCGGCCAACGAAAGGTCTTGGAAATGCGTGACAAGTCGAGGTTGAGTAGCTTTCCTTGCGACCCCGCACGTCCAACTGAAGGCCTTTCGTAACTCAATACATGTATCAAATGCCAGCGTCCTTTTTGGAGGCTTGGCCTGATGTGAGCGCACAGACTCAGCGTCGACTGTCGCTGCGGTCTCTGCTCTTGTGCTCGTGCTCGTGCTTGTGCTTGTGCTCCTGCATGTGCTTACGCTGTCTGTGGTAGTTCACTGGGTAAGCGTAGATTGCCAGAGGTGCTGTCTGTTACGCATGAACAGAGAACGCATGCATGCACCACATACATACATACGCGCATATTTGCTGCCACGACGGCCCTCCCAGAGAGAGTTCAGCCTCCGTGGCCTGAGCAAGCCTTCATAGGTACGGACACAAAGCAGAACTTGGGCCAGCCATCCAGCTGCGCACACGTGCCTGGCTCGACTTTGGATAGGGCATTCTCCAAGACGTGCAACTGCCCGGCCCCTGTGTCTGGTTGGCGAGCGACCTTCCAATGCCATCTAGTCAGCGGCCAGATCCGACCGGGATGCCAGACCAGGATATCAGGGCCCCTCGTTCCCTTGCCTCTCCCATCAACTCTAGCGCGCAACAGAGTGATCGTTGGCTAGCCGAGTGGGGGCCCAGATTCGGGCCTGGCGTTGAGCCACGCTCAGATGGTTCGCATATCGAGAGTGTCGGAAGAGGCGCTTGGGTTTCAGCAGTCGGGGCTATCCGCATCAACCGCTTTGTGGAACGTTCAAAGGCTGGCTTCGAATCTTTGCGATGGTGGGCGTCTCATTTTTAGAAGTCTCCGTACCTTTAAATAGAGAGAGGCAGATGATGTTTTTGGTGCTTGGATCGTCTCGTCGTTGCTCAAGGGGCGTAAGAGCGAGTAATACGGATTGAGGCGTCTCCGATTTTTATCGCCCGCAATGACGAGTCGCTTGCCGGCGTTTGGATGGGTCTGCTGTGCGAATGAGACTTATTTTAGCGGGGGTAGCCAGGGAGCGGATATGTAAGCAGAAGTAAAAAAAAAAAAAAAAGAAAGAAAAGAAAAAAGAGGATAATGAAGATGAAGATGATGACAAGTTTGAGGCGGAATGTGAAAAGCTTGGAATGGTTCACTACTAAAGAAAATGCATCTGAGGGTTGGAAATCATGATGTATCACATGGCGGTTATTTAGTAGTCCGGGCAGGTGCCTCCCAGTTAATCCTGGAGATAGAAGCTACTTGAATAGTGCAGGCAATGTCCATATAATCTTGGTATTGAGTAACATTGAACTCTACAAGTGCCTACAAACTTGGAAGTGATACCCTGGAGTGTGTACATGTATTTAGCCAGCTGCCGAATATTTTTGGAGATCAGCATGGCGAGGCTCGTAGTACTCGTAGATGATGAGGCTGAGGCTCACGAGTACCGAATGAAATGGAATCAATGCAAAACCTTTCAACCACTCACCGACTTTTGACTAACATTGCCTGCTAATACGCCTAGAGGCGGAGCGAGGCGTGCAAGATAGAAAGTGAAAAAAAAAAAAGCCCACAAGGGGAAGGCGAACTTTGGGCTTTGAATTTTGGACTTTGAGAATTCAGGTACCAGTCCATGGAGTACTTTGTTCTGTTTGTTGGAAACGGTTATGAGGCGGGGTCAAATTAAGCCATGCAAGGTACTCTCGGCTCAGCCTCCCAGACATTGAACAACACCGGTGAGATGCTGCAAGAGCTCAACGAATCCATTGGTATTCATGTCCTTGGATGTGAGGCCTAGGAGGCGTCATCTCTCAAAGATTAGGTTGCCAACAACCACTGACTATCTGCAACATTCTTCTACCTGCCCATGGGACAGCCTGGGACACACACGCATGTCGCTCTTGTAGCTCCCACCAGCCAGCATGCCTTTTAACAGGCCAAACCGGCCTCTCTACTCCGTCCCTTGCTACCCATTACATGTTAAGCTGGTGCCTGCGAATCTAGTTGGACAATTCATCTAACAGCACACGCACTATTCATGCATCTAGCCATGAGGGGCAGGCGGGGAGATCCAAAACGGCATGGATACTGGTTGGTGATCCTTCAGGTTAGCAGCCCTGTCGGATGCTGGCTTGCTGTTCAGACCGTTGCCACCACTGCCGATGCGATTCCGGCCTTGTCAAACTCCTCAGTGGTACAAGCATTGGACTGGCTCTGCTATCTCCAGGAGGGTCTCATAATTCCGGTAGACTACGAGTACTGCGTATATGCGGCCGGGATCTTGAGCATCCAATTGCAGCGGCTCGAGAGCACGTCGGCAAGTGGCGTTCCAGGTCAAGGTGAGGAGGCCATCTTGGCTGCCAATTGGTAATTGGTAATTGGAAGCCCAAGTTGTTTGTTGGGCTTGAATGCCGGCGGCTTATTGCCTACCTAGTACTTACCTTGGTAGTCCATATTACCACCTAATAGTACCTAGGTAGGCAACATATACGAGGGGGCTGGCGCCTTGGTCCCTTTGAAGAGCAGCATCTTGCTGGATAAACTGGCCTGCGGTGCATTTCCCCAGGTTCGCGTGCGTATCTCCGGTGTTCCGCTCTTTTGCTTCGCCATGCCAGTCGGTACCTGTACATCAAGAGTGTTGGAATTGACCACTTCGCCGTGAAACCGCCTCCCAATTGTCTCGATGCTTGGTCTTGATCCAGGTACATGTACCAACAGCGTGTCCCGTCTGCCTCGACAATGCGTCAGCATGCAACGAAGACGCACTTGAGTCGCAAACAACTCATCCGTGCAGATGACATACAGCTGCCACGATATACTACCACCTTACAGCATACCTACATATACATATATGTACATGTACATGCAAACCATTGGAGTGAGGTGGCTGCAGAGCCCGGCACTCTGCCTCGCTTGGGCTTGTCTTGAAGCGCATGTACCGCATAAGTACAGGTATCCGCACGGCTGGGGCTCAGAATGCACTCCAGCTACATACATGTACAGGACACGACACGACACGACACGACACGACACAACCGTATGCTGCATATACGGAGCACTGGCGATTCTACTCGTATGTGATGGCTCAATTCAATTCCTGTCTTTCTTCTTTATCCATCCATCCATGGGAGGGTGACAGCCGCTTGTCCCCGAGTCAATCCCCCTTCTGGCAGGTCTTGCGCTAAGGCTATCCTAGAACGAACTCGACTCGGCCAAATTTTTTTCGTCCCATTAGTATCGCCTCCGAGGGCTTCGGATTTCCCCTGAACAGCAAAACCTTAAACTTCTAACTCTGCTGCCCAAGTGGAGGAGCAGAGCAATCAAATTAAAATCTGGAAGCAATGGGATCCAGACTCAATTAGCAAGGCCGCACGGAGAATCACGCCGGCACTCGGTGGCCCATGGATGTGCTACTGACGAGTTCAGCCGCGTAATGATAGGCTGGTATACATAGGTGTACTTGGGACCCAAGATTGAGGTTAGACAGACGCTGGCAGATATAGTTACATCCTTTACACCCAGATAGATTCCACCGGAGACAACCAGGCCGCCGCATTGATGCCTCGCTCTCCGGTAACCACAGCCACGTACAAGCAAGGCAATTCCAACACGAGTAAATGCGTAGGTACCAAGTACCAAGTACCAAGTACGGAGACCTCAGGCTCAATCGATGGATCACATCGTTTCCTTCACCGGCACAACAACGACGCCGCGGCCTGATTGGCGCTGTAGCCCAGTGGCGCCGCCTCCTGCGCTCACTAAAAACCTGCCCTGACCACCGGCCACCACCGGCCACCTCAGGGCCACCTCAGGGCCTCTAGCAGCTGCTCTAGCATGGAGTTGAGCCTTAGCACTGTAGTCATCCATGACCTCCGCCACTTGCCTATATCGGGATCCCCAGAAAATCCATCCATCAAATAGTTTCATGTCCTCTCGAATCCCGTGCTTCAGACACATTCTCTCACTGTCTCTGTTTCTCTTCCCCACGCCCACTCTCACCCTCACCCTCCTCTCCCCGACTTGTATTATACGGAGGAATCTTGATCAGATCGCCATCCTCGCTCGTGAGCTGCTGAGGCTGTTCCCTTTTTGTATAACTTCTCTCAATACCTTCGTTTCTTCTGTTGTACTATTGGATTCCTTGGTTCGATTTCCCCTTGCGGGCGGCATTGAGGCCACCCGCTTTCCTCGTCTTCTGTCTATCCGCTCCATCCATGTCCATCGACAAATCGATTGCAGACGTTGTGTACGATTAATTCTTTCGCTTGTCCCGTCTTGTTTAGTCCATTGCAAGCAGCAAGGTACGTATGCCGTCAGTGTTATATCCATGTCATCAATTCCGTTGGTCGTGGATTTCCCTGTCTCTCCTCCTTTCGCTGGCGATGTCTGTTCTCTGGCGGCGGGTTCAAGACGTGATGGACTGGCCTGTTTATTCTTCATCCCCTCCCCGGACAAAGAGCTGGCCAGAGGGTTCAAGTCGAAAACAAAAGGGATTTGCGGGCTGCTATGGCGTTGCTAGCTTTCTGCTGCTGTCCTTGCTCTTTGGACCCGACGCTGGGCCCTCGGTGCTTCGTACAACCAGGACGCTATCAAGGGAATGCGGGAGACCAAGAACACGAGCACGAGCACGTTTTCTGCCGTCCATTCCACACGAGCAACTGCTGCTCTCAGGCAGTAGCACCAGCCCTGGACGCCTCTGTCCATCCACCGGCGGTTCGTGGCTGGGCCTTAGCTCGTGGCTTTGGATTTTGTCCAGGCTCAGGCCCGTGGCTTTGGCTTTGGCTTTGGCTTTGGCTCTGGCTCTGGACTTGGCTCTGGACTTGGCCTCGCTCACCCAACACCAACGTGATGCTGAGCTGGCAGACAGGCGATGACGACTCGGCCGCAACGAGTCTCTGATCTTCCTGCAGCACGACGTGTGGGAACTCGACGCAGACCCCTGCCTGGCGCGCTGGCCCCAGTCCAGCCCAGACCATCTGGGCATCCACCGGCTCATCCTTGTCCTTGGCTGCAACACCGAGCATCTTGTCTCGTCAACTGTCCAATCCCTTGACCCTATCCCACCCCGCCTCCAGCGTCGCCGGCTTGTGCCTGGCCCTAACTTGGTCGTCCACAACGACAAGCTTGCTGACTTTGCCCTGCCTGCTTCATGTCTGCAGCGAGATAGACGTCCCAAGCGCTGCCAATTCGGCCTGTACGATTCCTGTCCGTCCTTCGTTTCCCTCCGTCCCAGCATGGAAGACCTGCGCTTCCGCCCTCAGCAGCCGCCGAGGAACGAGCCCTCCATCAACCCGCTTGTCTCACCTCCTCGCGGCGCCGCTCGCATCCCTCAACAACAGCCTGCGAATCACGATCTGCGCTCCGCCCTGCCTCGCCGTTTTACAACCGACTCGGGGCGTGTACCGACAATGTCTTCCATGAACTCCTTGGCATCTCCCCCCCGCGTGCCCGACGCAGCTCAAGATTATAATAACGTGAGTCGCAGAGTTCTGGCTGAGAATCCCTTGTTTGCCGCTGCTCGCTGCTGTGCGCAGGCCGGGAACTCTCCTTCTATTCATGTGCGAGATTGGCTGGCTGACTGTATGCGAAGCAGGCATTGCATAAAGTCCAATTGGTAGGTGGCCCCCCTTGCTCCAGCCTGATGGCTTTCGTCCGCAAAAAGCCTCCCATCCACCCCCTTCACCCAGTTCCGGCCGGCGCCGTTAGATTCGGGCGCGGCAAACCCTTGGGAAACAAGGAGGGCGGTTGAATTCGCGAAGCCCGGCTGACTCTAAATCTCCTCCTTTCTAGATAGAGAAGAAAAAGCAAGAATATGAGAGGATCCGAGAACAGAGGCGGCGCTTTGAAGTCGAGATGCAAAAGCTAGACCAACAACAGCGACGGGAGGCCCTAGAGCTGGCTCAGATGGAAGAAGACATGAATAGATTCGCCGGGCACCAATCTGAACCGACAACGCCTCCCGAGTATCGAAACACCAGCACCAACAATGGCTTTCCTGGCATATTCTCGCGACCAAACCGCTACTCCACTTCAAGCTTGACCTCTCCCGCGGCTTTGTTTAATCGACCAGCGCGCTCCGGATCGCTTTTGACCTCTCCGCCTCCTGGCACTACAGGCGTGTTCCAGCAACGATACGGGTTCGACGACAACCAGATGCCATCACGATCCGTCCCTACCACGCGCCGGAACAGCGACGATGATGACAAGGAAGAGGCTGTTCGCCAGGATCCAAGCAGCCACCGGGCGACCAATTCGTAAGTAGAGCCTTATTGACGTTGTCTCTTGGAGTGATTTGTTGCTTGGTCGGCGTAATCCTTTGCTCTGGGCTGCATGAATGGGGCCGGTGTCCATCAGAATAGCCAGCCCATATGAAGAGCGGCTTTCTTGGCAATGGATTGCGAGCAATGTATTTAGCATTGTCGGTTGGCATCAGGGATCAGGCTCTTGATGTAGCTTTTGCGCTGAGCAGAGCTGGCTGCATGCGCGCACACCTCCCGCCACCATCCTGCATACCAAGCTGCGCGACTGCTTTGCTTACAGCTGGATATCTTGACACAATTGCTGACCCAACCTTTGGTAATAGTAGAACGAACAGATACTCAATGCCCGTCACTCGGACAAGGAATGGGTTCTATGATCTAAACCTTGATCAGACCAACACCACGCGGTTCTTGTTCGGTGACGACGAGCCCAACCACCTACCTAGGGGCCACACTCCTGACGACAGCTTTCCCACGCTCGTTCGCCGTGACGATCAAATTGTAAGCCATCTTTTGTTTTGTTTTTTCGCTCCTGCAATGTATCTCGGTTGGAGAAGGAAAGAAGGTCTTCTCTGCTATGTTCTCCGTGCCTTTTTCCACACCAGCTTCTTGCGGCTGTCAGTTGGCGCTTAGCAGCTGGCAGCGCTCCCTCCTCTCTCACTCACCCACTTGGCACAGATTTGCGTTTGCAACTCTCCTCTCTCTCCTGTTCTTTTTTCCCTCATGCTCTCCTCTTCTTTCATCCTTTCCTCCTCTATAAATTCTCTTCTCCTCTTCCTCCCTATCGTCTGACTTTTCTCCATCCTGCACCACCCTCATCCAACCCAACTTTGATCTGTGATTCGTCTGGCCAGAGTCTTCTCATCATTAAATTCCGACCTTGCTAATCTCGCCATTCCCTCTTTAGCTCTCAGCATCCTCAGCCGCTCTTGATCTTGCTCTATCGCCCTCACCCAACCCTGAAGCGCGGGCCTCCCACAATTGGAGAACCAGCGTAAACCGGCATCGCACCCAGCACAGCATGTCAGCCATCAATGGGCTCTCCACCAGCCAGACTGGCGATGCTGGCAATATTGGAAGCCGCCCTTCGTCCATTCGTCATTCTCTTGACCTTAAGTATATCTCGGAAAGCTCGAATGAGACCTCTGGCGGTTCCCAGGCGATTCACGCGCCTCCCAAACTCCAGAGTTCTTATTCTGCCAACGATATACCTACGGTCAAAAACCCTGGTGGTTCTTCTCTCTTGAACGGCAGCGCCAACAACCACGCTCAGCAGCACTTCCATAACCACAATGCCAGCATCGGCCGCATTCCCGCTGGGGCAATGCCAATCCGTCATGCTCGCGAGCTGTCCAACGACAATGGCATCAACACCAACCGTGAGCAGGCCGGTGTATTCCCATCCATCAACTCAGCCCTCCAAGCGAGTGCCGCTCCATTCGGGCCAACCATGGCCACCGCCGCTCCTCATACCGCCGCGCCTCACGCCGCCGCACCTGTAACTTCCTCTGGCGGTGGCTTCTACCAGCCAAATGGTTACACATCCCCGAGCACTACGTCTCCACCTTCTTACGGGGCTCACTCGCTCTCTACTGGGATGCAGCAGATGAATCTTAACGGCGCTGGTAATGGGAATTCTTACTCTCCTCAGAGTTACTCTCCCTACGGTAACGTGCCATATCCTCAGAATGGTCAGCCTCGCGATAGTCAGGCCCGTGTCATCCAACATCGTCGACAACTTGACAATGAAGGTCAGTCGGATAGTAACAGCAGGTTTACCTTCCCTCTTCTTGATTCTCTGTGCTAACCATTTTTACAGCGATGTCTCGGTATCAGAACATGCCGCTGGAGTCATTCCGAGGCCAGATTTACGAGCTGTGCAAGGATCAGCACGGCTGCCGCTATCTCCAAAAGAAGCTGGAGGAGCGCGAAGGCGATCAAGTTCACATGATTTGGCTCGAGACCAATCAGCATGTCATCGAGCTCATGACGGATCCGTTTGGTAATTATTTGTGCCAAAAGCTCCTCGAGTTCTGCAATGACGACGAAAGAACTGTCTTGATCCAGAACGCATCCAAAGACATGGTGCGCATCGCTCTCAACCAGCACGGAACAAGGGCCCTCCAGAAGATGATTGAGTATGTCAGTACTCCTCAGCAGGTTCATCTCATCATCGAAGCTCTCCGCTTCCGAGTTGTGGAACTCATCCAAGATCTCAACGGCAACCACGTCATCCAGAAGTGCCTTAACAAGCTCACCGCTTCTGACGCGCAGTTCATCTTTGATGCTGTTGGTAACAACTGTGTCGAGGTTGGAACCCATCGACATGGCTGCTGTGTGCTCCAGCGCTGCATCGATCATGCAACTGGCCAGCAGAAGCTCTGGCTGATTCAGCGCATCACCGAGCATGCGCGCATCCTGGTGCAGGACCCGTTTGGAAACTATGTTGTCCAGTACATCATCGACCTGAACGAGCCCACCTTCACTGAGCCCATCGTTGCCACGTTCCAGGGCTGTATCAGCCAGCTGTCCCGCCACAAGTTCAGCTCCAACGTGATTGAGAAGTGCTTGCGCTGCGCTCAGCCTGCTTCCAAGGACATGATTGTCGAGGAGATACTCAACGAGATGGAACGATTCCTCCGCGATTCGTTTGCCAACTACGTTATCCAGACGGCTCTTGACTTCTCTACCCCCCATCAAAAATATCGCCTTGTCGAGGCTATTCGTCCAGTCCTTCCACAGGTTCGCACAACTCCTTATGGACGCCGTATCCAAGCCAAAATTGCCGCCTACGATAACCGCGGAAGTGCTGCCTCAAGCGGACAAGTCACGCCCGCCGACAACACACAAGGGCAGATCCCGCTGCGGCCAAGCCACAACCGAGGTCTCTCTGGCACTCCTGTGCTGCCTACGAACGGCAGCAATACCAACGGAGCAACGTCTAGTGTTGGGAGCCAAGGCATTCGCCAGCAGGCACCTCCTCCTTTCACTAGCAGCGTCTCGATGCCGACAACTTCTACAACCACCAGCTCGGGCGGCCCTGTCCAGCCTCCCCCGTTCAACCAGATGCTGTCTGGCAGCTATAGCCAGGGACATTCCTCCAACACGTCGGTGGATGCCGGCGAGGCACGCTGGGTGTAAACTATTTGAATCCTCTTATTTCAACCATTTGCCTGTATAACGACGCTTCGGCCGCTTGTGCTTTTCTTCTTCTTTTATTCACTCACGGCCATTTCAGTGGAATACGACTTCATGCGGCACGGTGATGACACTGCCACGATGATGACATTTCTATTTCGATTCACGTTTTCTTTTTTCTGTTTCACTAGCCCATCAAGTCCGGACGCGTTATTCCTTCAGAAACGGCCAACTCCAGATCTGAGCAGCACAGCATTTCCGCAATGCTTTGTGTGTACATTATGAACAAAAACAAACAAAAAAAAACACGGGTCGAAATGGGTTTCCGAGTTCGCACCATCCGGTACTCCAAGCTGCATTGAGCTGAGAGCGAAAGGCAGGCAAGCTCTCGCCCCAAACCTCGTCTGTATCTGTATTTGGATCGTCCCCGTCGTTGCCAATACTGGCGTCGGCAACAAAATCTTTTCTACTTCTTCTCATCTTCGATTCTTCTATTGTCATTTGATGTGCTTTCTCAATTTCTCCTTTTACGGTTCGCAGTTCTACGATCAAGAATGGTCATTTATCACGACAGACAGCCATTTTATACGTCCAGAGCCTACGATCCTGTATGCCGCACTTGGGGGACTATGCTGAGTCTTCCAATGGGGCCTGTATTTCTGATTGACTGCATGGAGCCAGTTCCCCGATTCGATTTGGGAGCAGCTGACTGATCCAGCTACTACTAGATTGGACTCTATACATTGGAGCTTCATAAGGGTTAAAGTGGGAAAGGAAAAGATCATGGCAAACTGGTTGGGTTATGGGGGGCGAAATGAAGTGGTAATGTCGCGAATTTTACGTAGAACTGGGGTAGCTGGATAATTTTCTTCTTATCTTTCTTCTTCTTTATTGTTGCGTGTTTCTTATTTTTCCTCATCTCTTCGAAAATATCTGCGGGTTACGGTGCTTGCTTGTATGATGTGGTGGGGGGGAAAGAGAGCAGACAAACTGAGTCGGAACCAGTTGAAGCTTCTTTTTGCTTTGACTGTGGTTCGATTTGAAGGGATGGAAGACTTGAGGAGGCAGCTTTCTGGATGGAGCTGCGGCATTGGGCTTTTTCTTTTCCTGCCTTTGGGGGTCTTATAAGGTTGGGTCCTCGCTTCTGAAACTGTACTTAGATAAGACTTCGTTTGCTTTTCTTCCGAATTTGACGTGGGGTTTTGGGATTGAATGTGATTTTTCGACTCTCTTCTTTGGGTTCATTATGGGCTGTGATGTATGTGTGCTTTGCTACGATGTTGAAACAAGGGGATCTGGATTGATTTGCATCGTGAGTATACGAAAAGCACCTGATTGATGGCTAAGATGGTGGGGAACACATGAGGATGATGAACGTGAAAGTGTCACAATTGCTTTCTACATAAGGAAAAAAAGAAAATAAAGAGATATCATCGCAGTTCCGAGTTATTATCGGAAGATGTCATACCATTTCCATTTTTAAAAACTACCAAAGAAGCATCTCTTGGGCCTTTTTTTTTTTTTCATCGCCTCCCCCCCGACTTTCAAGACACGCCGATTCTTTTACTGCAGGCAAAACTCCGAACAAAAAGAAGAAGAGACTGCCGCAAATAAAGAAGACACCAGAGGACTCGCGCGAAACACTCCCAGAAGGACACCCAGGAAGACCGCCACGACGCCTCCTCGGCCGTCATCAACGCTTCCGCTTTCCGGCAGAGAGCGTTTACCTGTAGCGCCACAGGGACAGGGTGTTGTGTCTCTTCCAGGTCTTTCTGCGGCCGGCGGTGGTCTTGTTGTAGCGGTGGCCCTTGTTGAGGCCGCGGGAGCGCTTGCCGGTGGCAGTGAGGCCGCGGGCCTCGCGGTGCTTGTGGACGGGGTTGACGATCCAGTTGATGCGGGGGTCGATGCGGATGGCCTTGTGGCTGGGGTCGACCAGGATGACCTCGTAGTACTTGTAGGTGGAGTCCTGGTTGATCCAGTACGAGTTGAGGACGCGCAAGTTGGCGCAGCGGCGGCCGACACGCTCCTCGGCGGTGGCCTTGAGGGAGCGCTGGTACTTGAGCTGGTTGATACCCTGGTTGGTGGGCTTGCCTGTTGATCACACACGGTTTCCCCGGTCAGTACAAACAAGAGGAAGAGAGAGAGAGAGAGAAGAATCGTACCATAGGTGGCACCCTTGGGGGCAGGGCGCTTGCGGCCACCACGGCGGACACGCACGCGGTAGATAACGTAGCCCTGCTTGGCCTTGTAGCCGAGACGGCGGGCCTTGTCGGGGCGCGAAGGGCGGGAGGCGCGGTGGATAACGTTCAATTGACGGTACTATATTGATGCACTCTCAGCATATGTTCAACGAGTGTATAGCAAAGACAAGGGGGAAGGAAAGTGAAGATGTTGGCAGCAAGGGGGACATCACAAAGACGAAGTCTAAATCTTTCTCTTTGTGTCTCTCTTCTGTGATCTCATCAATTTTGCCGTTTCATAGGCAAAACCAAGAAATCAGCAGTGCAAGATTTTTTTCTGTATTCCAAGAAAAAAAAAACTTCGCACACGAGATCCCCATCCCAAGACGGGAAAAGGGGACCGGCGAGAAAAGAGAGTAGAGAAAAATTTCAGACCCATCAAAGAAAAAAGTCTTTCCCAAAACTGCCTCGACCTCACAAATCCAGCCCGCCCAAGTCCACAAAGGAGAACGTATATTTCATCGTCTCGAGATTTTGTGTGTTTGTGTAGCTATTCGGAGTGGTGGCAACGTACTTCCCAGCAGCGCACGCGGAGAAGGAAGCGGACCAGGTCGGACTGCTTCTTCTTCTGGAGCTCTTCGACATACTTGAGGGCACCCATTTTGGCTATGCGGCGACGGCGACGAGAATGTTAGCTTTTCTTGCGAAATGTTTCTTCTTCTTCTTTTTTCCTCAATTGAAGACAGAAGAATTGATGTTGCTCAAGGGGATAGAGAAAGGGGAGGGGACGAACCGGCTTGAGGTCAGAGAATTTCCTGCCGAGGGTTAGTTGAAGGAGGTTGATCAAGAGGATGTCGAAATTTCGGAGGAGGAGGCTGCAAAACCGAAAACGACATTGAAAATTCAAGGGCCTGTTTGTGGGTTAAGCGATGCGCTAGGCTTATTCTAGTGCTAGCGTAATAGGACTTGCCCCTCAGAGCCCTCGTGCCCATTTTTTGATGGAAAATTAAGCTGCGGTAAGATGCTGAGTCATCCAGGTGAGCATCAAAATTCACCGCAAAGTTCACAAGGTGAGGGTGTGGAGCCATCGAGTACCCAGTAATATTGGGCTTCCAATCATATCGGATTCTCTCTCTGTGTGTGTAAACGTTTGTTACCAACTGCCGCAGCAAATTACCAGACATGGCATATAAATGCGCCTAAAGTGTGTGTCATTTAGATTACAAAAGAAGCTTTGCAACTCCCGCAAAAGCCTTCAAAGTTTCTCGTGCGCTTGATCCCCATGAATCATCTGCGGATGGAATCCCGCCTTCAATCCACCGCCATGCTGCCTGTTCGACATCGTCGTCAGAACGAGGTGGTGATTTAAGTGATGTAGCATGCTCTCCAGAAATAACCAAGCAATTGATCATCTGTATTGACATTTCCATTGCCTTCTTATTCACCTTGGCGACATCTCTGGCATCTTGCTCCCACTGGGCCCCTTCAGCTGGCTTTCTGGCCTTGATCGAGTCGCGATTGGCCGTCTCGTACTCATCTAGGGTATGCTGCAAGGCTTTGATACGACCAAGCGGCTTTTGATGTATAATGTTCTGTGTATCGAGACCATCTTGAAGAAGAGCAGAAATTTTGGAACTCAACGAGTTGTTTCCCGTCATTGCAGATCTATGGAACGTTATTTCTCGTTAGAATTAAAAAATCGTTCAAACATGTGTCTAAAAAAACTCACCGGGCGTTGTTGTACTGGCCCTCAATCATATGGAGCAAGCTATCCGCATCTCGGCGAATCGCACTCTTTGCGCTCTTTGAAGAAGAAGATGCTGCCTTTGACTTTTTTAAAGTACTGTTGGTGGCCCGATTACTGCTCGCGTCGATTAATACCAATTCATTTCGCACGTATGATTCCAAGGCACCGTCTTACCTGGGTCCAGCTCGGCTTCTCTTTGAAGACTCTCCCACTTGCTTCTTCTGTGTCTTGCGAGCAGTTTTCTTCACGGGCTGTGGAACTTCTTCAACATCATCTCCTTCTAAGGACATCAGAGTCAGCTACACATATGCAACACTAAGCAGCACAAGCCCGCTCATAGCCACTTACCTTCCTCCGAGGCCTTTCTCTTCCTCGTCTTCGCTGGCATCTCAAGTACGAAGAATGCAAGAAATACGCAATAATAAAGGAACAAAAGTTTCCGCTCAATACGCTGGAGGGCTGAGACTTTCCAGTGACTTGATGGAAAGACCAAGTTTGGCAGAGAGAGAAGAAAATGCAGCTGCAGGATTGAAACGCAGAGGTCATTGAACACCAACGTCGCTCCTTCCTCCTGTTGAAGAATTCACACCTGAGGAATCCACATGACGATGTACCTTGTATAGTACATCTGTACCTTCAGGTTTGCATTCGTCATCTAAAAGGCAAAATAATGTCTTTTAGATTAGATGATTCCTCATTAGAGCATCATATATAAAAAGAGAGAGGTAGTGGTAAAGTGAATCATCCGTCTTGGGTGCATCCTCGATGCTTGCTTACGTATCTCTCCGCAACCAGGCTCTCAAAAGAAGCAACGCATCATGCACGTGGTCATTCCCAGAGTCATCAGAAGATGTAATAATAAAACCATATATATGCCCTCAATCATCAATTTAGTCTCAAGAACAAAATCATATGTTTGTCTCAAACGTACAATTTCCCAAGCCCAAAATACAAACAAGTACTAATGCAGTCCAGATTCTGTAGAATAAAAGTAAAAGTACTAATAAAAGTAGAATATCAATTGTCGAGAGAGAGCGACAAAAAGAGAAGAAGAAAAGCATCAAGAGAAGAAAAACAAAAACAAAAATCAACAAGTTTCTTGTCGTACATGACATTAGCCATACCCAATCCGTTTTCCCTTTTTTGATTGTGTATTAGTTACAGCATGCATGCGTTAACTCAGGTCTCTCTGTCTATATTCTCAGCCAATGGAAGCGAAAGCAAAACCATACCCGTTCTCCATTCTTCGATCTCGCATGTCCAGTAGCCAAACCCGTAATCCGTACCAGAGTCATAGAGGGATAATATGTATATATATGTGTGTGTATATAGCAAAAAAAGTTGTTCAAGAGGTAATGACAGTCGGGAGGAACCTTGCACTGAGGCTCCTTTCCAGCACGAACTCGGTGTCGCCCGTGTGGTCTTCAAAATGGCCACCGCCACCGCCGGATGAAAATATAAATAAAATCGAATAAAAACTGATGATAGGGGATACTGCGAAACGAAATATTTTGTCTTCTTTTGTTCTTTCATTATCGTTCAATATCCTTTAAGAGTGTAGCAATCGGCGCGCCCAAAAAAACAAGAAAACGAGTGTTGTAGTCTAATCATGCTAGTATAATTCGTCCAATTTATGCCGTCCTGGATTTTAGTGAGTGTTGAGCGAAAGACCTTGGAAGCTAGCCGTCCATTCGTTGGAGGGTGAGATTGCAGTCACGCCTTGGGAGTGCGGCCCAGGAGACGGCATGGTTTGAGAGGTGGGAAATCGTTGGCGGATCGATTGCAGATCACCCGACTGAGGGAATCCGGCGTTGGCAAAGGGATCAATACCCTGGTTGATGCCCAAGGTGTAGGCACCGCCATTCATTCGCGCATTTCCAAAGGCACCAGCAGACCCATATGCGTAGTTGGAAGGCGGGAATCCGGTGGCCGAAGGGGCCTGCCTATCCGCAGCCAGCTGAGGTTGAGCATAGCCAGATCGCATTCCCCGAGCTTGCGCAGCGCCTGCAAAGACCTGAGATTGCTGTTCCTGCTGCGAGACTGGATTCTGGCGACGCTCGTTTGCATTGGCACCACGGCCAACGCCAACGGCGCCTGGTCCAACTCCGCTAGGAGCCTGGATGCCCAGAGTAGGACTAGCAAATGAGGCCGGGTTGATCGCAGACATCCAGATTCGCGTCTTGTAAATCTTGAAGAGGTCCGTGACAAGTGAGTTGAAATTAATGTAAGAATCGGCAAAGTAGTAAAAGGTCAACTTCTTCCAGTCCCTAGTGATTTCAGTCAGTTTACATGCCATCAACGCCATGAAACAACAGTGCAACTTACATTTGGAATTCAGCGTCGAGAATTTCCATGTTGAGGCCATGTTCCTTCACCTTTTGCATGCACACCCTCTTTGCCTTGGCCTCTTGGCCTTCTTTATCCCGCAGAGCGTGGATCTCGTGATTCTGAGCAAGCCGCTTGATGAGCTTTGGACGGAGCTCACCGGCGCTTGGCTCCTGCATGTGGTGCTGATTCGGCGGCCCCATTCCGCCAATGGCGCTGCCCTGAAGGCCGTTGGACGAAGCCAAGAGGCCGGCACCAGAGCCTTCCTGCGCGGCAGCTGCGTTTTGAGAGTACATCATCAACCACTTGTATTGCTCCTCTGCATAGTGCTCCTTGAGCTCTTTGGCCATCTGCCAATCGACATTGTCGCGTGCAACAGTGCCCAGGTCAGTGCCTCGATCGGCCTCCACAATGACCAAGTCGCCGGGCTTGACGGTGAGTCCAGTTCCTTCCTGGATGTAAAATACGTCTGCCCTGGCACACTTGAACAGCACGACGTGGAGAAGCTGATTGTGCCTTGGTTGGCCCACACTGTACACGCTGCGATGGGGGGATGGTGGCCGATTCGGAAATTGGTTGTGCATTCCAAACTGGGACATGTACGGGTTGCCAAATGCCGAGGGGATAGAGCCCGCCATGTTGCTACTTCCGGGGAAGAAATTGGCTGCAAGGAGACTGTCAGTATTGTTACACCGATAAAGCGCCCCGGTTCGAGACTTACCGTTGCTTGAACTTGCAAAAGCTGTGTTGTCTGGATATCCTGATGGGTACCCCTGGTTGAGCTGATTATCAGGATTGGGTGCTTCCAGCGTAGCTACAGAATCGGCAATCGAGCTGATGGAGCCCTGCCGCGTAGGCATGTTGGCGAAGGAGTGGCGTCTGCTCTGAGAAAAGTCGTTTGCAAAGAAGCTCGGGGAGCTGGACCAAAGAGCCTTTTTCAAGGAAGGCATTTCTTTGCGTTGCTCAAAGCCCATAGGACCGCGATACGGTCCGGTTGTACCAAACTCGCTCATTCTCCTATCAGTAGCTCGTCTGGCCATGGCCTCGCCGTCATTCGTTTCGTCCAGCTCGTCGATAGCATATTCTCCCTCCTCGGGAACATACTCACGGAGAGGGTATCCGTTGCCATGATAGGATCCCGGGGCGCCACGTTGTCGAATTCTAGAGCCGTACTGCTGTTGCTGTTGCTGCTGCTGTTGCTGCTGCTGATGTTGCTGATGTTGCTGCTGTTGCTGTTGCTGTTGTTGCTGCTGCCTGAGCATGGCATTCTCTCGCGCAAGCATTTCAATAGTCTTTGACTCGGCACTCTGGTGAAACGAGCCTTGAAGCGATTCCGAGGAGTTCTCATCGTCATCGTCATCCACCTCCTTGACCTTTCCAAGCATGGTTCCGTCACTCGCCATCTCACTCAGCATGCTAGGCCGTGATGGTCGGTGTTGGAGAGTAGGATAGCGGGCTCGGCCGATGACGGTGGAAGAGCTCATTCCAGTGCCGGATGACATCTCGGGATCGAGTTGTCCAGCAGAATACGACTGCGAGCGATACGTTTTTGGTGTAGGATGGAGCGGAATGGGGAAGGGAATCTGCGAGTTGGTGCCCGGTTCGCGACCTGCAGAGGAGACTGGCGTTAGGCCAGAAGGATCTGGCCCAAAGAAGGAGTTGTTTCCTGCCCCAGGGGGGACTGTCGAAGTGGGAGATGGCAGGACTTCACTGAGCCTTGCCGGTGGATCCTTGCGATCGTTGTTCCAGATGCCAGTCCCCCACGGGAAGTTTGAGCCTGGGGCGCGGGCCATGACGGAAGAAGTAGAATGAGATCCCCAAGCACCAGCCCCGGTTTCGATGGACGGGGTGCTGGGGTGCGATGTGGTGGGAGACATTGAATTGCTCGCAAATGATCCCTTACGAGGTCGGCTGAGAGGTGCAGATGTATCGTTCAACCAAGAGGCCCGGCGAACAGGCTTCACGGGATGCGCAAGGTTTTGAGATGATTCGTGGCGGTGTTCGCCTTCGTCTTCGGAGCTTGCTAGCGCTTCGGAATCTGGGGTCGATGTCCTAGCATTCACCTTCTCCAGCAGCAGGGACTGGCTGGATGGCGCCTGGGTCAATCTCGACGATGATCCGTTCTTGATTGAGCTTGAACTCATGATCGATTGGGAAAGGCAACACTATTCGAGAGGCCTAATTTCGAGTATTTCGACCAAGTACCAAGACTTGTTTTTTTTATTGCGTGTGCTTGTTTCTTCTCCAAACGTAAAGAATGCAGGATATCGATACTAATGGAAGACAGTCCAATGCCCAAAGATGGCGATGTAGAGCGGAAAGAGTCGGGGGGTTATCAGCCGGAGTGGTTCAGCACGTGAGGTCTTCTGGGCAAAGAATGCCAACCAAGAGAATGTAGATCCGCGAGGGAGGAGGTCCGAACGAAGGATTGAGAGTTTAGTAGACGGATGGCTCTTGAAGAAGAAATTCGAAAAAGAAGAAAGTAAACTGCCGGGCTGTTAGCGCATCAATCCAAAACACAGATGAGCCCAACCCATGCAAGCATGGCGAGATGTCTCGAACGACCACAGCACCCGAATCTCGGCGAATGATGTAATTCGGGGCAGCCTAGCAGATGCAAAAAAGGAGAGGCGCGCGCAATGACGGAGCCGTTGGCCTCATGGACGGTTCCCGATCTGAGCGACGAAGTTCTTTGCATCCGCTTAGGTTGCCGCAGGTGCGTAGAGTTGCGGGGGGGCCGTTGGGACTGGTTCGATGCCAGCTGAGGCTCAAAGGAGATTGCACTCACCAGTAACAAAGTCAGGTACGGTCTATGTGGGGAATCAAATGGAAAAAAAGAAGCTCTAAAAGGTGGAAAAAAAGAGGTGACGAGGACGAGATCGACTGGATGGGACGCGACAGGCCGATGAAGGTTTTTCTGGTGGCGAAAGACTGCCGTGCGTCGGTGGTGTCGCGGCAGTTGGTGGTTCTGGTTGGGTGCCGCAGGTGACGGTTGGGCGGTCGATTGATTAAAAAGAAGAACGAGGAAGCGGGAGGAGAGGGACGATATCCGAGGGTATAGCA